TTCTCCGTCTGGAGAGCAGCGGAGGACCAGCCGGCCCCCCAGGGCTCCGTCAGGTTCAAGGCCTGGACCGGGGAGGTGTTCGAGGCGGGGGGAGAGCTGGAGCCTGAAGTCTTAGAAGACTCCTGCTGGGTACGACTCACATGATGCTAGCTGGCTTTGTGCCCTTAAGTCTACAGACTTTCAAACTTGTTGCCATAAATATTACAGGACTCCTAAAAACATTCAATATTCCATCACGATGGGTATGGTTTGCAGGATATAGTAGCAAGTATTTGACCATATTAGCCCCGTGCTCTGTTTAGGCTACGTGTAAGATTACCTGCATGCCTGCAAGCTGGACTGAGTGGAAAAGGATATGCTTTTATTTTATTTTATTTTATAAAGCAAACTAGGTACAAGCTTTCAATATCAAAATGTCATCCATGTCAAGTTTGTTTTATCATTTGTATATGTTGTCTCACATCACATTAAAATGTGAATGATAATCAGAGTACAAACCCCCCCATTTGAGTTAATTGGACATGTTTTTGGACATAATTATAAAAGTCCATTTCATTTAAATATATTTGAGCAATATTTATTTGTAATATATTTTCCAGTAGAGCAATGAGAATTTAATTTTAAAATGTATCAGCTGTCAGGTAGGTATTTTGGAAATCTGCAGCAAAGTCTAGTCGAGGTTGTATCTTCATCTGAAGGTTTTTGATTGGGGTTAGGGCAAATACTAACTTTAAACTTTAATCACCAACTTATTTCTTATAACAAAAATGCACAGCAGGATCACAAGTTACACAACGCGGTGTTTTGCAGAACGTGAGGCTCCAACCTTGTGTTTTAGGAGCCCTCAGTGTACATTTCATGATTTTGACTTAAAAGATGGTCTTGTGTTTCTGGGTTTCAGATAAAAGATGGCCGCTGGCATCAAACCCATTTTGTGTTCCACTCCCTGGACCCCTCCCTGCTCCCTGTGGTGGACATCTACAACCTCCCCAAGACTACACCTGGCTCACATTACCACCTGGAAGTCAGTCCTGTTTGCTTCCTGTGAGGGCGGCCATGTTTGTCCTCTGATCATGGAGGGGGACGGATCATCCCCCCCTCGAGGTGACACTCTCATGCGGGCGTGGAGATTGGAGTAGTCTCCTCCAACCCATGGCAAATCAACCCAAGCGAGTACAAGCCTCCCCTCCAATCAGATCGTGCTTCACTCTTTCAAACTCCCGTTGGACTGCAGACACAGAGGGAGGAAGCCGGGGGGAGACAGAAGAGATGGGGAGGACAGGGGAGTTCTTGCACTAAAAGCTTCTCCGTATGGCAAAAGCTTCTTCAAGCTCTTCAGGAAGGATCTCCGTATGTCCGCCCGCGTGGAGAAATAAAAGCTCCACGCCTCATCTCTCGAGAACATTGCTAAGTGAAGGGAGACCAAGGCCAAGTTCATCTGCGGACATTATAATAACTTATTTTTGTAACTGTATGCATTTTTTTTGGAAATACCAGGAATTCTATTCAATTAAGAGAGAATAATTCAAGTCATTGGGATTAGTTTAATGTACATATATATAAGAATGCTTATTATTAACTTTTATACATGTATATCTTATGTAAAGAAATAATCTTCAAGTGCAATAGAAAATGAGAAGATGATTTGATATTTTAATCTTATATGGAAGGATTATTTCAGGGGTGCCATTTTTGTTTTACTTGCCTTAGGTGCTCATCATGATCTTGCCCACGTGAATCAATCCAGAGGCATGAGCATGGAATCACATCTGTATTTACTGGTGCTCCAAAATGGGACACAATGGCTTTTATTGACATCCTTAATGTGGGAAAAATAAGTTTCAGCTCTCGGTAACATCGTCTGATGATACGCTAATGCACACAAACATGGAAAGTGAGTGCAAGTAATACTTAGTTCTATCTTTCTCAGTCATACATTATTGAACCGGATGCCACTAGGGAGTATTGTGGAGATAATAAAAAAAGAATTAAAGAGCTCTAGTTCTAAATAGTGTTTCATTAATTTCTCCACAACCGTGGAGTATCCGTTCCTGACTTGCAATAGGAATTATAATATACTCTGCGCCATATGGGACCAGGAGTCTCTTTTTCTCCCATACTTAAAATAAACAGACTTAAAGTATTGAGTTTGAGCCACAGGAGAGAGGACAGCGGGTCCATTCATCCAAATAGAAACCCTGTCTTCTATCTAATCCTCTCTCTAATGCATGGTGCTAAGTAAATGATCTAAGGTGCTAACCATAGTGCTGTAATAACACCACTTTGCTGATATATTCTGATGTTCATAGTGCATGCTTGCTTAGATCAAATAAACAAAATACATATAATATATTGCCATAGTTGCCATAATGCACTATAATGCTAATATCCCAGCCCAAACAAAGTAGTTCCCTGATGTTGTTCAATGCTGCAGATACAAACATGCTTTTTATGCTTGAACTTATTCTAGAAATAACTATACAAAATAAAAAGATTACTCCTTTTGTATCCAGTATATAAATCACAGGGTTTGAATGATTGTTTGTAGGCATAACATTTTACTCTGTACAAAGCCCCCCCTCAGCTGTATGTAATATTTTTTAGAAACACAACTAGTGGAAATAGTCTTAATTAAATAAAAGTTCCTTTGTTGTAGCTGGACACAAGTGTGTATAATTGTTCAAAGCTTGCTGTATACAGTGGACCCCCTCTTGCTAATTTAATGTTATTTAATGTGGTTAACGTTCTGTTGGTTAAAGCAATACTACTCTTTCTGACAACTTTATATATCAGTTTGCCCAACTGGTCTTGGAGTTTATAGATTTTTTATGTGTAAATTTGGGGCTCCAGAGAACAAATTTATTTCAATGTTAATTATCTTTTATTTTTTTATTTTTTTGTTATTTCCTTTATGTTGTTTTTCCCTCTATGATAATCAACCATGTACTGTATCAGGACTCTACTATAATATAACTTGTGTTTGAAGAATTGTGCAAATATGTGAAAAGTGTTTCTTCTTTTTGTAAATCTGTTGTAGACATTAAAACGAGCTAAGAATACCTCACATTTTTACATAAAGATTTTCTGTCATTTAATGCCTGTTTGGAAATATCTGCCAAAAACAGTTAGTCATCAAAACTCTGAACATTTCTGTTGCCAACATCCTTTATCTGTCTACTGTTTATTCATTGTCCAGTGTCCATTTGTTCAATAAATACTTTCAATTTCAGTGTGGATTTTTACTTGTCAACTGCTAGATTGATTGGAATACCCACAAACATCATACATTACTTTATAAAAATTAAAATGCAAGAATCTACCTTGATGAATACAATACTAATGTGTTTTAAAAAGTTAAATTAACAACGTCTATAACATAAAGCAAGGCTGCAACTAATGATTATGTAAATGCAGTGGAATATAGTACATATACACATAGTACAATATTTTACGCTGAGTTATAGGGAAATATAATTATGATTAAGTTGCAAAATTGGAAATAATAAAATAGTTAAACCTCGTTTTACTTCAGTATAATGCTAAATGTATAAGTAAATGTACTTAGTTACTATCTGATGCACCAACTACTCTGCTGGAATTATGTCTTATAAGAAAATTATAAAAATATACAATGTTACTGCTGGAAAAGAGCGTGCAAAGGTTCATAGTATTAACAATACAAATGAAGACTTTCATCAAGATGTCTTGCCTTTCACACAAATTGTGTGTGAGCGTGTATTATGTTCGGTGGTGTAAAGTAACTACATTGATTTACTCAAGTACTGTACTTCAATTGATTTTTTTGTTGCTTTTTACTTCTACCACACTACAATTCAGAGGTAGATGTTGTACTTTTACTCCACTACATTTATTTATTACCGTTAGTTACTTTTCAGATCTCGATTAATGATGTGAAATATAATCAACACTTAAATCAGACTTTAGTTAAACTTGGAATACATTTACATTTGCATACAATCTACTTTTACTTGAGTAGCATTTTGAATGCAGGACTATTACTTGTTACACAGTATTCCAACACTCTGGTACTTCTACTTTTACTGAAGTACAAAGTAACCTCTGGTTATCTTCTATGATAAAATCATGAAAATGTAAGTGAAACTTAAACTCGCTCATTTGCGGAGATATTCCCGCGAGAGTGCGGAAAACTTAAATGTATTTATTTATTTCAAATGTGAAATGTTACCAATATACTCACGGACCACTAGGGAGCGCTCACGGACCACCAGTGATCCGCGGACCACACTTTGAGAAGCACTGCGACACACAAGCATGTTCAATGAAATATCAAATATATAAATATAAAAGCTCATCTACTTGTTTACCAGTGTATGCAATAATAACTAATTAAATAACTTAGCACATACATTTCTGCCATATGCCATCCTAAATACTTTTACTTTTGGTACTTTAAGTCTTTTTTGATACTAATATTTGTGTACTTTTACTTAAATAACATTTCCACTGCAGGACTTCGGTAGTGTACATTTGTTTCTTCCGCACTGTATGAGTTGAGTTATTTTGAGATGCATGCCCTTTGTATTACCTTGATCATCTTATTATACCAACAAGATATAGATTCGTGGGCTCACTAAATAAAAGCACGTGACTTTTCTTGGAAGTGTGCTGTCAGAGACGGTAATATTACATGGCTGGATACCAAAGGAGCGTCTGTATTTTGAGCTTCTACGTCCCTCCCCAAAGTTTGTTTTGGCCAATCGCGTTTACCCGGTCTCCACCCTGTTATGTGCTGCCTTTTATTGCTCGTAAATTATTTATTATGAAGTTTTAAACAATAAACTTGCATTCAATATTTGTTGTAAACAAATAATGAGATGAAGGTAACATAAGTAAACCGTCTAACCTGTGTTTTTATATTCTATATCGTGATATTCATATTTTTAGAGCATCTTCTGTAGCGTTTCGTATGTGAATTCAAATATTTCCAACAGAGCCTGAAGGCATCGCCAGTCCCTAACGTCCACAATGGTGACGTCTACCATATCATGATGGCGGTAGCCTGGACTATTTTGAATTCCGTCCCGCTATTTGAACAATTCAATAGCTGTAGTATGTAAAATGTGCTATTATTCTGGGGATAACACTCGATAAGTGAAGCTCTATCATGGACTCCGTCGTGGGGGCCGATTTGACGCTCCCCGTTGACATTAACGGAAGGTAAAACACACCAACGTTAGCTAGCGAGCTAACATTAGCATGTTTGAGTACGTTATAGCTAACCCAATAATCCACGATTCCACATTAGTTACCGCTGAACAGGGCTCGACTAATATCTGGAACAACACCTATTCACTCAAGTTGTATTAGATGATACAACGTAAACATATAAAACCAGTAGTTAGCCACATACTATTATAGTTTATTGTTTATAGTTGCTGTACAGTTATATCTCGTAAAATCGATTACTTCTGGTGTAGTTTGTAGTTAATCTGACTCACACACATGATATTTATCTGTATACAGTTCCACATGATCTAACTCTAAGATAATGTTGACATGGCTATTTGAAGTTAGCTAACAATTTAAATTGGACAATCGTCCTGGAAGCAATTATTTGTAGTAACATATTTGACTGACTAACGTTACATACAGTAACGAATCGTCTTTGCACAGAGTACAACGAAATGCAGTTTGTATCCAATCAAACAATGTTGTAGTAATGTTCATAAATGTATAAATATGAATACATATATTTTGATAAGGCATATACGGTGCAGGTTTGAGGTATAAGTTAAATACAGTTGTAATGAACATCAATCACAAATGTAATAATGATATATATACATACCTTTGCCATAAAGTTAAGGGATAATGTTCCTACTAATGTGCACATTGCTTTAAAGTTAACAACACAATAGCGTTTATAAAAATGAGCAAAAGATCTACATACAAAGAAAATAATGTTAGTTTCGTACTGCCAGTCTGGCTCAAACAATATCTGGAGCCCCAAACCATAATGAAACATCAACAGTGCAATACAAGCTTGGTGCAGAGAGCCTGTCATGTGCACTAGAAGTAGTTACTTCCGTTATAAGTCATTTGCAGCTCATTGCATGTAGCTGTGATATCACTGTGATTGGTGGGTCGGCTTGATGACCTGTCAGTCAGATGTGAAAGAAAGCGGAAATTATCTGTCACACTTTCAGAGGGGTTAAGACTGAAGCAGCTCTCTTTGCACTCTCTGCAACATGTGGATTAACATGTAATACTTGTTTTTTCCCCACGTGCTCTCCTTGACATGAGAGAAGTGATTGTGGTAGGTGGACTGTGCATTATTTGCTCTGCTCTTTATATGTGCTTTGTTGACTTGTTCAGGAATATAGCTAGTCTACAACTCTTCCTGCTGCACTGCAAATCTAGTTATAGCTCCTATGTTTTTAGAATGATGTCCTTGGTTTTGTAAATGAGCTAGCGCAGCTGTGTCCTGTGTAAAAGCAGTCATCCAGGTGGTAAGCGTGCCTCAGTAATCCAAGATGTTAGCTGATATGTGTGGTGTGAATGACTTATTCGGTCATTCTGAAACCTGATTCACTGTACCCTTTTAGTTTGGAAAGAAATATGTCTTTGCGTGATGTCAGTCGGCTTGGTTAGTGTCGATTTGCATTAACTACTGTCAATGAAATGATTGTAGGTCTAAATGCTTCCATTTTTGTCTTTAGCAGTTGAACAAAGTGAGAAGAAAAAAGGAGGAAGTCAGTGTTACTCTTACATTGTTTCCACTGTGTGCTTGAGGGGTAACAAATGCAGCGTTAGTAACAATTACACATAGGTCTTTAAATGTCATCTATTATGTTATGAGAGTGACATGTGTGTCACTCTCTATGGATGTTGTTTCACATGTTTGGTTCTTTAGCTCTTGTCGTGGCTCCTGTTGTAGAGGCGTCCTCCCCGTTAACACAGGAAGGGGTTGCTAAGCATGTGAAACCTCCCTGATGCAATTTGACTGACTTTCATTTTCTTTACGAGGAGGATTGTTTTGCTGCTGCTTATAATCGTCATGTTTCATCCTTGTATCACATAGCATCTTGGATCATTTTGACATGAGTTTCATTTGACATGTTGTTGTTTATCAGTATTCAAATGCATCATTTCAACGGTGATTGAATGTTTTAAAAGTCTCCTTTAAATCGGGACTGTATGTCTTTGTATCCACTGTAATTGACTGAATGATGGTGTTTCATGTTGGCTAACATTGTTGCTGGGTGGCTAATCAAATCAGAGATGGGGAAGAGCAGCAGTGTCATTATGGTTTCTGGTGCAGTTTCACAGTGGAAGCTTAGTTATAGCTGAGGTATTCATGGTTACAGAACATGTAGAGATATAATAGAATTGAAAGAATGTCTACAACAATTGAGGAAAAGCAATGCATTGGTGAACACTCAACTTGTGATACAGGGACTGATTTTCACAAATGTAATCCACCCTCCAATTTTTGTAATCGTATTTTATTGCAATGACTCCAAGCTAGAGCACAATCTGCTAAATCCTTTATATAAATAACATGACATTTAGGAATATGTAGACGTGAAATATAAAATAAGTCATGCTGTCAGCGTTGATCTTTGCTGAGTAATATGGCAGAGAAGCAGCAGAGCGAATGTGCCTCCGCTGCCGGGGGAGGTATGGGAAGGAGTTACGCAACGCTGAACATTATATATTATTAGGTTCAAGGTTGAGGGACATGAGCCTGGTCCCAAATAGCATCTGTTTTGTTCATTTAGGTCATTTTATAAGCAGCATATTTACATTAGCCAGCAAGGCAGTAAGACCCCGGTTCCCTTTGTGTCAGTGTGATCCAGATGTGTGTTGCTGATGTTTGGTGTGATTGTCTGCGTGTGACGCCACTGTCCCATCTGTGTGATGCTCAAAGCCACAGTAGGCTGCTTGTCTACCAAAGAAAGCCTCTCCGTCCCCCGGTTCCTCTCGTTCTCTCTCCTCCTGTCGCTCTGTCTGTCTGTGCATGAGAGCTGGGCTGCCATTTGCACATGGTCACACACACACACACACACACACACACACACACACACACACACACACACACACACACACACACACACACACACACACACACACACACACACAGCCAGAGTGGATGTAAATGAAGCAGTCATTCTTGAGCTATTTATGGATTGTTCTTGAGGCTCAATGGAACTGGTCAGCGTGAGTAATGCATAAACATGGCTCTTTATATGTTGTTCAAAAACCATACTAATCAGAGTAAGTCTGTACAATGTGCGTGGTTAGAACACATAGCTTGCGTTGGTTAGGTTGATTAAAAAAATAGAAAAGTCAGTTGTCTTGATTGTAACAGTTATACCTTTTCATAATATTTGCAGTGAGGTTGCATCGCTAACAGAATGATTCTTTCCTTAGCTGCAGACTGCCAGACTCCATAGATGCTGGAGAGTTTTCCATGGACAGCATGACGGGTAAAGAAATACTTTTTTTTGGTTCTATTTCTGCTTTTCCCCTTGTTGAGCTGTGTCTCCCCTTGTGTATTCATTAACATGGCTGCTGAATCGTTGCTGTGACCTCCCGCTGCTATGTCCCCACCGCTGCAAAAAGGGATTAGCTGTATGATGTTAATGAGCTAATCCTCTTTCTAATGAACCCTACAGTGTGCCAACAATGTATACAGTGTTAGAACAATACAAACAAGCAGGAAAACAGTAGGTCAGCATCTGTGGCTTTTTTAAACATTGGTCGTGCGGAAAAATCCAACTAGGCAGAACACTGACATTTGCCGCATTATGTTAAGTCTTATTTGTGTTGGAAAGGCTGCAATTTATTATTATTATTATTGTATTATAAAAACTAATCTGAAGATCACACGTTATCAGTCTATGAATTGGGGAAATGCTTTACTGAGCCAATGCAGACGTCAACAATTGCTTGTGTTGTTCAACTCGCAGCCAAAAAAGATACTAGATACACAATTCATAAATAAAAGAGAACAATGCGACTCCAGGCCAAAAACCTTCTATTAAATATCTCTCCCTGTTCTTCTCTAAGTTTGAGCCTCATCAAACTGTATCAGGAGTCAGTGTTGTGAAATGTGTGTTTGACTCGTGTTACATGATCAGCTGTGGGCTGCTTCCAACTGGTTTAAACATGCTCTCACCTCTGATGCCTCTTCAGTAAAAACACTTCTGCTTTCTCTTTATCGCTCTAAAACAAATGCATTCCTATAAGCCGGGAGGATTCTCTATGATATGGAGACCATAGTGCTTTGTGACACAAGTTCAAGTTGATCACTTTTTTCTTTACAGCTCCATCCTTCCCTGACAAGATGTCCCCAATCAAAGCTCTCACCATGAAGGACTATGAGAATGTGGAGTGATGCTTATTAAGTGGCTTAAAGTTTCTTAAATTGGAGTTGCTATGTAGTTATACAATGTTTAACAAAAGCCTTTTTTATATAACATTACCATGTGATTTGTATTTGTTTATGAATGCGTTTTAAATTGCGTATACGTTAAATCCTCTGTCAGTATGAGTTAATGTAGTCAAACGTAACCCCACCACCAACAAGAGTGGTATTGTGATTCATAAACCTGATCCTCTCTGAATAAAAACAGCCAAACTTACTGTGTGTGTGTGTGTGTGTGTGTGTGTGTGTGTGTGTGTGTGTGTGTGTGTGTGTGTGTGGTGTGTGTGTGTGTGTGTGTGTGTGTGTGTGTGTGTGTGTGTGTGTGTGTGTGTGTGTGTGTGTGTGCTGTGTGTGTGTGTGTGTGTGTTGGGTGTGTGTGTGTGTAGTGTGTGTGTGTGTGTGTGTGTGTGTGTGTGGTGTGTGTGTGTGTGGTGTGTGTGTGTGTGTGTGTGAGTGTGTGTGTGTGTGTGTGTGTGTGTGTGTGCTGTGTGTGTGTGTGTGTGTGTGTGTGTGTGTGTGTGTGTGTGTGTGTGTGTGTGTGTGTGTGTGTGTGTGTGGTGTGTGTGTGTGATGAGTTAAAGTCTATATTTCGGCATTTGAGTGGAATGCATGCTGAGATGTTTTGGCTCGTGCTGCCGGGCTGGCTTCATGATTAGAGGTTTTAAAGAGGGGTCCAGACTCCTGCCTCATCCCTCTGACAGTCTACCCAACCCCCATCACCAGATGTATGCTGTTCCCAGCCTACAGCACAATGATGCACAGTCCACTTCACACACATTCACACTCAAACACACATACAAGAATAAAGGCATCCCTTCATTTGAACATGAACCATGCACGTGACCCTTTTCTACAATGTCAGGCTTTTCAAACAAAGACATTATTTTGACCAAAATGACATGATTTCTTTTTGCACAATAGCTACACTGTAGTGTTTGGCAATGCAAATCAAAGTCCCAGGCTTCCCCAACAATGCAACATACAATATACTTCACTTAAAAAATACATAAAATAGTGCAATAGACATGATGGTGCAAGTAAGAAAGAGCTACATATCAGAATCAGGGTTTCCGTTAGCCGGTAATTACCGGTTTTTAGCTGGTAAAATTGAATAAAAATTAAATTAAAATGTCCGATGCTCCGATCGATCGGCCGCCGGTCATTATCGGCCGATATTCACTCTTAATAGTTTGATCGGTGCTCTCTATAAAGGCCGATCAGGAGAGCTGGATCTGATCGATATGGACATAAACGCGAGTGAAGTATAACCGGACAAGAGAGAGATCAGATCAGCTGCTCCATAATCACCTGAAGCCCCGCCCACTGTTTAGCGCGCTGCATGAGAAACTGACGGGCTGTCAGGAGAGAGGGAGAGGGGAAAAGAGATGATCCGTTTCTCCCGTGTTATTATTCAAAGTTAATGTAAACTTTTGAAGAATGTACTTCATCTACTACAAGTAGTTTGTTTGAATGTAATAATTATGTTTTTTGTGGAATCATTTATTGAAAAATGAATCTGAATTTTTCGATCTGTAATGATTATAAACTGAAGCAATATAAAAATGACTCCCATTAACTGAGTTTTAAACATCAGCATATCCGGTCCTAGTCCGGTGATTACCTGCTAACGGAAACTCTGCTACAACATTCTTATTATTCTTATTGAAACATGACCGGTGAGTTTCAAATATCTCCGGTAAAATAAATTCTGTTCGGACATTTGACCGGCGAGAAAAAATCCTAGCGGAAACCCTGATCAGAATCAGAAATCCTTTTTTAGTCCCACAGCGGGGACAATAGATACATATTAGATAGATTAGATGGACAGAATGTATAATTAAATACTATCATCATGTAAATGAAAGGTATAGATTTATTTGGTTGTTATATTAGGATGGGAAAAAGGGCAACATACATTTTTATTTGTTGATCAATCATTTTCCTGTTCATTACACTTTTTTTTTGTCAATCATCTGCAGCAAATCACAGCTCTGAAGAAAGAGAACTTTAACCTGAAGCTGCGCATTTACTTCATGGAGGAGCGCATGCAGCAGAAATGTGACGACTCCACTGAGGACATTTTCAAAACGGTATTTATTTCACTTTGTAAAAGTCACAATGTTTCATGTGAATCTGTGTTTCCCTCAGGGACTAATTGAGATCACATCTTCACCAAAACAACAACTGGATTTGTTTAAACCAAAATCACCATTTCTAATCTTAGAACAGCTGTCTTGCCTTTGTATTGTTTGTTTGAGTGAGATGTAAGCCCGTTGAAATCTGCCTCTTGTTTTATTTATCTTCTTCTATTTCTCATTTTGAGAGGTGAGGTGTCCTATAAGAATGTTTTCTTCAAGTACCTACCCTAAGATAAAATGAGAGATTCATTTATATGGAAAAGTCAACAATGCAGCTGTCAGAAGTAACCTCTTAAATGATTTCCTCATTGTGAACCAGGTGTGCAAATTAGAAAACCCTCTTTAATGGTCACACATGCAGAGCACACAGCACACAGTGATATGTGTGCTCTGCTTTGAGCCCATCCTAGTACCAGGAGTACTAGGAGCAGTGGGCAGCTATTGTACAGCGAGTGAGGAGGGGGTGTGTTCTGGTGCCTTGCTCAAGGCAACCACGGCAGGGCAGGAGGGAACTGGGACCATCTCCAAGTAGCAGTCCACACTCCATATTTAGGTCTGGTCGGGGACTTGGAACCGGCGACCCTACAGCTCCCAGTCCAAGCCCCTACCGACTGAGTCGCTGCTCCGGACGTGTGTGTTGTGCTGTAATTTGACCAAATGTTGTGTGTTTTTATAGAACATTGAGCTTAAGGTGGAGCTGGAGTCTATGAAGAGAGACCCTGGCAGAGAACATGAACTCCTCGTGTCTGCATCGTGAGTATCCTTCAGTTTCAGCTACATATGTTTGAGTAATTCAGTTAAAAAAAGAAATGAGTTGGCTGGAAGATGTCATTAAGCCAAGTAATACAATTGTTTATATGAGCGATAACTAATCTGCCCCATCCATGTTTATCAGAGAAAGCGTTGGAGAGTCTTGCTGGTCGAGAATCCGGAGAACCCCAGCGTGTGAAAGAGCACGCTCGGAAAGAGATGGATGCACTTAGAGATGCATTCAAACAAAAGGATAGCTGACTTAGAGCAGGGTTGGTCTTCACTAGTTACTGAGAGCAGCACATTTCTCTTTCAACCCCAGGTAGTTGAGGGGGCTGTTGTCTCACTTCTTCCTTCATTTCAGTGTCTGAAAACGGCTGAGGAAGAGGTTGACAAGATGGCAGCCATCGCTGAGCAGGAGAAGCTGAAGAATATTAACATGGAAAAGCAGCTCCAAGCCCTGGGTCCCCTCAGCAGCTTCCCCCCCGGGACTAGCCAAGCACAAGACCTGCAGCAGGCTCTGCAGGAAAAAGACAGGTAGGAACACAATAGAAAAGCAAACACATGAATATGTTTTAATTGTTGTAATGTTTTATCTGTCTAAATGTTTTTCCTTCTCATTTCAGTGTCATTGAGCAGCTCAAGATTACTTTAAAGAACCAGGAAGCTGCGATCCATCAGAAGAAAAGTACAGACCAAGAGACAGATCAACCGTCAGCTGACAGTTTCAAACATCTTTCTGATCTCATAGCCGAGAAAGATCAGGAACTTGAGGTATGCCTTTTATATGTTGTTAAAGATATGCCCTTTTGGAGCTTTCATTCTCACAACCATTTGCTGGGTTTGGTATTATCTGAGAGTTACACAACGTTTTAAGTCATTTGTAGCGCTTACCAAATATTAAGAAGCTTCATTTATAACGTTGACATTCAAATTTTAAATCAACATTTTAATGATGGACGGCTTTTTTCCCCTTCTCCATTTGATTAGACAACAATATATTACATACTACTGTAGTATTAAATAACCCTAAATCATTTCAAAACAAATGCTATTATTAACCATCAGGACATCATTGTTTTATTTATTTATGTTGATGAAATTGAAGGGTTATATTCCACTGACTTGTTTCATTCGTGGATATTTGATCTTTTTATTAAGGTGATGATCTATGGGATTAGTTTTGTATCGTAAAGATAAAGCAACACTTTCTCAGAATAAAGCAAAACTATGAGTTTAAAAGAGAAAAAAAACGAAATCAAGCAAAATAAAATACATTTCAAAAATAAAACTATAAGTTGCAAACAAATCATTTGTGTAATCATGTAAACTATGTGTAATGGCATCCAAGGTTTCCTTTTGCCACTATAGAGCGGGGTTGACGACACGCAATCCAAAGCAATAAGCAGCCGAAGGTTTTCAGTCAAAAAATGTAATTTATTAACAAAAAGTATCGACTTAAATAGTCTCAAAATAACAAATCTAAATCAATATTTCGGCGGTATGCTTTCCTATATAAACTATACTTTGCAGTCCAATTTGCAACACTAATATCTGTTTACAATTTGTGGTCGAAAAACTGTTCCGCTCCCCGTCTCATCAGGTCTCCGAGCACGCCGGCTGTCCTCAATTACCTCACTTAAATACACACCGGAAGGTACAAGGAAACAGATCATATTTACGATATAAAATTAACAATCATTTCCTCAAAACATATTCACCATGGCAATATGAATCATTTTCCATCATTAAATCATTTATCAAATTATGAATCGAAATAATAACTTTGTGGCTCTAACACACCGGCCCCTAATTAATACATTATAATAGAGCCAAAAAACAAGCAGTTACTCAAAATGTAACTGTCACCAATATACAATCATTGTCATAGTTCACAGTCCAATGTTTGTGTTAGATGTGTTTGCATGAGTTCAAGAGGAAAAGGGGGGGGGGGGGGGCGTGTGTGTGATACTGGGTGTCAGAGGTACTAGCACATGACACCTTGTGTTCAATCAACTGCTTCCAGGAGCAGACAGAGCTTGTCAATTGGTCGCTGTAAGGTGCTACCCTTGGTTTTCACCAAGACACTTCGGACAAGCCCTTTCGACCCTGACAGTGTCTTTATCACCCGGCCCAGTTGCCAGGAATTTCTTGGTGCCGTGTTATCCACGATGACGACGAGATCATTGGGGCGAAGGTTCCGTTTGGGGTTGTGCCATTTGACTCGCTGTTGCATGGTTGGGAGATATTCTCTTATCCATCTCCTCCAGAAGAGATCTGCGAGGTATTGTGCCTGTCTCCATCTCCTCCGTGAGTACAAGTCCTCCTTGTGAAAGAGTCCAGGTGGCATAATCGGTTTTGTCTTTAGCAGAAGGAGGTGATTTGGCGTGAGGGGTTCGAGATCGTTTGGGTCACTTGAACTGTAGTCAATGGTCTGTCATTCCATGATGCTCTCAACTTCGCACAAAGCTGTCTGTAGAGTCTCATCATCCAATCTCTGTTCTTTTAGAACGGAACACAGAATCTTTTTTACAGGTCTGATGAGCCTCTCCCAAACTCCACCATGGTGGGCTCCATATGGCGGATTAAAAGTCAATTTTACTCCGTCCCCGAGTAATGCATTTTGAATCTTGTGTTGATTCAGGTCTTTAAGAGCAGCTCTTAGCTCTTTCTGTGCTCCCACAAAGTTTGTGCCGTTGTCGGTCCTGATGCTTGTCACCTGCCCTCTGCGACATATGAATCTGCGCAAAGCATTGATGCAGGAGTCAGTGTCCAATGAGCTCGAAACTTCCAGATGTATGGCACGACTCACAAGGCAGGTGAAGATCACTCCCCAACGTTTTACATTTGCTCTGCCTCGTTTAACCTCCAGGGGTCCAAAGAAGTCGATACCAACATGAGTAAAGGGTGGTAGATCTGGAGACACCCGATCCTCTGGGAGGTCAGCCATTTTCTGCTCTCCAACTGTGGCTAGCATTCTTCGGCAGAAAACACAGGCTCTGATTATCTTTCTGGCTGCCGAGTTAGCACGAGGCAACCAGAATCTTTGATTTAGTCTTGAGAGCATGTGGCTTCTCCCCGAGTGTCCAATCTGCTGATGGATGTGGCCCAGGATCAGTTTGGATACAGTAGAGTCTCTGGGCAGGATAATGGGGTTCTTCAGATCCATTGGCATTGCTGATTTGCTAATTCGTCCTCCTCCCACTCTTAGCATGCCTTCAACTAAGATTGGGTCCAGCTTCCTGATAGAGCTGCTTGCTCTTACTTGCCTTCCCTTCTCCAAAAGTGCAAGTTCCTGAGAGAAGTGACGTCTTTGCTCCGAGTGAATTATTGACCTTTCAGCTTCTCTAATGTCCTCCACAGACAGATGTTGTGATCCAAATGTCAACTTTAGCTTGTTCATTTTGTCCTTTAAGGATTTCAAAAGAGTCCAATCTGGGGCAAGGTCAGCCTTTGCAGATTTCCTTCTTTGATTTAGCAGAAGAAGAATTCCCCTTAATTTAAGTATCCAAGCAACCCCTCTCTGCAGTCTGCTCCATGATGAGTAATACTCAAACAGTTTGCTGGTTCGGTTGGTTTCGTGGACACTCAAACTTTTAACCGCTACGTCCTTTCTAACCTCTGGGTCCTCTGATGGAATAAGGCCCAGGTTCTTAGGTGTTTTTGGCCAATATTCCTTTTCCTTTTCCAGATACTTAGGTCCTGTTATCCACCTTGATGTCTTTAGAAAGTCTTCTACATGCAGCCCACGGGATGCGTCGTCGGCAGGGTTGTCTATGGAGCTCACATGCCTCCACTGCTTCTCCTGAGACAGGTCCTTGATCACTGAAACTCTGTTTGCCACAAATGTGTGATATCGTTTAGTCTGGTTGCTGATGTATCCGAGGACAGAGGTGCTATCTGTCCAGAAGGTTGAGTCGTTGAGGTCCACTTTAAGCTCCCTTTTCAACATCCTGTCCACCTTTACTGCAAGTGTTGCTGCAGTAAGCTCCAATCTGGGAATAGTGATCTGTTTGAGTGGAGTCACTCTGGATTTCCCCAAAATAAATGAAACATGGACCCTTCCCATACTGTTTGTAAAGCGAAGATAGCTGGTGGTGCCGTAACCTTTTTCGCTTGCGTCACAGAAGTGATGAAGCTCTGCAGTCCTGATTGGTCCAAAGTTCTCAGGTTTCATACACCTGTCCACTTGAAATCTGCTAAGCTGTTCCAACTCTGTGATCCATTTCTGCTATTGTTTTAAGTATTCTTCTGGGATGATTTCATCCCATCCACACTTTATCCTGCATAGCTCTTGGAGGATCTGCCTGGCTTTAAGGATAAATGGGGAGAGGAATCCTAATGGGTCGTAGATGGAACTGACTGTAGAGAGGATCCCTCTCCTGGTAAAAGCTCTGTTTTTGATATTGACTTTGAATATGAAGGAGTCTTTCTCTGTATCCCATTTGATTCCAAATGCTCTTTCAATTGGCAGGTTTTCCCTGTCAAAGTCCAGATCCTTGAATAGCTTTGCTCTGTGATGCTCAGGTATACTTGCAAGCACTTCACGGTTGTTACAGACCCATTTGGTCAATCAGAAACCTCCTTTGGCGCATGCGTCTCTGAGGTCTCTGATAAGCTTAATAGCTTGTTCAACTGTGGCCACTGATTTGAGGCAATCATCAACGTAAAAGTTGGAATTGATTGTTTCAGTTACCTCTTCGTCGTACTTAAAGCTGTTGTCTTCTGCCACTTGTCTGAGAGCATAGTTAGCAATGCTAGGTGAGGACACAGCACCAAAGAGGTGGACCTTCATTCTATATGCCTCCAATGAATTTTTAGTGTCTCCATCTGGCCACCACAGAAACCTAAGGAAGTCTTTGTGCTCTCTCTGGACTTGCACTTGATAGAACATTGCCTCGATGTCCCCCATGAAAGCAATTTGTTCTTGGCGGAATCTAAGCAGAACTACAATGAGAGTGTTCGCCAGGTCTGGACCTTGGAGAAGTTCCTTGTTAAGAGATGCGCCTTTGCATGATGCAGTGCAGTCAAACACAACTCTAAGTTTGCGCTTTTGTTGATGGTAAACACCGTGGTGAGGTATGTACCATATCTGTCCATCATTCCTGTTAAGCTGTTCTGGTGGCACTCTCTCTGCATAACCCCTTTTTAACACATCCTCCATGAATGTTTTGTATTCCATGGCATATTCTGCATCCCTCTTAAACCTCTTTAGGATATTTAGAGTACGTTGTTTTACCATTTCGTAGTTGTCAGGCATAACTATGTCCTTTTTTCGAAAAGGCAAGGGAAGGTGATAGTGTCCATCCTTGAGTTCTACTGAGCTTGATGCTATCTCCATGAACCTTTTGTCTTCACCTGACATTTCCTTCTTCTCTTCATAATCTTTTTCCGAGAAGTCCCGATTGTATTGTGTGATGAGATCGTTCAGGTTGGCTACTGATATTCTGTTGACCATTGTGACCACAGGTCCGGATTCCACAGCAGTACAAGCGTTGAGTGGTCCATTTACCACCCATCCAAACACTGTCCTGACTGTACATGGTCCATTTCCTTGACTTCTTATTATGTCCCAAGGTTCCATTGCCTTGGGAACATCAACTCCTATTAGAAGCTCTATGTCAGCATCAATTTCTTTCAGCTGTATGTCACTTAGATAAGGCCATCTTTCCAGATCCTTTTGGGTAGGTACATTTTCTTTTGAGACAGGAATCTTACTCTGTGTGTATACCTGAGGTAGGTCAATGTAAGTACTGCCATCTAAATGTCCTATTTCCAATCCTTTGAGTTCGTAACTCTTTACAAGTCGTTCCTGATCCATTGTTCGTAGAACGACTGTCGTTTTTCGTGCTTTGGGATTCAGCTGTCTCATTAGATTCTCTGTGCAGAATGACGCTGAACTGCCGGGATCAAGAAAAGCATAGGTTGAGATAAACTTATCTCCTTTGTGCACCTTGACTCGAACAGGCACTATGGCTAGGGCACAATCCCTACCGGCCCCAGTAGCTTCACCAGCCGAGACAAGTGCACTGTTGACCCAAGCTCCTTTTGTTTCAGTAGGGGGAGGCTTTTGTAGAAGTGGACTGTCAATGTGAAGTATTGTTGGGTGACTCTTTTGACACTTTTGACATGTCAGCCTTTTCCTACAGTTCCTGCTCATATGACCCCTCATCCAAAACAAAAACCATTTATCTTCAAAAAGTCAACCTTTTCCTTGTGTGGATGATGTTTGAACTGATGGCAATCAGTCAGCACGTGCTTGCCTTTACAAAAGTAGCAAAAAGAGGCAGGACTGTCCGCTCCGGTGTGTCCCTCTTTTCCGGGGATCCAAACGGTGTGTGTCTCTTCCTTACGGAGTTTTTCGACTTGATGTAATGGCATCCGAGGTTTCCTTTTGCCACTATAGAGCGGGGTTGACGACACGCAATCCAAAGCAATAAGCAGCCGAAGGTTTTCAGTCAAAAAATGTAATTTATTAATAAAAAAGTATTGACTTAAATAGTCTCAAAATAACAAATCTAAATCAATATTTCGGCGGTATGCTTTCCTATATAAACTATACTTTGCAGTCCAATTTGCAACACTAATATCTGTTTACAATTTGTGGTCGAAAAACTGTTCCGCTCCCCGTCTCATCAGGTCTCCGAGCACGCCGGCTGTCCTCAATTACCTCACTTAAATACACACCGGAAGGTACAAGGAAACGGATCATATTTACGATATAAAATTAACAATCATTTCCTCAAAACATATTCACCATGGCAATATGAATCATTTTCCATCATTAAATCATTTATCAAATTATGAATCGAAATAATAACGTTGTGGCTCTAACACTGAGTATTTTTTCTTTGTTTTAACATAGGTTTTTGTTTGCAGTTCTTGTTTCTTCTTTCTCAATGATCAGACTTTTGCTCTCGCTGCAGCTCTCTCGTTTGCGCTCCCTCATTTTTTGTTTGAGATTTTGACACAAACATCCCAGGTGGGCGGGACTTTCAGGAGTGCGTCCCCATTGGCTACTCAGCTTTTGAGTGACAGCCCACTACACCACAGATCATACAGTGCAACTCATGCAGCAAACTCCGGAGTCCACTCGGCCACGTTAGTGTCGGTGTCTCCTGAGGAGTTGAACATATCAGACTTATCTTATGGATTGCAGTGCATTATACTTGTGTGGTGTAGTTTATACTTTATTCCAACTTTAAATATTGTAATACCTGAACACACTGCTGCTGTTAAATAATTTCCCAATTTGGGATTGATAAAGTGTATTTATTTTATAGATTAAAAAAACACATGTATTTTCAAGCTAAAGGTGATGCACAATATAAAGTGTATACTATTATTTTTTTCAAAGACATGTTACATTTCAAAAGCATCTATTGCTATGTTTAGGACAAACAATTAAAGACTGCTTTAATTTAACAAATTCTACAATATAAAAGTGGCAGATTTGCTTTATGAAACAGAGCAGACCTAGGCTGCATACCAACACAATTAGGAACATGCTCGCATCTCACTATGTTGGTCTGAAGAGCTGAAGCATTCATACACAATGGATAAAACCGGTGTTGTCTCATTCTATATCCTGTGAGAAAATGATATACATTTAGCATTACAAACTCAACATACTATTCCTAGCCTGAGGAAGATCTGAATAATCAACAGATTTGAATGGAATCTCTAACATTTTCATGTAGAATAAAGACAAAAGAGTGATTATACAAATTACATTTATTGAAATTTGAACCAGAAGATGAAGTCTCAAAGAATGTTTTAAATAAAAGGACATAAAACAAAAAGGTGGATAATAATAAAATCTATTAAATGTATATGTAAAGACATTTGGTCAAATGAAATGACACTGAGCCAGTGATAACAGCAACGCCCAGCGTGGATGAAGCTGGTGCAGGGGCCTGATTTATAAAGGGATATACGCTCAAAAAATGGCGTACGCCAGTTTCTACGCAATGTTTGCGATTGATAAAATACTAACTTGACGGGAAAATGTGCGGTCCTCCACGCAAACTCTAACCCATGCGTACGCACTAAGCACAAAAACGGGAGAGACGAGAAACTGCGACACCGTTGGCAGAAGGAAGAATGGAGATAAATATGTGGAAATAATACCATAAACAAAATGTTACCTCTCATTTATCATATGAATAATTCATTTTCAAACATTGATTAAAGCCAATCATAAAATGACTAAACAAACGCCTGTTTGAGACTCCTCAGTGCACACAAAAACATAACTTGGAGAAATAAATAAATACGGATATGTTATTTAAAAACACCTCGAATATGTTGTGTTAATGTTATGAAATGTTTTCTCATAAATTAGGACTCAGAGGTCAATGAATAGGAGATAGGGTTAGAATTTAGGAGCTGATTTTTGGATTATCGGAACGCAACCGAGGTCTTTCTTCATGCCCCCCCTCCTAGGATCTAATGCTGTCCCCTCAGAGGAAGTGGGAAAACGGGATAAGACTCTGGACGCCACGCTGTCTCAATGATCCACACTGTTAATATGAGAGGAAAATAAATGTTTTAGGAAATGAAAAATATGAAGTTAACAAAAAAAACACAGCTCAGGGGCATCATGGACGGTAGGTTTTCCTACAAAGTTAAGTCAGCCTCCATTGATTTTCACATCAAATTAGCGTGTTAATAAAATAAACTATCATGGCTTATACTTGCATATCTAAACAGAATCATGAAAGCCTGTTGGTAGAGTCAGGCACACGAGTCCGTTTGAGTGTGTGCGCAGGTGTCTGAACGCTCACTCACTGCTAGCTATGGAGCTAACTGTTAGGCTACTTAGCTTGCATTGTTATGGATCTAAGGTAGCACAAGCTAACTTTCATAGCACAGCTTTCCTTCTCACGTATTATAATAATTGAAATGCTGGTTCTTCTGGGGGTGTTCTATCCACGCTCAGCTACCGCACCGCAGCTGCCTGCACTGTACAATCGTTGGAGGACTGGGCTGTCACAAAAACGTAGCCAATGGGGACGCACCCCTGAAAGTCCCGCCCACCTGGGAGGTTTGTGTCAGAATCTCAAACAAAAAATGAGGGAGCGCAAAAGAGAGAGCTGCAGCGAGAGCAAAAGTCTGATCATTGAGAAAGAAGAAACAAGAACTGCAAACAAAAACCTATGTTAAAACAAAGAAAAAAGACTTGTAGTTTACATGATTACACAAATGATTTGTTTGCAATTTATAGTTTTATTTTTGAAATATATTTTATTTTGCTTGACTCAGTTTTTTTTCTTTTAAACTCATAGTTTTGCTTGATTCTGAGAAAGTGTTGCTTTATCTTTATGATACAAAACTAATCCCATAATGATCATAAAACATGATGAAAGACATTTAAGGTATCGTTTCAAAACATAAATAGATTCTTTCATTTAAAAAGAAAAATGACATTCTGTACAGCTGTAGTCGTTTATTGCCATGTTTTAAGAGTATTTACAGGATATTCAGAGAAAATGGATGTATTGCCACTATTCCCAGCCACTCAATGACTTGTACTCAGTTTCAGGCCTATTGCAATAGGCATTAGAGTGACCTTTGACTGTCTGTTCCCAGGCACTGAGGGACATGCTACACAGGGACAAGGACAAAACAACTCCGGACTCTCAGGTGGGTGTTGTGGGGATTTCCATTCTATTTCCAGCAACAGTTTGCCTCCAACCAAAAGCTAACTCATGCAACTGTTCACTGATGTGAAAGCATTCCCAGTCAAACGCTCACTGAGCAACAGCTGGACACAGGCTCTGTTTATTATGTCCAGGCACTGCCAGCTTCAGAGGGTTGTCCCATGTTGTTCTGGTGAACCACAGGAAGTGGACTTTGGCCTTTTGTATGACTTACTTTCCCTGCGTGCCCCCTGGTGCTGTTTTTAATTTTGTACCCTGCTTCACAAAAGTGGTAGTGAGAATGTTGGGCCTTTTTAATAGGCAATCTAATGTTGGTCACAATAGGAAGCTTATATAATAAAAACGATTTGCCTTGGAGTAGTAAGGACTGGTGCTATTTGATCTCTTGTTTTGGAGGAAGTACTTCTGTTATATATATTCTCTATAACAACTATATGGTTGTATTCTTGACATCAAATAGGATCCCTGTTATTTGGTCTCATATGACGTTTTTGAATGATTGATAGATGAATGTCAAATGTTTGAGATATCCTATAGTTTATTTCTGATTATGGTGATGTTTTGTATTTACAAAGCAGAAGAGAATGAAGGGAATTTGTCGGCCGGTGGCAATCTCCTAATTCATTATCTTCTCTTTTAAATGTGAAAATAGAAATCAGTATCTTTGTTGTCTTAATGTTTTGTAATTTGTTTTCCCAAAAATTCAGAATTGAATTGCAAAAGACAGTTTTCAGGTTTTTTGACACTTAATCTACAAAACAAAACTTGATCCTAAATGTATAAAGGTTTAATGTTATAGTGAAATATATTTAGTCCAGGCTGTCTGTGTCTAAATGTTTTGCCTGATACATTTTGTTTCTCAAATGTGCCTGTTGTTTTTTATTGTTGAACCCTTTGTTGCTGCTATACATAGCCAGGTCTCCAAAACCAAAAACACTCACTTTAGACTTAGCTTAAGAATGTCCAAACATCTAGAGATAATTAAATGCAATTTCACAGTAATCATCAAAACATTGCAAGCAATTGGTGTGGGTACTGTGTTGTAGATGTTCAGAGTAGAAGGCTGTTTGACGTAACCATGGTTCCTTGCTGGCGTCTAGTCTCAGGTCACGTTGTTAAGACTGGATTACCATGCTGTCTGCAGACCTGTGAGAGTTATTTATGTCCAGTCTTATTTATTAAAAGGAAAATGCTGTAACATGTCAGTGTTTCTCAGACTTGGGAAACAATATATTGCAAAATATTTTTTTGTTAGATTAGGGACAGCATGTCTGTCTACCACGGATGCTTTTGTGGTATGGTAAGACTCGAGTGGCCTCACCAGAGTGTAATGGAAAGTGATTGCTAGGAAACACCTCTTCTAATCCTACAGCAGATTTGTTTTAAATGTAATGCCAGGCAGGCTGTGCTCTATAGATGTGGTTTGCTGCTTCCATTGTCATTATTTCCCTGAAGATGCACGTGTATGAGGTAGATCCTTTTACTTGATCCGCTGTCCGTGGGAAGGTTTACTAGAGATGGTCTGGCAGCGGCCATAACCCTGCTGCAGTCCTAGAGGATTTCATCTGATTGAATGTGTTGTTGAGAGTGGAATAGAGGCGGAGCAGGGATTATCAACAGCTTAGAGCTTATACTGCGCTGCACTCCGTCATTCTCCTCTTTGCTTCTCCTGCTGATGCAGTGAGGGAAAATGATAGATGGCTATTGCATGGTCTGATGATTATTAGGTCACTGGGCTGGCTTTTGGACTTGGGTGAATCTGGAATCTAAAGACCTAAAGCGCCATGAAGGACCCGTGTCGCATATGTGCTGTTCGTCTGGTGGGAAGCCAGTGTCGCTGGATCTTCAGCACGTCAGCACAGAGGAAGCTACAAGTCATCTTGTCCCATGTGCTGGGCTGGGAGTTGACTCGTGACGGCCGTGGGGAGTTTCTCTGTGGGAAATGTGTGTTCCAGCTGGAGAAGGTGGTACAATGTGATGTTAACATCAGCCAACTGCAGGAAGAGCACAACAATCAGATCCAGAAGCTGCAGGCGGAGAAAGAGCACCTGATCCAGTGCATTATCCACATCTACAACAAAAACAACCAGGCCTGTAAGAGTGATGTGGAGAGCACCAGCTGCGAGAAGACCTCAAGGGCGGGCAGTCCTGATGATGAGGCTGGGTACCCGCTGGCCTCTGAAGGACAGCTGTTCAGGGAAAGAGGAAGTAGTCACATGGAGAATCGCATGAGAAGGTGTGTGAGTCTGGATGTAATTGTCAGTAAAGGGGCGTTACCAGCGAGATCAAACCTCAAGAGCAACAGAATGGGATCAGCGACGGGGCTCCATGGCTCTATAAAGAACCTCGGTCCACGAGTCACACACCACCAATCACAGAACACGTACCTTGATGTCGTCCAACGCAAAGGAACACTGCCCAGACCTGGAGTCAAAGATCAATCCACATCCCTGCAGTCCCTCAACTTTTCCTTAGACCCCCCTTCAGACCCTCCCCCCAAACTGAAACCCAGAGAGTCCAAGGTGTTTGCTGCCAGACGGGGTGTCCCTGATGACCTCAGAGGAAAGGTTCAAGCCAGAGCGCTACACCGCAGTTCCTCAAGTCAGCCTTCTGTGATCATTGATCTAATTCAGATTCTGCGCTGCATCTCCAAGCAACATTTCTCTGCCCCTGCAGGGAGCCACATCCCCGTCCTGAAGAGGTTACATACAGGCCCTCTCAGAACCCGAGCCAAGGGCAGACACAGAGAGGCAGACTGGAAGTCTCTGGATGACCTTACAGAGGAATTTGATGATAAATACACTCCTGTCAGAGTCATGGAGGTAGTTGTTTCATGGTTCCCAGGGGTCCTTAAAATCCTCGAAAGTGTGTGACTTTAAAGGGGAAAAATCCAAGGTCTTTTGTTAATAGACATGGGTCATTAAAAGTGCTTGAATTAATATATAATATTTATATTGTGCAATAATCTTGACTTAACGTTAGTAAATAGGTTAGGGTTTTCCTGCAGTAGCCTGTTTCACCCACCACCTGAATCTAAAAACTGAGACACACATTAAACTTGATCCATGTCTCTGGATTTTGCAGAGTGAGGTTCGGCGAGTGGAGTCCTACAATAAGCTGCTGACTGAAAAGTTCACCCAGGCACAAAGCACCAATAATGACCTGAGTAAAACACTGGAGGAAACCCAGAATCAGAACAAGGTACATTGAGATTTTGCTCCATTTAATATGTTTTTATTATATGGGAGTTTCTTTGGGTAAAACACTTTTCTTGTGCAAACAGGTCCTGTTAGGGAAGCTGGAGGGGAAGGAGAATGAGCTCAACTCTGAGAAGAAAAATGCTCTAAAGCGAGACAAAACCATCCAGGGATTTACTCAGGTTCTGAAAGAAAAGGAAAAAGAGGTAATGTTCACACTCTTATTACAAGTGGTATTGCTCTCATTGATCTGTATTACGCATGATTGAACTTGTCTGTCTTTTTCTGTTCTGCACAGATTGCAGAGCTGTGTCATGAGATTGAGGACAGGGACGATGCTCTGGCCAAGGCTAGAGAAGCAGCACATAAAGCCCAACTGCAGAAATACCAGGCAAGTCCTGCACTTTTATAGAGAGCCAACTTGAATGTTTATGATAATAAAATGGCTCTGTGTGTGTCTTTTATGTTCACAAATGATATTACTAAGAGGTACATTTTTGCGTATTTCCCTCAGGGAGTAGAAGAGCACCAAAATCTGTTAATGACGAAGCAAACGGAGCTCGCCCAACTCCAGGGGGAACATCACGCCAAGGTGCTTGAGGCCCAAAAGCTGCAGCGGGGCCTGGACAGGAAGGAGCAAGAGCTGGCTGACCTGCAGCAGGCAAAGGACCAGCTAGAGTTGGAACTGGAGGACCTGCAACAGCACAAGAAGAAGGGGGACAAGGCCCTGAATGTAAGACAAAAAAACGGTATTATTGACTCCAGCCATCATTCAAATGACAGATTTGGTGTGACGGTATTATCATTTCCCCCCTCCAGGATCTGAACAATCAGCTGAAAAAGCTGAGCAGTGAGATTGGAGACAGAGAGAGTGCTCTGGAGCAGCAGTACCAGGAGCTGCTGGATCAAACCCAAAGAAAAGTGCAATCCCATGAGGTCACCATCCAGCGGCTCACATCCTCTCTGGCTGATAAAGAGCAGCAGCTACAGGTAACACAACTACATGAAACATATTCAGACAGATTCTACACCAAAAGATTCAATATGATTGTGTGTGTTAATCAAACATTTTCGAATGGTTGGCCTTTTTTCCCGGTGTTTTTCAGGAGTACATAAACATGGTCAGAGATTTTGAACAAAGTAAAAGCCCAGGAGGAAACGACAATGTGCTTTCCAAGCTGCGGCAAAGGCTGAAAGAAAAGGAGAAGGCTCTGGAGGTGAGCATTCCTTCTCTTTAATCCTCTCACCACAGCGACTATAATTTGATTCTGACATTGTGCTGTTGTCTCTCTCACAGCAAGCGCTGGATGAGAAGTTTGCTGCCATAGAGGAGAAAGACAATGAGATACACCAGCTGCAGCTGTCTCTCAGGGAGAAGGAGAGAGACCTGGAAAGACTGAACAACTTGCTCTCTCACAACGAGGAGACCATCGATGTGAGAAGCCATGACCCATACATTAGCCTTTTTCCAGTAATCATTAATACAATGGTTTTTTCCAATGCATCTTTGTGCTCATTTCTCTACTTACAGAGTTTTGACAGTCTGGTCAAGGAGAAGGATGTGGAGCTGCAACACCTTGCAAACACACTGAAGAACCTGCAGAGAGCAAAACAAGATGTAGAAGACAACTTGAACAGATCACTGAGAGAGAAGGACTCCATCATCATTCAGCTGCAGCTTTCTTTGGAGGGCAAGACAAAGGATATGGATGTTAGTTGGCCCTCCCTCTGCTGTATTTGCAACCATGTCTTTTGTGTTTTTTTCACTGTTCTGAATGAGGACTGACATGTACCTGAGATGCTTCTTCTTTAAAACCTTTGTTTTCAGGACATGGCCGAATCCATGCTGAGCCAGTCGCAGACTAATGCTCGTGACCTTGCTGAACAGATGGGCCAGAGGTTAAAGGTCACAGAAGCAATGTTGGCTGAGACTGTGGAGGCCAGGGCAAGGCTGGTCGCTGACAACGAGAGTGCTGTGGAGGGACTGTTGGCTACAATCAGGAGCAAGGACCAGCTGCTCAAGGTCCTCATTTCATTAAGAAATCAATGTGAATGCTTTCACCCAAAATAAATCTTTGGAGCAACCAATCATGATAGCATATAGCAAAGGAAATGTAATTGCAATGATAATAACACAAGTGGTTATTAGTAATAGAAATTAGAGAATTAAGTAAGTGTCAACACATGGAATTAAATCTATTAAAAAAATAATGAACATATTGAAATATAGATTTTACACAATAAACTAGGACTGCCTGCAATGAGTATAATTACTCTCAAAAACATCCCAACCATTTCAAGATAATTGGTCTCACAGTCAAAGGCAAATGTCTTTAAATGTCTTTTTTCTATTAGTCCAAAACATTCACACACACATTTACACATGAGAGGCTTCAAATAGCATTTTCTGACATTTCTTAAAAAACTATTCGTTGCAGATGTTCTAATCTACAACTTTAAAATATGCCATTTGTATGTACAGAATGTGGGTAAACATCACCTCCTCTCATTTCTTGGATCTGTTTTTCTCCCTTCTCCAGGAGTCTGCAGAGCACTACAACCGCATGCTGTCTGAGCGCACTCAGGAGATCCAGGAGCTGAGGAGGCAGCTCACTGACATGCAGCAGAAGCTTGCCACTGCTGAGAAGCAAAGCTCTACAGCAGCCCAGGAGAGTCATTTAGACACTGCAGGGCTCAGAGCCATGCTCGCTGAGAAAGACAGCCTCATCAACGTAAGTTCCTCTGGGATACAACACAGTAACTCAGCTGGAAAATGTGCTTGACTTAGAAGCCTAACAAGGAGAAGAAAAGAAAACATCAACACAAATAATACTCCTCTCCTACATTCTGACTTCTAATGATTTAGTGGCATATTTTGACAAAGTCTAAAGGTATCAATGTGTCTCAAGGTAGCTAACTTGATATCTTGTAAATATGCAGAAGCTTCTACAGCGTGGTCAGGAGATGGATCAGTTTGTGGTAGATTTGAGACAGAAGGAGGAGTCGGAACATGTGTTGGAGCTCAGACATACCATCCAAATCATGCAGGAGAAGATGGTTGACGGGGAAGGTGAGGCCTTAGATATTAAAACCTCATCATCTCATGAATATTTATAAGTTAGAGTACATCTCGGTCCTATATTTGTTTCTATTTTGTTTTCCCTGAAGCTGAGCTGTCCAGGAGGAACAGTGGGGATAATATGGAGAACGTTCTGCATTCCAAGAAGACAGTTGTCGTCCTGAAGAAGGAGCTTGCACAGAAAACTGAGGCACTGAATAAAGCACTGAAGCGGGAAAATGAACTGAAGGTCAGTCACTTATAAACATTTAGCTTCTACCATATTCTGCACACTTGCGAATGGGTGTCTTATTGTGCTGACTTCAAATGTATTTTCCCAATATTCAGATGTCTTTGGCAGATTTACAGTCATCACTGTCTGAGCTGGAGGGTCGTTACGAAGGTCAGGCTGCTAATGTGGAGTCCCTGACTGCAACTCTGAAGACCAAGGATGAGATTATTGATGTAAGGGTTCCTCCATTCACACAGCACTGAACTCAGCAGCCTCTTGTCTTGCAGTTCTCATGTTTTGTTTGATTGTGTCTGTGATCAGGCTCTCCACCAGCGCCTCGGGCAAAGAGGGGAAAATGGGTCTGATCAGACCCAGGATCAGATGGTTAGCTCGGGCATGGAGAGGTCACTGCCTGAGCTCCCTCAGAGAGGGAGGACCATGATTGGAGGAGATAGCCAGCAAGAAGTAAACTAACAACCTTTTTTTTTAATAAAACACCAGAAAACAACACATTTTACGCATCATTCTCTGACATTAAGACTTGTGCTTTTTCATTTTCTGTCACCCTAAAGACATTGCCTAGCCTTACAGCCTTGCAACAGCAGCATGACTCTCTGAACAAAGCGCTGAGAGCCGAGCAGCAGCTCTACTCCAGCCTCGTCAAGACTGTAAAGGAGCAGGACAGGTAGAGATAATGGTGAATGTAAAAAAAAGAAATTCTGAGTAGCTTAATTTATGTGATGACTTAACCCCTCTGTGTTTGTGCAGCGCTCAGCGTCTCCATGCTCTGCAGTTGGAGCTGACAGCAGTGCAGCTCCTCAGGCAGCAGCTGGAGGAGGGCATCACAACTAATGAGGAGCTCAGGGACGATCTGGAGAGGGAGATACACAGAGCCAAACTCGGAGAAGGTGCAGTAAATGACGAGGGGAACTGAATGAAAGTAAATAAAGAAAAATGAAATGAAAAGATTGTTAGAAGAGTTGGGAAGCACAAAGCTCAGGGAGAGTTCTACTATAGGTAGGGTTGGGTACCGAGAACCGGTTCCTATACAGAACTTTGATTCCATCAGTATCGTTTAGAAAGGTCCATTTAGGAAATGTATCTCGCCGCTTTCTCTACTGTTAAACGGGGGCCGGGCGGGAAATGCAGCGAGCACAGTACCAGGGTTGGGAAGCACCAACACTTGGTCCAGAGTAAGAACAAATAACAATTGTCTGGTACCAGGTCTCTCTCTCACTGTCTCTCTCTCTCTCTCGTCCGCTCCTCTCTCACTGTTTCTCTCTCTCTCTCACTGTCTCTCTCTCTCTCTCTCTCACTGTCTCTCTCTCTGTCCTCTCTCTCTTCACTGCCTCTCTCTCTCTCTCTCTCTCTCTTCTCTCTCTCTCTCTCTCTCTCCACTGTCTCTCTCTCTGTCCGCTCCTCTCTTCACTGTCTCTCTCTCTGTCCGCTCCTCTCTCACTGTCTCTCTCTCTCTCACTGTCTCTCTCTCTGTCTGCTCTTCTCTTCACTGTCTCTCTCTCTCTCACTGTCTCTCTCTCTGTCCGCTCCTCTCTTCACTGTCTCTCTCTCTGTCCGCTCCTCTCTTCACTGTCTCTCTCTCTCTCTCACTGTCTCTCTCTCTCTCACTGTCTCTCTCTCTGTCCGCTCCTCTCTTCATGTCTCTCTCTCTCTCTCTCTCATGTCTCTCTCTCTGTCCGCTCCTCTCTCACTGTCTCTCTCTCTCTCTCACTGTCTCTCTCTCTGTCTGCTCTTCTCTTCACTGTCTCTCTCTCTCACTGTCTCTCTCTCTCTCTCTCTCTCTCTCTCTCTCTCTCTCTCTCACTGTCTCTCTCTCTCTCTCCGCTCCTCTCTTCACTGTCTCTCACTGTCTCTCTCTCTCTCCGCTCCTCTCTTCACTGTCTCTCTCTCTCTCTCTCACTGTCTCTCTCTCTCTCTCTCTCTCTCTCTCTCTCTCTCTCACTGTCTCTCTCTCTCTCTCACTGTCTCTCTCTCCGCTCCTCTCTTTCTCTCTCTCTCCCTCTCAACCAAATGATACTGTATGAAGTGATTTATAAATATGAATATAGATTTAGACTTATTTTTACTCTTAAAGAACCAAAATCATGAACCAAAGCAGAACCGTAATTGTTCAAATCCAAACGATACCCAACCCTAACTAAAGGTCTTAAGGAAAGCAACACATACACAAACACCTGTCTTCTTTATCCCCTGTGTTTACTCTAATAATATCCCCTGCTGACAAGCTCACACCCCCTCTTCTTCATCCGTCATTTTGTTCAGCATGCACACCTGGTCCTTCCTCTTCATGTTTACTGTTCTTTACATCATCACCTCCTCATCTGCATGTGTTTTCAACAAAAGAGTTACTACCTGTCTTCTCTGTCACTCTTTCAATGTAATGCATCCTCACTGTCTTTCAGTTTGTCTGTCCTTTATTTAAAAAAGAAAATGAATAAAGGCTGCTGTTGGCCGATCTTCCTGTCTTTCACTTCTATCATTCTGTCTGCTTTTCTTCACTGTCCGATTAAAACGTTGTTTGTCTGTTGATTGCATTACTTCTCTAACACTGCTCTGTTTATTAATCCAACACATCCGACCATCTATCACATGAGTTAGAATTCATCACATAAGCATGTCATTACATATCAACTTTAAGTATTAAAGGTCATATCGCTATAGAATCGAGTATACTAGTGAAGAGCAGCTCCCCTGAAATATAAACTGATCAAACAATCCAATATGTGTTATGACACCCCATTGTTTATTACGGTTAGTGACAACAGGACAGCATATTAAGGTCGCATTCACACCAGCCTTGTATAGTCCGGTTGAATCGAACCCTGGTGCGGTTGGTTTGGGTCGGTGTGAACACAGTCCGACTCCGAGACCTCTGAAGTGAACTAAACAACCGGACTCTGGTCCGCTAAAAGAGGTGGTCTCGGAGCGCTTGCTAGTGAACTCTGGAGCGGTTCATTGCTGGTGTGAACGCAGTCTGCACCAACACATAGGAAGCGTAGTATTTACGTGTCACAAGAATGCGGGTGTCTTCAAAATCGTCGTTAGCGAAAGAGTGAAGCAGAATGAAGTGTTGAACAGTGTCGTGTAAAGTAAAAACAACTATCAAACTGAAGACTATACATAAAAGTCAGAGCCCCCTGCCGTCGGTGAAACCCCCTCCTTACTGCAGAACGTCTCTCTGAATGTGTTCATGTTTTTTATCGCACGTTGTCTGATGGTATAATCATATGCGCCGTTGCTAGAATCTGTTGATATGCTCTCCAGATTAACAGCAGCATGAAAATAACCTGCCGATGCTCCGTGGCGGAGGCTCCGGTAGAAATTGCCGGGATTTGCGTTTTTACCCCCTTAATGTCTGACCAATGGTTGAACAGCATTTCCGTGCACATGACTTGTGTTTAAAGTTTATAGTCCGTTTGAGTTTTGCCGTGTGAACGCAAACCCAACCTTCTGAACAATGAAACAATGTAACTGTGGTCTGGCGCCAGAGAAGCAGACTATTAGGCGTGAATGTGACCTAAGACTATTTAAGGTAGACAAAATGTCAAAAGCTCAGGACTTTTCAATGAATAAGACATCGTGGCTATTTTCTGAGATTAAAGTGGTACATTTAAGAAATATCTTTTTTTCGTCACTGTAAGGGTGTATAACCTCTCCACACCCTCACATTCGGGTTTTTTCTTGTCAATTTGTGACTTTAATCTCAAGAAACATAAGCTTCTCTCTCTGTCATTTTATAATAAAACATGACCCTAATACATTGACGTAGATGCAGCCTTGAGACTGATTAAAAGTGTCACTGAGCCAATTGACTTGTTCTTCCACATGCATGTGGGTGTCCTCCTATGTGAGTGTATCAAGTCCATGTTCACCCCGCCCCTCCAGTCTGAAAAGTGCCAGGTGTGTAAATAGGTCACACTCATACTGACTACAGGATGACTGTAGCTGCAGTAATTACCACCGGGTACTTTTCCACATTTCTTGTTTTGGTTATATAGTCATTTTAATGTGTAGTACATACAGTGTTGGCATGCTTCATGTAGCCAAACACGCAGAAACATAGTGGTTATATGTGTCTATATTTGTTTGTGTTATTATGTGGCTACAGATCCCAAACTGTTCTCAACACACTCCAGCTTTTTGTTAGTTTCCACCACTAGCTTATCTTATTCAACTTCAAATATCTGGGATTTGATGTGAACTGAACAAGCATGCCAATATGCATCAAATGCATATTCTTTCGAGTTTGTAATAAACAAATAACTTTTGCAATTATCAAATGTTATATTTTGCACCGATACATACCGTAAACTATGAATTTTAAACATCTACACATTTTTCTCTAGAGCTGCGAATCATCCGTTGTAAATCCTGTGCCTCAGTATATTTATAGTTTCTAGTATATTGTTTAACTTTAACACAAGGTTTTTTACAGCCTTAACTATTAACGATGCAGCATCTGTATCATTGTCATTTGATGTTTAAGAAGAAACTGTCCGTCACCGTCCTATGCAGAAATGTACTTTGTTGTCACACCAGAGTTTGTGTGTGTGCATGTGTGTAACCTCTCTGTGTATGTGTTCAGGTATGGACCTGGTTGATCCTAAAGAGCTGGAGAGCATGAGACATCAGCTTGAAGATGCTCAGCGCTGGAATGCCTCTCTGCAGGCCCGCCTAGGAGCCATTCAGAGCCGTGGAGGAGGGGTCGGTGGGGCCACTGATGGTGGTAAGAGAAGAAAAACAATCTTTATTCTGTCATTTCAGAGTTTTGCTGATGGGAGATGTTTTTTTAAATGTGACTCTAATTCTTTCAGGGGAAACGTTGAGTTTCATTGGAGATCAGACTTCCTACATGAGTATCTGTGTGGGAGAGGAGCATGAGGACAGCTTGTCTCAGCTCTCCGCACAAGAGCTCAAGCAGAAGGTGATATACCTTTTAAACCTAGTACATTTTTAGACCAAAGCATTGTGTCTCTGCTAAACACAACAGTAGATTTGAAAAGTTATCAAAGAAATGTCACCAAAATACGTAACACAGTGAAACAATCATGCAAAAGCATTCAAATGAGTCTGTCTGGGCCTAAGGTGATGGAGCTGCAGGATTCCAGCAGCAGACTTCAGACTTTAAACAATGAGCTGCAGAACCGACTGTCATTGTTGGAGAAGTCGGGCCAAGACGCTTACGCCAAGGAAGACAAAGACGTGGCCAGCAGCAGCAGCAGCAGCAGCCCATTAAAACAGGTTAGAGTCCACAAATGGAGAAAGTTGTACTTGGAAGTTCATTCGTCAAAGTTTATTTTCTTAAACATACAATAAAGGGCACCTTTCTCTAATTGATCAGCAAAGTATGTCCACAAATACTCTGGATCATGTCTTGAGTCATTGTCTAACATCACCTGTATTAGCTCCTTTCTAACCTTTGATCCTACATCTTAGCCTTTGCTCTGTCTTTAGCCTGTTACTAATGTCTCTTTACTCTGAAGTAGAAGATCCTCTTTTTCTCCTTCACCTTTCCTAATCACTCCCTGTTTTTTTTCTGTGTCCCATGAAATGCTCTCTCTTCGCCATTCCACATTAGACACGTCATACCATTCTGCTGTTGCTGTGCAGTGTTTTATGGATTCTGTTCCCTCATTATTAAGTTTTCTTTTATCGAGCCATGTGTCATACTCGCCTCCCATCCCATTACTCTAGCAGCCTGAGAAGACGCATGAGATGCAGCCTGTGGCTCACAGTAACAGGACGCATCTCTCCAGTCAGGATAAACAGAGTCAGACAGACATCAAAGTAGGACAGGTATGAAATAGATGACTATTTATTAGATTTTAATAAGCTTTTGAACTATTTTAAGACATAAGTTAATGTTAATTCCCTGTGTTTTGTGACAGTGTAACCAATATTTCTTAACTGTCTGTTTTTAGATGTTGTCTGGAAAGCTGTTGGGAGATTTTAGTCTAGACAGTGGCCTTGGCCAGAGTAGAGAGCATGCTCACTCTGGCATCTCCACTTTGGACACTGAAGAGAGACACTCCAGGCAGAGTAACACCGATGTAACGGCACTTAAATCCTTGCTGACTAATTGTGGGGCTGCGTCAGTCTCACACCTCAGGTGGGTCTTTCCTTTGAGCAGTGTCCAGATCCTGCTCCTTATTTTCACTCTTAATAGTCTGTATCTTGATGAGTAAACTAATCGAATTTCCGTCAATGCAGAGAGGAGCTGCTCAGACTTCGATCAGAAAATACGGAGCTGCGGGGTCTCCTTAAGGAACAGAAATCTACTGAGAGTAAAGAGAAAGCAAGCACAGACGCCTCAGGGAACAGCAGTGACGGACAGGCTGAATTGAGAAGGAGTCTGGAGAAACTGCTTGCCGAGTCAAAAGGTCGCCCTAAGGTCATCAATCTGTCAAAGGAGGAAGGAGGGAAGAAGTCTAAGGAGATGTCGTATAGGAAGACCCCTCTAACTCCTGAGCCGACTGTCAGCAGCAGTGATGGGATGGAGAGTTCACCAACTAAAGGCCAGACATCACACAGCAGGAGTGCAAAGCAGCATGTTGCACGGCATGGGGTAAGTTTCTTCATTAAGTGTAAAGAAACACAGCATTGCGCTCTGTATCAAGTCTAGGTTTTATCAGGTATACCCATAGTCAGTGTATTACCTACAGGAGATAGGAGATACCTACCTACAGGAGATAGGAGATACCTATCTACAGGAGATAGGAGATACCTATCTACAGGAGATAGGAGATACCTACCTACAGGAGATAGGAGATACCTACCTACAGGAGATAGGAGATACCTATCTACAGGAGATAGGAGATACCTATCTACAGGAGATAGGAGATACCTACCTACAGGAGATAGGAGATACCTATCTACAGGAGATAGGAGATACCTATCTACAGGAGATAGGAGATACCTACCTACAGGAGATAGGAGATACCTACCTACAGGAGATAGGAGATACCTACCTACAGGAGATAGGAGATACCTACCTACAGGAGATAGGAGATACCTATCTACAGGAGATAGGAGATACCTACCTACAGGAGATAGGAGATACCTATCTACAGGAGATAGGAGATACCTATCTACAGGAGATAGGAGATACCTACCTACAGGAGATAGGAGATACCTACCTACAGGAGATAGGAGATACCTACCTACAGGAGATAGGAGATACCTATCTACAGGAGATAGGAGATACCTATCCTACAGGAGATAGGAGATACCTATCTACAGGAGATACCTATCTACAGGAGATAGGAGATACCTATCTACAGGAGATAGGAGATACCTACCTACAGGAGATAGGAGATACCTACCTACAGGAGATAGGAGATACCTACCTACAGGAGATAGGAGATACCTACCTACAGGAGATAGGAGATACCTATCTACAGGAGATAGGAGATACCTATCTACAGGAGATAGGAGATACCTATCTACAGGAGATAAGAGATACCTACCTACAGGAGATAGGAGATACCTACCTACAGGAGATAGGAGATACCTACCTACAGGAGATAGGAGATACCTACCTACAGGAGATAGGAGATACCTACCTACAGGAGATAGGCATGCTTCTTTCTGAAAAAAAAGCTATCTCAGCCAGCATGGGAACTAAGCAATGTCTTTCTGTGGACGGAGGCAGCGGCATACTGAATTTACCACATAAAACAATATTGTGTATATGCTATATTTAGAATATTTGAACCAGTGAGAAACACAATGATTTCATCCTGCAGAACACAGACGTTTCTACTGCTGCCTTGATTCTTTATTGGTCTAATGGTGTGACTTTGTTGGATCGAAAGTTAGCCCTTTAAAACACAAAAGTGACAAAATAGCTAACCAATCCATGCAGCGGTAGAGCAGCAACTCCCTTTTTCGGCAAGGTATTTTATTGTTTGTCAATGAAGTGAAGTGGCTTTGAAGAGAACATAGATAGCATCCTCCAAACTGGGGGGCATGCTGTTTAAGTACACAGATTATGGATAAGTACCTACAATCCCTTTTGAAACTTTTAATATCTGTTCCATTTGTTTCAATCGCAGGAAGGTGTTAAGTCTCGCCTCCCGGTCCCTGTGAGGCTGAGGGTGGAGGCTAGCAGCATGCAGTCTGTGAGCTCTGACCAGCCTAAAACTGACTCACTTGAGCACCTTCAGTTGGATGGTGTATATGCGTTTGATCAGCAACTGCATGCAGAATCTGACGCCCCCCTGTCACCCCAGCACAGCACTTCCCCTTCTTCCACGCTCAGATACAAACATCATACCGGCAGTCCAGTGGGATCAGACAAAGGCTCTGAAACAGGAGCGACACCGGATCATTCCCGGGCTGACTCTGCTCTTTTCTCTCAGCTGGAGCTTCTAAACCAGGAGTGTCAAGAGAAAGAGATGCTGATCAACAAGCTAAGTGAGCAGCTAGCGGATTGGGAGGAGCTCCACGCTCAGATCCAGGAAAAGGACAGACTTAATCGCCAGTACGTGGAGGCCTTACAGGCTGCAGAATCCACCATCTCCTACCTGACCGCCTGCAGTCTGGACAGCCAGGGAGGATTTGGGTCGCTCACCAGTCCTGCAAGCTCAGATTCTGCCCTTTACAGCAGGTGCGTGGAGCTGCAAAAAGCCCTACAGGAGAAGGAGGAGCTCAACAAGCAGCTCATAGAGCTTCTGAACATGGCGGAGAAAGCCATCAGCTCAACTGATGGACAAGAAAATATTCCAGAAATCAGCGATTTATGTTTGAAGATAGAGACGGCCTTGCAGCAGGGGAACAAATCTTCAAATAGGCCTAGCCTAAGAGGTGTTACTGGAGGCACAGAGGAATCTATGCAGGCGTTGCAACAACACACAGACTCTTTGCAGGAGGCCCTGTGGCAGCAGAATAGGCTTAATGCAGAGCTGCAGGAACAACTGAGAGCTGCAGAGGCTGCTGCTCAACATAGATACAACAATGAGCAGGATGCTAAATGTTCAAGGCAGCAGACAGCAGCAGAATCACTTTACGAAAAGCAGACAAGGGGTCATCCATTTGAAATGGGTAGTTCAGATGTTAGTTTAAATCAGGAGACGACCAAAGTCCTGATGAACTGCCTGAGTGCAGCAGAGTCTGCTGTTGCCTCTCTGGCAGCACACTGTACAAACAGCAGCTTCTTGGCCTCTGGTAGATCATCACAGACCAGCCCTGAAGTGCAGATTCATTTAGACAAACTTCAGAGAGCCCTGCGAGAGAGGAAGGAGCTGGGGGAACTGGATCAGCTCAGTGTCAATCAGTCACCTCGAAAAAAGGGACAGCTCCACCCAGAGCTGCATAACAACATCTGCCGCCTCTATGAGGTGTTCAGTGATCACTGTCAGAGAATCTCTGAACTCCAGGCCTCCCTAAAATCAGAGAGAAGCCGTAAAGAGGACGGTGACGTCCACAGGATGCTGCCGGACGCCAGCAGTTTACCACCCAGTGTTCAAGTGCAGCTGGAGACTCTGCATAAGGCGCTGAGGGAGAAGAAGAAGGCGTGTAAAAGCCTGGAGGAGAAACTGGCTACTGCTCTTACCTCCCCGGAAACAGCAAGGAGAGGTAAGCATGCTGAGTTCTTTTATTTCTTTGAAAGTGCATGAGCAATTTCACATTTGTAATGATTTTAAGATTCTTCAAAGTAAGGCTGTACTGAACGCTTCTATTGAGGTTTTTAAAGGAAACTTTGGAAACTAAAAACATTTCAAAGTCTTTCACAAACAGAATCCTCATTCTGAACAAAAATGCATTATCTCAGCATTAAACCTTTTATGTGCAGAATGCAAACTTTTTGTGAAAATGCAGATGAGATGCTTTCTTACTTTTTGATATATACATTCGGTACAGCCTTACAAGATGTGTTAAAACCTTTTGTTTATCCAAATGGATCATGAACACCATAAAGGACAGAGAAAATGATCTGTACATGTGAATTTCCTCCTAACGCGACATATATTGCCTCCACTGCCAGCTCTGGAGCAGGATGACAAAGGCGTGCAGGTGGATTTGCAGGACCTGGGTTACGAAACCAGTGGCAAGAGTGAGAACGATAGGGAAGAGAGCAGTAGCACAGGTAGACGGCCTGCTGAGTGGACACTAATCTTTACTGTAGATTCTCTCTATGTGTCTGCATGAGGATAAGGCCACTGTAACACACTGTCTCTCACCTGGAGAAATGTTTTCTGGGTCTCATGACCACTCTCTACTGGCGTTAACCCGGTATTTCTCTGCACTATTCCCACATTTGAATGAACTGTCAATATGTTTGCTATGACAAATTCTTGCATGTTTTCATTCTGAAGTTTGGGATTGTCTTTTCGAGCACTCATTAAGCTTTACACTTTTATTTCTTGTCTTATTGTTTCACAGTCCAACTGTATCTCAAATCCTTTTATGTCACAGTCACCATTTATTTCTCTCAACTTTGTAATGTTTTCTTGTTCCCTGGTTGATTGTTTTGTGTCCCCTGTGTTGCCAGATCTAGAGGTTGGTGTACACCCCAGCCGCAGCGCCTCCAACCTGCCCTCCCCACGCGATCAGGCCACGTTTTCCTCCACTGAGAACCTGGACTCCACCTCCAGCACCCCATACCCCAGCTCCCCCGCTCTCAGCTCTGCCAAGGTACTCATCTAACTTATTGCTTTGAACCCCTCCCCTAAATAATTATAACTAACACACACAGCAAGTTGGTCAAGCTTTTGAATTGTCCCTGTGTTTGCAAAGGTACTCATTATTTAAATAGTTTAAATGCTTAAACAGTCTCTCTTTTAGCTTCTCCAAAACCTAAAACGCACGTAAATATAGGATATGTATTTAACAGCCATGTTGTCCACTTACACACCATGACCAGCTGTAGCCTCATGCCTTCATTAGTCGCATGGATTAGGACTCTCTTTGTCTAAATAACTTCAACTTAGTCGACTAACACTAAAGCTATTTGGTAAACAAATAGACGAGTTGATTAAATGGAGAAATCTGTAAATCTGCGTTTCTCACAAAAGAAGGCAACACTAATTATTTTGTTTACCAGAAATGTGATCACAATTGACTTGGAATACATTTTGAAGCCCTTCCGTCTGTTTTCAGTTCAGTCTGAAGAGCCTGCAGGTCTATGATGACTACGGTGTTTCTAAGGACCCTCTGCAGCTCCAGGCACAAGTCAGAGAGCTAAAGGTCCAGCTGGAAAACCAGACCAAACTCATCCTGCAGATGCAAAGTCTTCTGCGTAGAAACTCTCTCTCCAGTGACCTAGTTTCCAGCCCCCCTGATCCCACGACCATCAGGGATCAAGCAATGATACACGGAGAGGACAAGAGCCGAGAAATGAGCTACAGAAGTGGGCAGCTACGGGAGAAAAAGGAGGGTGAGAACCAGGCGATGAAGGATAAAAGCAGCCTCCTGAATATGGGACTGGACAGAGAGAGGGCTCTGAACAGAAGCACAAATGAGCAGCAGCAGTCCCGCAGCCGCTCCACCTCACCTGCAAGGTCAACACTCTTTGTCAATGTGAAAACATTGTAATATTGATAATGCACTGAGTGAAAGTTGCACACATGTTTTGAACCAAATCTTGGCTCATTCCGTTGTTTTGATCCCCCTTGCTTGCCCTCATTCTGTCCTCCCCACAGACTGGACTCCCTGGTGCAGTCGCAGGCCAGGGAGCTGTCCCAGCTGAGGCAGCAGATTAAGGAGAGCCGCCGGCTGGGAGCCCTGCAGCGCCTGCAGCTGGACCAGCTGAGCAAGGCCTTCACGGAGCTGCTGCAGGCCAGCGAGGTGGACTTCTACAAGGGGGAGGCGGTCAAAGAGCAGCTGGAGAAGAGCCTGAGCATCCTGGACAGGCTGGAGGGACGTCTGGACAAAGGTAGCTGCTCTTTGGAGAAATATGACTTATCAGAATCACTCTGCATAATCACAGTTTTGATATTGGATTAATGAACTCTCTACAATTCTAGACGTGTTTGTAATATATTGTAAATACATTCTGTTTGGTTTCTGGGCCCATAACACATATACAGTGTCTCCAGCAACACAAATACTAATACTAAATGAATTAAGGCTCTCTCACTAAATACCTAATATTAGTTTCGCATTTTTCAAGCTCTTTCTGAATCTGAAATATTTGTATTAGGAACTACACCCTGAACTGTATTCTACTGATTACAAATCTAAGTTTTTCTTGCTTGCCTACGACCAATAGTTTCACTGCAAATACGTAATCTTCCTATCGCAAAAAGGTTTAAGGCACGAAGTTAGTTTTAAACCTAGCTGTATTTGAATCAGTTTTTGCCCATTGTTCAGAAAGGTCTGGATGCTTCAACAAAGAAAAGAGCACTAGGCACCATCAGAAAGACGTGAACAAGAGAGCAGTCACCCGTTACTGATGTTCACAGACAGGGCCTTGAAAGCATCTTTTCCTCTGTCTGATAGGAGAGTCTCATCTGGACAAAGAGGACGTGGCAGCCCTGGAACTGTCTCGCAGGTGCGTCTTAACTCACACACTGCCCTAACTTATTGTCAATGTCTTCACTTATTTGCTTGTGTGTTTGTTGTGTGATTAATCATGGTGGAAAACAATATCTCTAATATTCAGAATCATCTCATTTGTTATATTGTAAGGGTACTAGCTGCAACGAAAACAAACCTAATCATTTTTCAAACTTAATTTTAAGTAGGTGCTTGACAGTAATTTGTCAAAGTCTGTGAGATGTGTTTGACCAGTTTTGCATCTTTCTCTGAGCCAGTTCTGTGTTTCTGAACTGCACATTGTCACCATTAGAGATTTCAGGGTCATTAGCTGTGCTGTTTTGGCGTTTGTCCCATGACCCTTTTAAAGAACCCCCCAGCCCCAGCCAATTGCCTTATGACCCCGAGCGGTGTGTGTTGTTGATTTTGAATAGCGCCCTGCTGCTGACCTAATTTCCTCTGTGACAGCCAAAACATTAAGGTTATTCTGCCCCCCAACTGGGTCACCGGTGTCTCTGCAAATAAGAGACACACACACACACACACACACACACACACACACACACACACACACACACACACACACACACACACACACACACACACACACACACACACACACCACATTTCATTTATTCACAATTATTCAAGCAATATCACCCAGAATGCAAATCAAGCTTAGCACCAATATGATTATAGTAACATTTTTGATTGGAATTGATCATAGCATCGGCCATTTTAAAATAGCTTCATTATTTTGATGTATTGACAGAAACATTGACTTTGGAGCTACATGATGACATGCACACTTTAATTTTTTTTCCAACAGCTCCTGTGTCTTATCCCTTTAATGGGACATATACATATTTTTGAAAATGTATTGATTGCTATTTTTGACACCCATATTAGACCCTTGTAAGAGCAATATTTCACCCATATTTCACCATAAGTAAACTGATATTACTCCCATATTAGGCTGTTATTACACCTATTCCAGATGAATACACCCATGTTACACCTGCATTACATCCATGTAACACCAATATTACACATTGCCTGCCAATAGGTTAGGATAATAAACGTAAGTGGTTAATACTAGTGACATGAATGAATCTACATTATGTGTGATGTGGGTAGTGTTGGGAAGCTCCAGCAGGGATCACTGCTCTCTGGGCAGAGCATGGCAGATCCTCCTGACAGCACGGCTAGAGTCCAGCAGGAGATAGAGACCCTGCGTCTGGAGCTAGAGGGGGACAGAGAGCTGCTGCAGCTGCACGTCGGCCTCCTCGTCCAGCAGAACCTCTCGCTGGCTGAAAGCACCCGGGAACAGCTGGACCTGTGAGAGGGTTTGATCCTGACAGACAGCATGACGTGTGCTGTGAACCCCTTTCCATCGTTCAAGCTGTGTGTTTCTGACCTTTAGTCATGAGCAGAGGTTGCGCTAGACTTTTTCACTGCCCGTCATTTTGACGGACAGGATCGGACATTCCCGGGGGGGGGGGGGGGAGGAGAGAGAGAGAGAGAAAAAAAAAAACTGTCAACCGGGGAGGGGGGGGGGAAGAGCACAGTCGTGAACCGTCAACGGGGGGGCGGGGCGCACGCTTGTGAACTGTTAGCGTCGTGTTATGCATGCCCACTGCACCTCGCGGGAGCGTGCACAGCGTAAAGCCAAAACTCACAGACATTTCAATGATCTGTACGGCAAAGTTGGGTTTGGAAACGGTATGATTTCCTTTTTGGCAGGCATGCTTAACACCGGAGCCTCGCTGCGGGGAAACTTTGGCTCTGTTCCGAGTTTGTTCTAATCCAAAATGACGGACTGCTTTCAGATTTTTCCGTCATTGTTAAAAGAAATCCGTCATAGACGGAAAATATTCGGTTAACGCGACCTCTGGTCATGAGTCTCTTTTTTTGGGTGCTGTTCCTCACGATGTGTGATTATCCAACGCCCGGCCAGCAGAGATGATGTAATGGATCAAATCCAGCTGTTAATTCCTTTCGAACAAGTCATGACATAATTGTTTTCCCATCTCCTTCCAGGTTGGCGAAAGAGCTGCAGGAGAAGAACAGTCTGATCCAGAGTCTGCAGAGCCAGGTCAGAGGTCGAAGTCCCAGCAGCCACCAGGGCTCTCACTCTGACCTGTTCCACTCAGACAGAACCTCCTCCTGCCACAGCAGCCCGACTCCACCCAGTGGCAGTCGCTCCCAAAGTAAGCATGAAGATAATGTTCAGACAAGCTGCAGATGTAAATCTCAAACATACTCGTCATTCAATTCTTTATTTCTGATTACAGTCAGAAGCCAAGATTAACTCGGTTACTTCCCTTCATCTTTTTTCATCCTTTTAAATACATATTAGTTTAAACCTTCTAACCAATTTCAGTTCTGTATTTATGTATTTATGTATTTATTAGTGTATAGTACATTTTAGGGGGATTTTAATTTTCACATTTTTGTTATGTCAATGATTAGCACGACATTGATTTGACCAACAACAAAAGCTCTAGTGGGAACCACTACTTTAATGTAAAGCTATATATATATATATATATATATAATAGAATTCATGATTTAATCCTGTAATTGTAATGAGATAAAGAATTGGGGTTTGATTGTCTGTTTTTTTGTCCTCAAAGATCTGCACTTCTGTATTTCGGATACAAAGTTATTTTAGACTTACAGGAGCTGAAATTGAACTTAGAAAAAGCTCACTCCTGCCAGCATGGATGCCATACAGAGCCAACATAATTGAAAGTTTAAAAATCCAAAATTCTCCCGAATGATGCTTCGGGGTTAAAAATAAATATTTTACAATTTATTGTAATTATTGAAATGACCTGACTCCTTGTCCACAGCCCCTCTTTTCTAGTCTCAGCCTGTAATGGCACTTCTTTTCCACTCAGATCCTTTGTGGTGCAGTGAAGCATCCCGCCCCACAAAGGCAGAGCCGGTGTCCAGTTTCAATCCACTTAAAGTTGCATTATTCAGTGCCACCTATCCGGTTCAATCCTCAAACTGTGTTTCCCCTATGCGAGAAGTCTCAGAGGGTCTTTGTTCTGCTAACATGGAGTATAATAAGAAGATGACATTTTGGTTTAAGAGCACATATAGAAGGTGCAACATTACTCTTTATTCATTTTTGGATTTAATAAGGAATGATATGGGGGGCCAGAAAGGGCTTTCCCATACCTATGTAAAAAAAAAAAGACACACAGAAAGAAATTACCATCTATTTTTAAGTTGTAATTATGAATTGACCACCTCTATGTGTTTAGGCCAGAGGCAGCTCTCTGATTGGACGGGAGCAGCTGTTGTAGGCGGAGCTCAGGAGGACTCTGTCAGCAGACTGCAGGGCCTGCACCGGGAGAACGTGCGACTGCAGGATCGGCTGAGGGGCAGCGAGGATCTGAACGCCACGCTGCGCAGTGAACTGGACCTGCATCGCTCCATCATGGCCCAGAGCAGCTCCCACCACCAGGAGCCGGATCAGAGCCGGGAGCCGGATCAGAGCCGGGAGCCGGATCACAGCCGGGAGCCGGATCACAGCCAGGAGCGGGATCACAGCCGGGAGCCGGATCAGAGCCGGGAGCCGGATCACAGCCAGGAGCGGGATCACAGCCGGGAGCCGGATCACAGCCAGGAGCGGGATCACAGCCAGGAGCCGGATCACAGCCGGGAGCCGGATCACAGCCGGGAGCGGGACGGGTCAGGACCGCAGGCAGACCATAAACCAGGAGAAGACCTGGGCTCACAGAGGAACGCTGCTGATCAGCCTCGCACCATGAATTCAGGTAAACATGGGGTCATGTCAGAAAGTTAGACTTTCTATTTTCTTATAATTATTCATTTACACAACCATAGTGGGGTCAAATTCAAAAGCAACACTTTTTTTTTTGTTGTCTTTGTCACAGTGTGTCAGCTTATGATATTTAAAAACAAATTGTGTTTTGGGCTTTGTAGTTTCATGGTTTTGTAACATCTTGGGATTTGGTTGTTATTAAACGTGCATAATTATAATACTGGATATAATACTTTCCCTTCACTTGAGTTTTAAAAACAAATGAATGATATCATTGGTGGAAGAGATTCTAAAGCCTGTATATTAAATGCATGTTTACCAGAAAGTCAGGATAAGTTGGGCTAAAAACAAGCATTTGACTAGTTTGGTCTCCTTTTCAACCGGGGCCCTGCAAAAGTAATCATATACCCGCTATGCTACGAGTGAAGATAGGCACCACTACAAGATGAATACATGACTGTTGTTGTTACCATCTTGACTGTAAGGGAGCCAGGAGGGACAATTAAGTGAGATTCAACCTTTCGTGGTGCCAATGAGTGACTTTTTTAACCACGCCTTTCTCTCATATTGTAGTTTATGTGAGTGCAATACTTCATCTCTTTTAATCCAGCTGTGTGCATGTGTGTGTCAGACCTGCTGGCAGAGCATCTTCAGGAGATCCGCGCACTGCGGCAGCGTCTGGAGGAGAGCATCCGCACCAACGACCGCCTCAGGGAGCAGCTGGAGAAGAGACTGGCAGAGGTGGAGAAAGACCCAGGTAACCACACCTCAAATCACCTGATGCGTTTCATTCTCTATGTCTGTCATGAGGGTTTGTCTCTAATCACAAAAGGACTTCTTTGTTGACTGATGTGTGTGTGCCCGTGTTTAGCAGCCACCAACATCTTCATCCACGGCAACGAGGAGCAGGGTCAGCTGGCCAATGAGGTGCGCTTCCTCTGGGGACAAAACCAAACCCTGAAAGACCAGCTCAGCCTGGGCTCACGAGGTAAAACACACCTTGTTCACTTTAACCTATAACACATCTTTTCAGTTAATAGAACAGTTGACTTGGAGAGATGATTGTTTCCCTGATGTTGTTGTTATTTTCCTTTATCTAACATGTACACATACAGTATATGTCGCTAATAGGTGCTTAAAGCTAACTCAAACTTAATCTTTCACTAATATAGAAGTGTTTTAATTCCTTCAGACAAGCAGAAGGAGAATGAGAAGCTACGGGAGACTCTGGCCAGGCGCACGGCCAAACTGGAGCAGAGCAGGAGGGAGTGTGAGGCTCTGAGGCAGGAAACCAGCCGCCTGCAGGAGAGGCTGGAGCTCAGCAGCCAGGAGAACTCCCAGCTGCAGGAGTCCCTGCACTTCAGCAAGGAGGAGCTGCACAGGTACACTCACACACACTTCTAAATGTCTCCTAGCAGCATCTATTGTCCCGACTGCCCTTCATGCAACCTGAAGCTACACAAAGCTACTAATTAGCATTGTAAAGAGTCATTACTATTATCACTATTCCATACTATCTGTACGACAGGGAAACAGGATAGTGTATCATTTGTTGGCTTATCCATCGACACACACGGATCATCTGATGCTATAAAGACGGTCTGTGACCTCATGGCCCGGGTCCTACTGACACAGATGAGTGAGGCTGAAACACGAAACCTGGTTTACTGTCGGATCACTTCTCCTCTCCCTTTCCCTACCTCCTTTTTATTGTTTGTTACGTGTACTATATAATCGTTTGTGTGCGCTTCCAGGTTTCAGTGTGAAGTAAAGCTCCAGAGGCAGCAGCTGTCTGACTCTCAGCACCTCCTTCAGTCACTACGAGTAGAGCTGCAAGTTTACGAAAAGATCAAGACTGAAGATCGTAAACACAACGGTAAAGCAATTTCATACATCTTGAAAGAACCTATTGTCACGGGATGCAGTTTAAACTTTAACACGGTCAGACAAACTAAAACTAGAAATCTTCTAAATGTAAAAGATTTGTTTTAATCTTTCAAGCCCTCATCAAAGTTTGTAGCCTTACTCAGACTTTAGACTCTATGAAACGATATCAAAATGTACATGAAGTTCAGGCGTTCTCACATAGAGATGAAATACATGTCTTCTTTGTTTTAGTTTTTTGAAGATAGTCTGGTAATAGACACATCTTGAAGAAAACAACGTGCCTACATTATTTTCTTTTTTTAAGAGTCACAGAAAGTTAAGAGAGTGCAGTGAAACTGTATGAAGTGGATCTCTGTGGTGTTTTGCTTCCTTTCTGAACCTTTCCCTGTTCTCACAGCTGAACGCAGTGAGGGGTCCCAGGAGCCCGCCCCCCTCCCGCCCTCCGGCTCGCTGGACCTGAGCGAGCTGCTGCTGGAGATCAGACACCTGCGTCTGCAGCTGGAGAGGAGCATCCAGACCAACACCGCCCTGAGACAGAGGCTGGAGGAGCAGCTGCTCCGAGGACCCCACCGCTCTGAAACCATCAACATCAACTACCTGCTGTCCTCCCCAGGTAAACACAGGGCACACACCCACGTGCTGGTCACGTGTGATATGATATGTAGGAGCCATTTATGTTCATTGCTGGCATTTTTATTTTGCTTGGATGCAATTAAATGCAATATTATTTTTGAACACTTGGTGGTGGGGGTTAGCTGCCCTATAAATAGGGTCATAGGTCACAGGAGAGAGGACAGGAAACAGGAAGAGGGAGAGCGTACTATTCTAACATGAGGCGGCAGATGCTAAACGGCTACAACAACTAACTGGCAGATTCAACCTTTGGTATTGAACTGTCTTTCAGAACCAGACATGTACCTGTCTGTCTGCGTATAGATCCCTCTCACCCCTCAGCAGGGTGATATAGGACCAGACATGTACCTGTCTGTCTGCCTATAGATCCCTCTCACCCCTCAGCAGGGTGATATAGGACCAGACATGTACCTGTCTGTCTGCGTATAGATCCCTCTCACCACTCAGCAGGGTGATATAGGACCAGACATGTACCTGTCTGTCTGCGTATAGATCCCTCTCACCCCTCAGCAGGGTGATATAGGACCAGACATGTACCTGTCTGTCTGCGTATAGATCCCTCTCACCCCTCAGCAGGGTGATATAGGACCAGACATGTACCTGTCTGTCTGCGTATAGATCCCTCTCACCCCTCAGCAGGGTGATATAGGACCAGACATGTACCTGCCTGTCTGCGTATAGATCCCTCTCACCCCTCAGCAGGGTGATATAGGACCAGACATGTACCTGCCTGTCTGCCTATAGATCCCTCTCACCCCTCAGCAGGGTGATATAGGACCAGACATGTACCTGTCTGTCTGCGTATAGATCCCTCTCACCCCTCAGCAGGGTGATATAGGACCAGACATGTACCTGTCTGTCTGCGTATAGATCCCTCTCACCCCTCAGCAGGGTGATATAGGACCAGACATGTACCTGTCTGTCTGCGTATAGATCCCTCTCACCCCTCAGCAGGGTGATATAGGACCAGACATGTACCTGCCTGTCTGCGTATAGATCCCTCTCACCCCTCAGCAGGGTGATATAGGACCAGACATGTACCTGCCTGTCTGCCTATAGATCCCTCTCACCCCTCAGCAGGGTGATATAGGACCAGACATGTACCTGTCTGTCTGCGTATAGATCCCTCTCACCCCTCAGCAGGGTGATATAGGACCAGACATGTACCTGTCTGTCTGCGTATAGATCCCTCTCACCCCTCAGCAGGGTGATATAGGACCAGACATGTACCTGTCTGTCTGCGTATAGATCCCTCTCACCCCTCAGCAGGGTGATATAGGACCAGACATGTACCTGTCTGTCTGCGTATAGATCCCTCTCACCCCTCAGCAGGGTGATATAGGACCAGACACGTACCTGTCTGTCTGCGTATAGATCCCTCTCACCCCTCAGCAGGGTGATATAGGACCAGACATGTACCTGTCTGTCTGCGTATAGATCCCTCTCACCCCTCAGCAGGGTGATATAGGACCAGACATGTACCTGTCTGTCTGCGTATAGATCCCTCTCACCCCTCAGCAGGGTGATATAGGACATTGGCCCTCTTAAATTGCCATTACAGTATACAGAGGCATAAAGACACTGGTATTCTTTCCTCTCAGATGAAGGAGGCAGGTCACCAGGTCGTGATGGCTGCGATCCTCTCCGTCACTCATTTCAGAGTCACAACGAACACACCAGTGTCCTCCATGGTGAGAACAACAATGATGTTATCATTATAATAACAGTAGATAAAGCTGGTGTCGCTCTCATGTCGTCACAACTGACAGTGTTTTCAAACATGTTTTCAGAAGAGAAACGTGGCTCTCACTCGGAGGTGGAGGGGGGCTCGTTCAGCAGCAGCTCTGGGGACAGCGCTCCCGCTCGCCTGGTGCCCGGCCACCGCATGTGGGCCAATCGTAGCGGCCGCCATATTCTGGGTCTTATTGAGGACTACAACGCCCTCCGTAAGCAGATCTCAGAGGGACGGAAGCTGTCGCGCAGCATGGACGCACACCTGCAGGAGAGCCTGCACACACTCACACAGCAGGGCTCCGACAACAAGGTACACACCAAGTATCATGTTTGGAGATGTTTTATTCGCACTTTGTGATATGATACTATACCAGTGGTATCTGAGCTGGTCCCCGTTCTATAAGTACCCCCTCACTCCTCTGTGATCATTCACCTACATGTTTTCTTGTATTAAACCCTTTGTAATCATATTCAACCCAACTGCTCCTAAAAGAAAATACCTTTAAACTTGACCTTTACTATTGTCTCACCTAGTATGCTACATTTGAACAATCTATTATAGGGCCATATCTTTACAAAACATGTCTCTGAAGTGTTCTGCTCAAAATACCAGATCACCCATTGTAGCATGCCTCATACGCCTCTATTTCAGCCCTGTTACTAAAGTTCTGATTCTGGGTCTGGCCCTTTAAATGTAACTGAGCTGCTGCTGGCCACGCCCCTTTGGAGCTGCTGCTGGCCACGCCCCCTTGGAGCTTCATCAAGGACAGTATATTTTATATCTGTGCATTTTGCATAAAAGGTGACCTTTAAGACTCACGAGGAAATTGGAGGGCTACTTTTTTGATATAATCTTCCTACAAATAAGAACATTATTTGTACTTATTACTGTTTCCAATGGGCGTCACGTTGTTTTGAAAAGTGGTGGGGGCACATTGTTCAGATAGAAATCAAACTGTATTGCGTGCCCCCTTATTTTTGTACACCCTAGTTTCCTATGTGTAAGCAACACCTGTAGACACAGGACGTACAGCCAGGCTACAGACGCTGTGGCAGGAACATTATATGTGGCGGGAGGGGGGGAATTATTGAGGAAGCCAATAAAGATTTTTTTGAATGTTACCATGTAGCATTCTGGTACTCTGAGAATAAATCAAGCAAAAAGACACAGAGCAGAAACACTGCTGAGAAGGTTCCCTGTCCTGGCGCTCTGCTGGCACAGAAACATTTCTCCCAGCAAAGTGATCAGAAGTCGTAAATGCACTCTGAATGTTGCATTTCATTTACCATCCTGAAAACTTCACGGAAATCCTGCAGCATGCCCCCCCGCGGCAGCTTCTCTCACGGAGGAGAGGAGACCCCTGGTATTTAAAAACAAATATTATTATTCATATAAGACGAGAGTTATTTATTGATTTAGCTATTTTTAGAACGCACCCTGCAGATGACCAGGTGCCCGCGTCATACATACTACTTTAATTTGTCATATGCTCAAAGAATGAGTAAAGAATAGTCATAGTAAATTACAACTTTTTGTTTTGAGACAAATGTTAATACTGTATCCTTGCAGCTTGCACAAATGATACATTAAGAGTCATACTCCTAAATGCCATGTTGTGTCCTCCTCCACAGGTCGAACAGCAGCATCTGGAGAGTTTCTCGGGCAGCGTGAACACCATGCTGCATGTGATGGAGGAGGCGGGACGGATGCTCAAACTGGTGTGGAGGGTCTCTCTGCCAGCAGGGGGCGGGGGCAACAACCAGCAGGTAGATGTCCACACACACATAAACTGCCTCTAATCAAGTCACTTAGGAATCATCTACGCAACGACAACCCTAATCTTTTAATCCTTGGTGTCAGGATGAGCTTCTGAAGAGCGAGATATCCAGGCTGAAGAGCAGGCTGTCCCAGCAGGAGAGGATGCTGAGCGGAGCGGTGAAGCGCCTCCGAACAACCAACCAGCTCAAAGAGGGGATGGAGCGAGTCATCATCGATCAGCGTGAGATTACCTTTAAGATGATCTGCTTTGACTTAGACAGTTCCTCTGCTGTGTACCAAGTCAGCAGCTGTCTGATTGTGAGGATCTGCTACTGCTTCTTTCTTTTATATATCTGAATATCCCTTTGTTCTTTACAATTTCCTTTTGACAATTTTCTCTAACTTTTGCTGACTAAATTATAAATAACAAAAATGATCTGAAAATAATTGATAATGAAGATATAATAATCCGTTGAAGCTCTTTCTACGTGTTTTAAAATAACTAGGCTATGTATTTGTTTTTAATGTGAATGATTTCCCCCCTCTAGTGTATCTAACCCACGGAGTGTTGAAGAAAGCCAGAGGAAATTTAGAGGTGAGTTTAGCAACAAGTTATTACATGTCAAACTAATGTTCTGGTCCTCAGTAGTACATTCTGCTCCAGTGAATCCTTCTTCTTTCCCTTCTCTACTTGAAATGATGATAGACAAATTACTGCTCCCTAATTGGGCTGAAAGGCCTGTCTGGAGGGCCAGACGGAGGTCAGTGTGGTTGAGCTGCAGGCTTTGAGAGTGATGCATGAGACCCTTTTTAGTTGGTATTATCTATTGCATGAAACAAGCACCAACATATGAATTCACAATAAGCTACTCAGATTTCCTCATTTGTGTTATGTGTTCTTTTTTTGTGAGACCCTCAATCGTGGGCTGGCTCTCTTATTTACCGGTCCACGTACTTTGCGAACCTCTAGTAAAGTATACGATTAAAATATCCTTGAAAGTCAGTGTAGCATGTCAGAAAAATGTAACTAAAAATGCCTAAAAAAAGAGTCATGTCACAGTATTTTCAAAAGGTCAGGGTAAAAGAAGTCATTAAAGTACAGTACAATTCACTAATTCTTTTACAGTGTGTCTTAAAAAGTCGAAAATCGAAGAAAAAAAAAATATTTAAAAAAGTCATAGTAAATCAAGTTTTATTTATATAGCACATTTATAAACGATGTTTGGTGGAGCCAAAGTGCTGTACATAAAATAAAAATAGCCGACAGTAGAGACACTTTACAGCAAATACAACAGCACAGATTGTTCAGAATATCAGTATGAGAAAAACGACACCCTCTGTCCTTAGACCCTCTGTCCTTAGACCCTCTGTCCTTAGACCCGCTGTCCTTAAACCCTCTATCCTTAGACCCTCTGTCCTTAGACCCTCACATCGTACAAGGAAAAACTTCCAGAGAAACCCCACAGTTTAAGGGGAACATGGGAGAAACCTCAGGGAGAGCAACAGAGGAGGGATCCCTCTCCCAGGACGGACAGACGTGCAATAGATGCCGTGTGTAAATCCAAGAGATAATACATTTTACAGCATATAGACCGAATGTTAGGAAATGCATGTGTCTGTAATAAGAAGATGAATCCACGAGGATGTCAGCTACAATCCTGTGGAAGCCATCAGGGAAGCAGCATGACGAGACCCAAGGCAGGACTGCAGAGACAGGTTCAGCCACGACCCGAAGTCCACGACTTAATCCAGAACTCAGGATAGAGGATCCAAGACACAGGACTACAGCAAGAGGATCAGCCTCGACTCCGGATCCCGGCGTAGATATAGATACAAAACAAGAAAAAACATTTGGCTGGGTTAATCGGAACAAGAGAATACACAGACACAGACAGAGAGGGGAAAGGTCATTGGATAAAAGTTATTCTTGATAACCCTCTAGAAAGATCTCATGAACTTCCCCACTCAATCTATCAAGACCCGAGCAGTTCTATTAGATATAGGATAAGAAACAGAGATAGGGAGCACAACAACCTATCTCTTCGTCAGATGCACTCCCCCGCTTATCTAAGCGACTCTGTACCCCGTTACCCTCTACAAGGCCATAGACCAGCAGAGGGGCCGTTACCCTCTACAAGGCCATAGACCAGCAGAGGGACCGTTACCTTCTACAAGACCATAGACCAGCAGAGGGACCGTTACCCTCTACAAGGCCATAGACCAGCAGAGGGACCGTTACCTTCTACAAGACCATAGACCAGCAGAGGGACCGTTACCCTCTACAAGGCCATAGACCAGCAGAGGGAAAATGGGGGGTGGGTAAGGGTAAGGGTTTTTAAGAATAAACCGCAAGGGTCTAAAGGGAAAAAATATGAAATATAAGGTACTATATTTTAAGTAATCCTATCTACTATTCCTATATTCGAATAATGTATAAACTATTTTAAAAATACTTGATGAAATCCTATGTTATGTTATACATATTAAAATAAAGAACTAAATGAATAAATAACTAAATAAATGAATAAACAAAAGCCAGAGAGAAAAAGTGAGTTTTAAGTGTTGATTTAAAAACCCCCAGGGTCTGGGCCGACCTCACATGGAGGGGCAAAGTATTCCAGAGCCTAGGGCCAGCCGCTGCGAAAGCTCGATGCCCTCGGGTTTTAATTCTGGTCTTAGGCACTATCAGCAGCAGCTGATCAGCCGACCTTAAGGCTCTGCCTGGGGTGTAGCGATGGAGGAGTTCGGCTACATAGGCAGGAGCCAGCCCATTTAGGGCTTTGAAAACAATATATATAATATTATAGTATGTCGAAAACATCAGAAAATACATTATAGTACGTCAACAAAAGTAATAGTATAATGTTGAAAATAACAGAGAAAATGCATGTGTCTGCAAGCAGTTTTAAAATGTTTGTTTCGTTGATGTTGCGAGCAACACGTTTTGTTTCTACCTTGCATGTCTGTGGCTAAATATTTCAAACCACTGTTAGTGCCTGCCTGATCTCGCTCTGATTCAACTCTCCTCCTCTGTTTCAGGAGGTCCCAGTGAATGGCCAGTAGGGGGCGCTGCAGGCCCACACTCTGAGTCCTCAGAGGAGCACAGTAGTGACGCCTCTGTACACTGCAGCTACTAAACCTGCTCTTATGACGCAGCTTCCTGCCTTTCTGCCCTGCTGTCAAACTGGCACCTTATCTCCTCGAGCAAAGCCTTTTTGTACTTTCACAGGATTGACCTATAGATTTATTTTAGGTACTGAAGTTGTAAAATGTTTTTAAAAGAGAAATCCACTTTGTAAATAGTCATTCCTGCAAGTTAAATATGTGTTTTCTTTTATATGATGCATATAGAACATGAAAGTGTATTTTATTACTGACTTGTTGTTTCTATCGGCCAGTGTGTATAGGATGGTTTGAAACGTGTGTTCAAGGAATTATGTGCAAGTAAAGAAAATAATGGAATGAAACAGTTGTGGTACAAAAGTCCCTTTATTAGCATGTTTGTTTTTTAAATACAAATCTTAGTAGCTGCTTCAAAATGTGTTCATGGATAGAAAAGTAGAGGATAAGAAAAAGAAAGTTGACAGAATAAGCTTTCCTTCTACGATTAGTCGTCAAACACGAGGAGATGATATGAAAGGTGTCACTTTTGAAGAAACATGTCTGGTCATAGAGTGACCTATAAAACTAGGCCTTGGTAAGATAATGGCAGTCAGTGACTGATGTAGAAACACCTCGTTATAATACATGTTGGATTTTTCACAATCAGGCGGTAATTTTGGCAAAACGAAATGTTGAAATTATGGCTCCAATCTTTATTAAATATTACAACAACACACTCACTGCAGGTCAAAGTTGTGCTAGTTGAACTACGGCAATAACTGTACAGAAAAAAGGTTTTGTAATTCTACTGCTGGAGGGGAGTCTATCTCTGCACGAGTCTTACGAAGGCCTGCACCAGCTGGATGAAGGGCTCCTGGCCCTCGTGGCTGGCTTTAGAGCCCGGGGTGGGGGGCTTGTTCTGGGTGGAGGGGAGCATGCCACTGGCTGGAGACGACGGAGAGCCCCTGCGGAAATGGCGGGAAAGACTTGAAAGAAGAGTGCTCTGGAAGTGGAGAAAAGAGAGAAGTAGAATATATTCAGGTTAAAGTTGGTTTCATTTGACATACAAAGAGAATCAAAGAGAAAACACATTTTTCTTCATCTAATTTATATTTCATTATTTCAATCAATATTTACACCTTAAACTGAAAACTCGGATCACAACATACAAAGAGAAACAATATGACTTTATTTGATTCTATTAATGAAATGATTTAGAGCAGGGGTTTTCAAAGTGTGGGAAGGTGAGCCTCCCCTCAGAGAACATAAGAACAGCCGCGCCCCCCCTCCCAATCATTATTGTTATTGTTGCTATAATTGCATTTCAAAGCGGTCCAGTAAGAGAACATGTCATTAAATGCTCAGTTTCGCTGTCTACCTTCTGCCATTTGAAATGACTCCGACTGTTTGTCTCGTCTCTGTGTGTGTTTGAATCTATCGTGCTGACTGGACCCATTTGATTGGCTGAGTAGCGTCACCTCCTTAAAACATTAAACAATAATCTTTATGTTTTTAACATTTTCAACATCTTGGATAAATCCTTATATGCTCCCGGCAACACACTGAACGTCAACGCTGCCTCCTTTAGTGGGAACAATGAGTCTGCGTCTTTGACAGGCGGATGATGCAGGATGCAATGTAGACAGGAATAAACGCAGAGCATCCTCTGGCTGCAGCCTTGACCGGTACTTGCTTTTGATCAAAGTCAATGCGGAAAAGCCGCACTCACACAGGTGGACGGAGGTGAAGGGAATGAGCACTTGTACAGCCTTTTTGGCGAGGTGGGGGAACTCGGTCTCCACAGACAGCCAAAAGTGTGCAAGTGACGTTTTCTGCCAGACGCTGTCTCCTCTCTCACTTTAGGTAACTTCACTAGAAATCGATCCATGTTGCCGCTCGCATAAAGTTAGCTGAAGTTAACTAGCTCGATTCACTGTTTCTCGTTGTTTTCCCCCCGCTGCGCCTCCCCTGAAGCTCTCTGGCGCCCCCCAGGGGAGGCGCGCCCCCCAGGGGAGGCGCGCCTCACACTTTGAAAGCCGCTGATTTAGATCATTGTCAGTGAATGTCTCACCAGTTCCGAGCTGAGCTCCTGTTTGAGTCTCTGTTTGTCCCGGGGGGGGGTGGAGGGGTCTTTGAGGCAGCGCACAGCCTGAGAGATCAGCACGTAGAAACAGTTCTCCATGGTGAACATCAGCAACGACCTGAAGAAAAAAAGGTCCAATAGAAAGCAAAAGTTTAATGTTCATAAAATAGAACTTTAGAAGATTTAGATTTTTGGGGAAATAAAGCTTTCTCAAAAACTGACTCGAAGCCATTTTTTATTACATACTATAACGGTTTTTCCCTAATATTTCAAGCATACTAAGAAGTTTTTGTTCTGATATTTTCTACATTCTATACTATGACTTTATGACATATGACACAATGACTTTCTATGGCATATTATACTTTGTTATCTTTTAAAAAAATGTTCATGACCAAAGCTCCAGCTTCCATTTTGAATGCTGAACGTACTGCTAGCAAAAAGTATTTTCCAAATAATACTTTCAAGTAGAAGAAGGTTGATTTACTCACTTCAGAGCTTGGATCTCCTCAGATGAGGCCAGGGAGGCGATGCTCTGAGAAACTGGCTCTTTCTTCTTCTCTATCTATGAACAAACCACAAACGGTCAGATCTGCTGGAGCTTTCAGTGTGGCTGCAGGGGATCATGAATACAGCAAACATCTACCTCTCCCAACATGCTCAGGCCCACGTTGATGGTGGCCAGCAGGGTCCCAAACGAAGGGGCCACATCGGGGTCGAACGCTGGCGTGGTGAAGCTGAGCACGAACAGGGTCCGATACTCTGCCAGGTCCATGCTCTGACAGAACACAGGAACATTTCATTGGCTTTAACGCAGAAACATAAATGTCAAAATGTGGCACAGTTTCTTGCAATGCTGGTGAAAACACAAAGCTAGCTGTCAGGATGTAACAACACATCAGAGCTGCCGAGCAGGCTGACCTGGTCCAGCAGTATCTGGCAGCAGTCTGGAGTGAAGTGCTGCAGAATGGCCAGCGTTTTGCTGAGGATCTTCAGCAGACTGCACTGCACCGCCAGCAGGGCCTTCTGCTCCGCCTCCTCTCTCTCTCCTCCACCGGCCGCCTCTTTAGACGGGGTCTGGGGGGCCCGCTGTGTCCTGGGGAGGGGACCAGGGGGCAGCGCTTCACCATTTTTGGCCTGAAACATACCAAAGCAAACATGAAGCCTTTATAAAACACAGCAATTGTACTTGATTATTGGTGGAAGATATAGCAGCTAACAATCGCACAGTGTTATAAGGGTAGGATGCTGCAGGGTGTTCTATCACAGCGTTTCTGACCTGGAGGTAGTGGTGGAGCATCTTCTTGCTGTGCAGCAGGTAGGTGCAGGTCTGGCACAGATAGCACAGGTTCACCTGCAGGGGGAGACAGAGAGACGCTGAATACTGAGGCTGAGCTGTATGCGCTGCTGATGTGGAGGTTCTCTGTGGACTAACCTGAACGTCCCACAGCAGTTTGGGCAGATGGAACTGCCACTCCTTGCAGAAGCTGGAGAGCTGCAGCAGGAAGCCCACCGTGTGATCGGCCTCGTCCAGACAGGCCAGGCTCTGCACGGTGCGCACGGCGTTCAGACACTGGGGGGGGGGGGGGATGCTGTTATTAACAAGGAACACAACAGCAGCTAGATGTACAGCATACAACAGAACAGTTAACTTCACCTACAGAAATGCATAGCAGCTGTTTTTTCCTATCTGTCTTCAAATGTTTATTATAGTCTGCTCCCTTGATATAAAGTTTTCATATTGCTTAGAGAAAAATATAGTTTGTTGTCGTCATTGTTATGAAGTCAAATGAAAGGATTTTCAAATCAATGACCTGTTAACAAGTTAATACATGATCATTCATTTCAGTTCAAATCTGATTACTTTTAGTCTTTTATAATATCCTTTCAAATTGGAATTATAATTAAACTACTTGTTTAATAAGTTCATTGAACTTTTAGATACGGGATTTAGAAATGAAGGAGCCCTTTTCCACTATTCTCTTTATTTATACATGACATGACATCACACGTCACTTGTTAGACGCTTTCATCCAAAGCGACTTACATACTCAATATGGGGTGAAGTGTCTCAGGGACACAACGACATGCTGACTGCAGTGGGACTCCAACTTGCTATCCCCTGATTCAAAGTCCAGCACTCTACCCACTGAGCCACAGCCTCCCTTATTATTGCATAAATCAATGTATGCAATAAGCCATCCAGTCCTACCTGTAGAATGCGCTCTTGATGAACTCCTACGAAGTCCAGGGCTTCGTTGATGAAGTTGTAGCGCAGCGTCTTGAGCAGACTCTCCATCAGGGACATGCAGAGGCGGTAGACCCCCGGCCAGCAGGCCGAGTCCTGCGACTTCCTGGAGAAACTCTGCAGAGACATATAGTGTTATTTCATTAGTTCATGTTATGTCAGTATTTGAAAGCAATGCTATAATGTCATTTCTATTACCTGTGATGCTCCGTTTGAAGAGCCCTCGTAGACGCTGAGGAGGGGGAGGCAGATGGTCTGGATGATCCCTGCTCCAGCCACAGCTGCTGCCCCCTGCAGGAGGAATGGAGCAGCGTTCACATTTGACATCTTTAACAAATATGTTTACATAAACTAATAAGTATTGATTTGAAATACTACATCATTACTTTGATTGTTTTCTATTCACCTCCCAGACATAATATACAATAAGTGTTAAACACTTTTAATACTACAGTGTCCTGCTGTCATGGGACATTTCTGAGGCTTTCAAATATGAGAAGAAATACTTATGAGGCGTTTGTATCGAGAGAGCGAATGCACTTGAAGCTGAGAGCCAGAACCAGCTGATGCAGGTCAGAAGTATTTAGAGACAAACACCAGCCTTATCCTTTTCCCCTGACACAAGAGAAGTGTGTGTGTGTGTGTGTGTGTGTGTGTGTGTGTGTGTGTGTGTGTGTGTGCGCGTGCGTGCGTGTGTGTGTGTGTGCGTGTGTATGTTTGTGCGTGCGTGCGTGCGTGTGTGTGCGTGCGCGTGCGTGTGTGTGCGTGCGTGTGTGTGTGTGTGCGTGTGTGCGTGTGTGTGTGTGTGTACCTGAGGAGTGCGCGCCAGAGTGAGCAACAGGTGAAGGGCTGCCTCGCTGAAGTACAGGTTGTGTTTGGATCTCAGGCTGATCTCCACAGCGCTGAGCACAGAGGGGAGGACGGGAACCTTCCTCATCACAGAGACCCAGTGCTCACCGTCTTCATCGCTGCGACACAGCTCCTTCGCTAGGTGCAGCGCTAACACACACACCTGATACAAAGAGAGGAAAAACAATGACTCATGTTCACACTGCTGCTGCTGTATAATCTCATCATCAGACGCAGGAAGTTTCATTCCCCAACGGTTTCTACTCTATCACAGTAATGAAAGCAGATGTTTGCAAACAATGGTATGAAGGCATAATGAATACATTGATTGACCAAGACATAAATGATTTAGAAATATAGCAACGAGGAGCTATGATCAAATCTATACCTATTGGTAGGAAGTGTGAAACATGATCTACAAAAATGATGAGTGCACCATGAGCTCACCCCGTCTCTCTGGTCCTTCTGTGGGCTGCGGAAAGAGTCCGTCTCCATGCTGTCCTCGTCCTCCACCCCCTCCCCCACCTGGCTCATGTGCCGGGTGCTGTCGATGAGCGCCAGCGCCTCGTCTTTTACAGTCTCACACACACACAGCAGCAGCTGGGGCAGCTGGGAAATATCCCCACCTGGTTCCCCAATAAATGAATCATTGAGAAGAACAAACTATAGCCGCTTTCACACCAAGTTCTTTTCCCACAAAGGTTCATGAGAACTTAGTTCATGAGAACTCTTTAGTTCTCATGAACTAAGTACAGATCGCGTTCACACCGGAATAAGTCCCTGGGGGAGGATTAGGCAAATTAAGCCGCTGAAGTCACTTCTTCTTCTTCAAACCACTTCACGGCGTATACTGCCGCCCAAAGTCCCGGGCCAAAGTCCCCGGCCGGAAGTCCCCGGAGTTGGGGACTGGCTTCAGTAGAAGCTGCTGGGAGTCCCAGCAGCCTTCCGAGTAAATCGCCAGAACGCCGACACCTCCTCATCTCCACCGCTCCCATGTTTTATTTTGTGTTGCCATAAGTTATTCTCTCTCCGTTGGTGAGCGGGGCTAATGCTAATAATGCTAATGCGAGGATAATAAAATGGCGGCTTCACAAAACTTTTTGGGAGTTTGACGGGGCGTGGTTTGCAATCCTTCCAGCCAATCAGACACAGGAACCTTTTTCTCCCACGAAGGTACCTGCTCTCTAGCAGGGACTGAAAAGGGGGTAAAAAGACACTGATTAAGTCATTTTAGTTTAGGGGGCTTTTTGGTGTGAACGCAAATATATCTGAGTTCTGATGAACTATTGTGGGAAAACAACTCCGGTGTGAACGCGCCATATAAGACCTCCAATTCCAACAGACTGAAGAAAAGACAGCGCTCTTACCATTGAGTCCCTGAATCTGCAGCACAGAGATGAGCGCCGAGAAGATCTTGGCTTTGGTTCTCTCCATCATGTGGTGGTCGGCCTGCAGGACGCTCTCCAGGATCAGGGAGAGCGGAGACAGGATGTCCGGAGCTGTGGCAACCACACTGTGGAGAGAGAGCTTATTAAAGAGGAAGGGGGGGGGCATATGTCAGGGCCCTATCTCAGTGTTTGAGTGGCTGACAGAGGCAACAATGGAGGGTTGCTGTGTTGAAAGTACAAAAAGGGTATTTCTAGTGTAATCTAAAATATGTTCAAAGATTGTGTTCCTAAGTCAGAGACACAAAAACATGGTACAATACCAGGGTTGCTTTACTTAAAAAAAACAAAAGAAAACAAACTCTCTGTCCAATGCAGGAAAACACACCTTCTCCACTGTTTGAGGAGGATGAGCAGCAGAGTGGCCATCATGGACCCGAGGCGAAGACAAGGCACAGACATCGGGATGGTCAGCTGGAAGAGACAGGAAGTGTTGAAAAGCAAAGAACAGGGAGAGGAGATACAAACACATATTGCAGGTAAATATGACATGTGTCCTTGAGGACTTACAGCAGCTTTGGTCCCGTCCAGGACGTCCATGAAAAGCTTCAGTTTGGTCGAGTCCTCCGTCAGCTGCATCACATCGGACTGAGAACAGAAAATATACCAATAATCATTAGATTTATCTGCACGTAACGGATTGATTACAAATTCTTAATTCTCGAGTCGATTGAAAGGTGCAGGACAATCCCAAAAGAAACTATTTAGGTTGGTATCAGTCTGACCTAAAGAAGCAAATAAGAACTAGTTGAATGTTTTGGGGAAATACGCTTATTTGCTTTACATTAAATATGTGATTTAATCCCAACAAATTCCGGGATGTAAAAAACACTGTTGTTGTTGTTGCGGGGCATAAGCAGTAACTTCCTTCTTCCAAAATGGTCATGAAAGCAGCAAAGACAGCTATGAATGTTTTCCAGAAGAGAATGAAAATATGCCAAAATATGACGTTCAGATTTCCACTTTGTGTACAGCTGTTCAAAACAACTATACACATTTCACTTTAGACAAGATGTTGTTTGAATGATTGAAAGAAGCCCACTGAAAACCCTGCAACAAAGACTGTGTTTGCTGTAACATACATGGGAGGTGGAAAGAATCAGCAGCATCCTCCAGGCAGAGATCAGCATCTGGGTCTCAGTGAGGGAGCCGACCCCCTCCTCCTCCATCTCTGCCACGTGGCACACCAGAGACTTCACATACTGGGACCAGTACTCGTATCGTCGAGCGTTGGAAAACTTCTGGAGCCCATCCTTCAGGGACTGCTCCAGAGACCCACTGTTAATCACACAGAGGCAATTCATATTGAAAATATGAGACAGGAGCTTATTGAAAGTGAGAAATATTGAAAGACTGAATTTACCTGACAACGTAGTAGATCTCCAGGCCGATGATCTTCATGACAAAAGCACACGTCTCCAGGACACACGCCTGTAGAATAAAACTCTTGAGTTGACATATTTCCCATCTTACTAATAAAAGTATTGTTATTTAATCATTGTAAAAAAAACGATCAAAATACCTCGGTGGTATCTGAAGGAGGGGTGAGGGTTGCAAAGAGAGGCGTTGTCAAATGTTCCCAAAACCTCTCTCTGTGTTCGCAAAGCACAATATACATTAATTAAACTCCATTATTCCTGCTGGTTTCCTTAATGCTGTATATTGGGTACAGCTGCGATGATTAGTTGATCAATCCATTGACATCACATATTGTGTTTAGTTGTGTTTAATGTAACAGTTTTAGCCCTATGAATATGAAGATTTCCTTATGTTTTACATCATAAAACTGATTCCTTTTGGTTTTGGACCGACAAAAAATACATTCAAAAGACCCCCCTGGGATAAACTGAGATGGACATTTTTAAGACCAAATCAACTGATTTTGATCAATGAATCTAGAAAAGTCATCGGCAGCTTTTTCACAAATGAAGAGTCGTAAGTTGCAGCAGTCATTTTGGGATAACAGTTGATATAACAAAACATATCAGGACGAAAAGTATGGGATTTGTTTCATAAAGATAAAGCAACACTTTCTCAGAATAAAGCAAAACTATGAGTTTAAAAGAAAAAAAAACTGAGTCAAGCAAAAATAAAATATATTTCAAAAATAAAACTATAAGTTGCAAACAAATCATTTGTGTAATCATGTAAACTATAAGTCTTTTTTCTTTGTTTTAATATAGGTTTTTGTTTGCAGTTCTTGTTTCTTCTTTCTCAATGATCAGACTTTTGCTCTCACTGCAGCTCTGCCCGTTTGCGCTCCTTCACTTTTTGTTTGAGATTCTGACACAAACCTCCCAGGTGGGCGGGACTTTCAAGGGTGCGTCCCCATTAGGCGCATTCACACCGCAATACTTTTCCCACAAAGGTTCATGAGAACTTAGTTCATGAGAACTCTTTAGTTCTCATGAACTAAGTACAGATCGCGTTCACACCGGAATAAGTCCCTGGGGGAGGATTCATGGATGTATGAGGATTAGGCAAATGAAGCCGCTGACGTCACTTCTTCTTCTTCTGCTTTTGGTTTACTGAATTCACGGCGTATACTGCCGCCCAAAGTCCCCGGAGTTGGGGACTGGCTTCAGTAGAATCTGCTGGGACTCCCAGCAGCTTCTACTGAAGCCTTCCGAGTAAATCGCCAGAACGCCGACACCTCCTCATCTCCACCGCTCCCATGTTTTATTTTGTGTTGCCATAAGTTAGTCTCTCTGCGTTTCTGCGCTGGGCTAATGCTAATGCTAATAATACTAATGCGAGGATAATAAAATGGCGGCTTCACAAAACTTTTTGGGAGTTTGACGGGGCGTGGTTTGCAATCCGCCCAGCCAATCAGACATAGGAACCTTTTTCTCCCACGAAAGTCCCTGCTCTCTATAGGGGGGACAGCATTAGATCCTAGGAGGGGGGGCATGAAGAAAGACCTGCACCAGCTTCATCCACGCTGGGCGTTGCTGTTATCACTGGCTCAGTGTCATTTCATTTGACCAAATGTCTTTACATATACATTTAATAGATTTTATTATTATCCACCTTTTTGTTTTATGTCCTTTTATTTAAAACATTCTTTGAGACTTCATCTTCTGGTTCAAATTTCAATAAATGTAATTTGTATAATCACTCTTTTGTCTTTATTCTACATGAAAATGTTAGAGATTCCATTCAAATCTGTTGATTATTCAGATCTTCCTCAGGCTAGGAATAGTATGTAGAGTTTGTAATGCTAAATGTATATAATTTTCTCACAGGATATAGAATGAGACAACACCGGTTTTATCCATTGGGTATGAATGCTTCAGCTCTTCAGACCAACATAGTGAGATGCGAGCATGTTCCTAATTGTGTTGGTATGCTAGGTCTGCTCTGTTTCATAAAGCAAATCTGCCACTTTGATATTGTAGAATTTGTTAAATTAAAGCAGTCTTTAATCGTTTGTCCTAAACATAGCAATAGATGCTTTTGAAATGAAATGTCTTTGAAAAAAAATAATAGTATACACTTTATATTGTGCATCACCTTTAGCTTGAAAATACATGTGTTTTTTTAATCTATAAAATAAATACACTTTATCAATCCCAAATTGGGAAATTATTTAACAGCAGCAGTGTGTTCAGGTATTACAATATTTAAAGTTGGAATAAAGTATAAACTACACCACACAAGTATAATGCACAGCAATCCATAAGATAAGTCTGATATGTTCAACTCCTCAGGAGACACCGACACTAACGTGGCCGAGTGGACTCCGGAGTTTGCTGCATGAGTTGCACTGTATGATCTGTGGTGTAGTGGGCTGTCACTCAAAAACTGAGTAGCCAATGGGGACGCACCCCTGAAAGTCCCGCCCACCTGGGATGTTTGTGTCAAAATCTCAAACAAAAAATGAGGGAGCGCAAACGAGAGAGCTGCAGTGAGAGCAAAAGTCTGATCATTGAGAAAGAAGAAACAAGAACTGCAAACAAAAACCTATGTTAAAACAAAGAAAAAATACTCATAGTTTACATGATTACACAAATGATTTGTTTGCAACTTATAGTTTTATTTTTGAAATGTATTTTATTTTTGCTTGACTCCGTTTTTTTTCTCTTAAACTCATAGTTTTGCTTTATTCTGAGAAAGTGTTGCTTTATCTTTATGATACAAAACTAATCCCATAGGAAGTGGGGTTTTTCCTCTGCTGGCCGCAGACTTTACCAATATTGGAAAACTGAACATTTTGGGGGATAAAAAGCGTGCACACAACAGTCACAAATATGTCAAGGGAAAATAGAATAAATATGATTGAGGGTTTGATTGAATAAAACCACATAAAAAGGCTCATTCTTTCCTTCATTTTCAAAACTCTGGCACTAATGGACTTATAGTGCATATTTCACTCCCTTCGTCCAGAATTTAATGAACACATTTTGATGAAGAAAAGGTAATAGCTTACTTAGTGCGCAGGACAGAGATGGCACTATCTCTGCGGTCCTGCCAGAGGGCGAGCAGGAAGGCCAGCGCTGCTTTGTGGAGCATGGGGGGGCACCAATACTTCCCCTGCTGTTTGGAGTCGATCAGATCCAACACCACATGGAGGCAGCTCCACTCACCAAGCAGAAACTCCTAAAAGGAAACCATATTTTAGATCCAGATGCAGCAATATACACGTAGAGATGCTTCATATATCTCCGCCGTTCCTACCTTTGACCCCTCCGTCCCATCTTTGACTTCCAGGTTGAGGAAAAGCTCGATGAGGCCGGGCTGCGTTTCCACCGCCACCGTGAGGAACTCCAGGATCATCACCTTGATCCTCATGTCTTCTGTCTTGCTCTGCAGCCGAGTGAGGAAGGCGTCCCGGATAGCTACTGCATCGTTGCCCAGGCAAGCGTAGACTGACATGGGAGCCACCTGAAGACAAAAGACACGTTGAATACCGGGAATGTTTGCTGTTCTACAACACGACATCTCCAAAAGTCCAAAATGAACCCCTCACAACAACGATCGGGGTTCCTAGACAACTGTTTTTTGTGACTTTCCTAACATTCTGGGAAGTCTTGGTGTATAAATGATAAAAGGAGTAAAACGAGAACATCTCATTTCAGACAGTTAGTTATCAAACATAAACAATGACTACATTTATGCTAAATGGGATAATAGGTGTATTTCTGTTCTCCCTGTAGTCCTCTTTGGGATATCATTACAAATATATACATTAAAAAATATATGATTAAAACATATTTTTGCAAAAACAGCTGGCAATCACACATTGACAATGTGGCTATAATGAAAGATTATGAGCAAATAAGTGCATGTTATATATTTCTGAAGTCTCCTTTGGGATAGAGTTGAATGTAAGACATACGGTCAGGCATGTTTCTTTGTCATGTTTTATTTATACTTTATGTATAAAATGTGTTTGTATTTTGGAGAAAATATATGCATAGACAAACTAAGTTAATATTAGGGATGCTCCGATCGCCAATTTTGGGGCCGATCGCCGGAATCAGTATCGACCGATACCGATCGTCGATCCGATCGAGTGGGCGGGGCCTATGGGGATCTTCCATTTAAAGTGATGTTTAAAACTCAGTTATGCTCATTCACTGGAGCTTCCACAAACAACAACCAACATAATGATTACATTCAAATGATGTACATTATTCAAGTTTACATTAACTTTGAATAATAACACGGGATGAATGAGCGGAAGCGCTCTCTCTCTCTCTCTCTCTCTCTCTCTCTCTCTCCTGACAGCCGTCAGTATCGTCTCATGCAGCTCACTGATCCAGTAATGAGTGACCCGACAGTGAAGAATAAATATATTTATATCTAGTTTAGCTTGTTCCAGAGGTAGATCAAATAGCTAAGTGTGTTAGGTCTAACTCTTGTGTGTTTCGCTCCGCTCACCGGTCCGTCACAGCGGGCGGAGCTGCAGGATTTCTGCTTCACACACGTTGCATACCGCTATTTTACTGTCATTTTCGGACACCTTAAAATACTGCCAGACCGGTGAAGCCATTTTGGCGAGCTTGTTTTGCCGCGCACAGAGAAAAGTGTCATGTATTTTACGTCATGTGATCCGCTCTCCTGATCTGCATTTATAGAGAGCACCGATCGATCGGCAGAGAGTGAATATCGGCCGATCGGAGCATCCCTAGTCAATATAAATGGTAAATACCGTGGCGAGCCTCTTGAGCAGCTGGATGGCGAGGCGGGGCAGCGCTGGGTCGTGTTTGTGGTAAATATACTTGGCCAACACCACGATGAGGTTGTTGCCGTGGCCTCCGTGCTGCGTCAGCGCCTGCTCCAGAGGAGACACCACGTCAGACGGAGGCTTCAGGCGGATCACGTTGTTGGTGACGGAGAAGGCCAGCTTGACCGTCTGGATCAGGATCTGCCCGGGACCCTCGGAGCTGGACAGCATCACAGAGAAAGATCACAAATATAATTATTGAATTTGCACCGCAATATTTCTTAAATATATCTAATCGCAATTCATTTGGATTAATATTGCAATTCCATATGATTTAAGATATAGCATCTTTATTCTCATTTACCTTGAGAAATGTAATAAAATAATCATGGTGGGGTATTTGAAGGATCTGTACCAAATACAGATTTTTTTCTTGGGACTAAAATATAACTATTAGGCTGTGATATCTCTGCAGCACCACAATAGTTCATTAAGAAGGATATTTACACAAATACTCAAATCAGGCATAAATGTGTGTGTTTACCTGCTGGGCTGAGCAGCCAGCACCACATCGATGGTGTCCACTCCGACTCCCATGATGTTAACGACCGCCTGTCCAGCCTCAGTGTTGGCCAGGCTGTAGATACACAGAGACTGCAGGGTGGGGGTGCTGCAAGAAGGGGACAAACAATTACAGATATACAAGCATTTGAGAAGCAGGGACCAACAAATTGGTTATCATTTTAGTTTGAAAAAAAGACTTAGACAATTCATTGATTGTTGAAATTGATGAAGATTAATTCGGAAACCATTCATTGGTTCAGCTCAACAATAATTAAAGACATGTTTATATATAAGCGGTGGTCCTTGAGCGGAGATTGATTTTTCAGTTACTGCATTAGAAAAAGGTCAAGAATTAACTGTGAAACTAAATGTTTAATGTGAATTAACAAAGGGACCATTAATCACAGAAACCTACATTTGAACCTTTAACTGTGAAGTTAAACAGTTGGGAATCTAGAACTTGTGTTCAAAAGTATTATTCCTAGCAGCCGGTTTAATTTTTCATTCACTGAATTGACATGAAACTGTTCAGAACCTACACTTATTTCAAAGATTTGAATGTTGAGCTGTTCTCACCTGGCCTGATCCTCTCCCTCTGGACTCAGATTGAGAATGGCATGGATCAGCTCCAAAATAAGACATCCTGCAGAAACACAAAAGAGCTGGAGTTCATTTACATTTCCTTTCCTTTGACAGTCAGGTCAGACTCTTATTATGATGTGCCTTACCTATCCTCTCTCTGACCCCGTAGGTGTTGTAACGCCACTTGTGGTAGGTGGGCAGCATCTCCTTCAGCACCAGCAGCACACAGGGGATCAGACCTTTGTTCTGAGTGCTGCCCAGCTGACCCTGAGAGAACACAGATATCACTTGCATCATAGCTTCAGGACATTAAAACCTTTATTTTAGGTAAAAAGGCACCGTTTGAATTCTTAAGGGACATTAAATAGTTCATATCTATAGGTAAATAACTGGTGTTACCTTGACCAGAGTTGTGATGAGACGCAGGAAGGCGATGGTCACAGCATACTCCCCCTTCGGCTGCTCAATCTGGACTAGCAGGTTGCCGTAGTTTCCTGCCTTCATCCCTTCAGCACTAAAAAAACACAATGCATTAATTGTGACCATTCAATTAAATGAGTATGGTTCCATCATGTGTAAAGATTTTCCAGCATCCATTAAGTATGTGATTTTTATTAGTTTTCCATAAAGTGTTAATATACAAATGATTTGCCGATAATCCCATGGACAGTTTCCACCCTAAATTTGAGCAGAATTTTGCAAAGCCTAATCAGCACACAGAGTTGTTTTTACTGTACCTTACACACTGAGCCATGTTGGTCAGAGGGTTGGAGGCAAAGGGGAGGAAACCTGTGTGGTGCAGACTGGACCACACCTGGAGATACAGAACAAAAGATATATCAGATGTGTGTGAATAAAAAAAAATGCTTCATGTCTCCCAGGATCCCCACCTTTGCAGGCATCCTTGCAGCCAGTACAGAGAGGCAGTTCACACATGAGGCGATCACATCCACTGGAGGGTTGATGACTGATGTTAACCTAACAGATGGTAAACACAAAGAGACTAATTCAATCTCATATCAAATAGGTAGTACTCAATCATGTTTTTTAAGGAGGTATGCAAGTGAGTTTACCTCTGCAGCAGCATGTAGATGCGTGAGGTGAGAGGCAGCAGACAGTCGGACACGGTCCAGTCTGTGCTGATGATCTTATGCACCAGATCCAGGACAGGTTTCACACGCACACAGTGGGCGATCACATCTGCAAGAACAGACAGAGAAAAGTTGAATTATGCTGAAACAGTGAGTAGAATTATAAGTAAATCAGCTAAATAAAAAATGGAAAACATACGGCACGCAACAGCGGTAATTAAAGTTTAAAAGTCTCAAAAATGCTACAACTGCTGTCACAAACTGGATGAATGTGAAGTATGTTGTTAAAGGAGGATGAAAGCGGAATCAAGGAGCACTATTGGAGTGACTTTGATGGTTATTGGACTCAGGATTAATTTATTTGGATTCCCGCTGTATAAAGAAATTAAAGGACGGCGCGCAAGTGGAAACAATTCACAAAGGGATTAAACTGTTTAAAACACATGCTCAAAGTAAGCCGGATTTTGCCGATGTGTTTATGTGGATTCAAAAGTCGTAAATAATCTACAAAATGGAGGAGACCAATCTGATTGGAGCAACTGTGACAAATAATCCAACTGAAACCGGCATGGACAATGACTATGTTTTAAAAATGCGCTTATCCAGACAAGCCCGGTTTGGACACTTTACGGGCAGAAGAAACATTTATATTAAAGAAAGAAATACATTTCTGTCTTTTTATGCCTTTAATACTAACTTGAATTTTTATTAAAAATTAATTAGTCAATTATTTTTTATATTTTATTGTAATGTAGAGAAGAGGCTTTTAGTGACAATCATGTATTGCCTTACAATTATATGTAAAAAAAAAAAAGTCTAAATATGATATTTGGCCTCAAATCATCTGAGGCCTGGCACCCCCCCACAGGGTGACTGGCTGTCTACATGATGTGGCCTGCCGACATGGCCACTGTCATACAGATCATAAATCAAAGCCCTTGATTGGTCTCTGTGTGTCCTTCAAGCTCGGGATAACCTCAGCTCAGGTGAGGTAAAGGACTCTGAGTGTTTAGATAGTTCACTTAGTCAAAGTTCTCAGTGGGTCTCAAACGGTTTGGTCACCATTTATGTAAACACATATTTCCAGTTGAAGGGGTAATGATTAGTAAAATATGCATGAATAAAAAATTAAAAGTTAACTAGGTGAAACAAGGTAAGATACACTTTTAAAACTTGTTGAGAGCTAAAACTAGTCTTTGCTGCTGCCTCAAAGAGGAGCAGGGGGAGAGGAGGGAGACAGGAGAGGCTGATTCAGGAGCACAGACACACTCACAACTATAAATGAACCAAAAACAAATAAATAAACAAGTTTCAGTGTTTTTTCATATTGGATATGGTATGTTATTGATTATGGCCATGATTTTATGATTATTGAAATGTATACAGTTCTGTTTCATGTAGGTGTTTCCATAGATCTCTTTATTTTCCCCTCAAAGTGCACCAGATTGATGCATTTAACTACAAAATCTAGGGACCCCCCTAGAGGATTTGAGGTCCACCCCCACTTAAAATAACATGAATAGGTTCCTAAATACATTTACCATTTGTTTTAAATAGTAACCCATGTCCATATGTTTATTTGTGGGTAGTAGATTTAAACTATAGGGCTATCACTATGGGCCCTAGCTGTACCTGATCGATCTGCCATCGCGTGAAGGGTCTGCTAACAAGCGACCAACAGAAAGGCTAATGTTGTTGCACGTCACAAATGCACGGCACTTCAACCCCCCCCCAAAGTATATTTCAGATCTGTGGGAAACACTGGATGATACACAAATAGGAATATAGATACAAATGTGCTTAATGTGTACAAAACGCAATAGAATGGAACATGGCTCTCGTTGATGAAGATATTTCTTGGGAAAAAAATAAATGATAAAAATATCCTTAAAAACATATTCAATATCTGCTTCTATGAATCAATGAATACCTGCGGTTGAAACAACATGGAGCAGCATCTCCACCTCGCAGGTGAAGAGAGTCCAGGAGCTGTAGGAGTGATCCCAGCGCACCACGTAGCCCTGCTCCCCCCCGATCATCACCTGACCCAGAACCCCCTGCGGCATCCACAGGTTAGTCTGCCCTGTGCCTGGAGATCAGGAAAATAATTGTTATGATGGAGGAACATCACTCAGGAGAAAACTATAAATGGGCGATATGAAGAACATCAAATATCACACTACTTCTGATCAAATATCTTCTAACAATGAAATCATTTCTTTGATTGAAGTAATAATCATTTATGTGGCTTTAAAGGCTCAAATCTAATTGTAAAAATATCTACTCGTAGTTGTACGTTTGGAAAGAAAAAAGCAGCGTAATGCAGCCTTTAAAACCAGAAAAGAACACTTATATTACGGTATCTAAAACGATAGCTAGTCATATCAAAATATTGATATAATAATGATATATTGCCCAGCCCCCCAGCCCTACTTATTAGTATGTCTTATGCAAATATGCATCAACAATTCAACATTCTTGTGCACACTAGGGCTGTCCCGAATACCATTTTTCGGGCTCCGGATATTCGGTAGTAATCAGCAGCGAACCGCTTCGACACCTGCATTTCGGTTTATTCACGGCATTATTTTTGTTATTCTACAGTATTGTTGTTTTATAATTATTTGTTAATGTAACCGAATTTGTGTTCTTTGAAATTGAAATTGTGTGTTACTTTCGTTGCAGTTGTATATGTCTTAAGTGTAATTTGGCTTGGCATTCTATTTTGTATGGAGATGCTTTTATTTTGAAGGAGAGTTAGCGCAGTTGACAGGAAGTTGTTGTTGCTATGGAAACAACGTGACGGAGATTAATGGATAAAAAGTAATATCTACATATAAAGACGGAGAAAGTAAACGATAACGTTTATGGTTCAGTGTTAGCACCCCCCCAAGAGGCACAAGCTCTTACGTTGATATTGGAGATTTCAATAAATTCAAAAAGAAAAAAAAGAGAGAAAAAAACAAATAACAAAATTGAAACCCGATTAGTAATCCAACGAACGAATATTCGGATACAGCCCTAGTGCACACATCATTTTTTATCTGAATTTCAAACTAAGAGTAGAAACCAGGAAAACTAACCGAGTGGGTAGAGCAGTTTCGGTGTTTGTCTTCTCCACAGCGTCTCATCATCCTTCGAGATTACGTCATTTGGTTTATGTTTGTAAACTTGTGTGTAGTAGGACATCTTATCCAAAAAGTTGTACACCTGTGAATAAGATAGGGATAATACATCGTTAAACCATTAATATCATGCAATGGTGTGAGTGTGAGTGTGTGTGTGCAACTCGATTTTGACAGGAAAGCAACTGGAGACTTCTAGAATTGTGTGAGTAACATTCTGTTTTTAGACTTCTCTGTTTCAGTGTGTGTACTCTGTATCAATGCTCTGTAGTTGATCTGACTGAAATTGTGATTTTAAATCTCAAAACCACTATAGTATCTGTCAGGCAGAAACTTGGGACAAGTAATTTGACTGAAACCTTAAAACTGAACTAACTGACTGCTACATTTGTAGAATACTAAGAGCTTTATTGAGTAGGTGTAACTGTATTAAGGGTTAAACTCTTAAACTTTATAACTTAGGGTTTAATGTAATTGTAAAACCATTGGGCCACTGAAAAGACACAATAGCAACTCAGGAGGGAGCCAGTCTCGATTTCCTTTTGAGGGCCACCAGCTGCAGAGACTGAACTAATTAAAGGGACGTGGCCCCATAGCTGTGAGAACTCAGCAATCAGGTGTCCATTTTAGGTAGCACTTTCCTGGAGCGTCAGCTTCAGCGTCAGACAGGCTAAGACTGACAAAGACATTAGAGTCCTGCGGGAGTAAGACTGACAAAGACATTAGAGTCCTGCGGGAGTCACGAGGGAGGCAAAGAGGAGGCAAATCCTACTCTGATTGAGCTAAGTATTGCTGGTGTTTTATTTTCTTTGGTTGTTTAGCCCCTCATGCTATAATCATGTGTATTTTCTCCATTCCTGTTTATGTGTCTTCTCGCAATTATCACTGGCCCCGTGTATCTCGTAATCGATATAACCGGCCTGCTCTCGTCTATCCCACATGCTCCACTGAGATCCAACATCTAGTTTCAGGCGGCCTGTGGAACTGCCAGTCAGCTGTTCCTAAGGCTGACTTCATCTCTGGCTATGCTTCCCTGCAGTCTCTGGATTTCCTTGCTCTCACTGAGACGTGGATTACTCCATCCAACACATCCACCCCAGCAGCTCTCTCCACTGCATATTCCTTCTCCCATACACCTAGACCCACTGGCAGAGGAGGTGGCACTGGTCTCCTGCTCTCTCCCAAATGGAGCTTTTCCCTCTTTAAGCTACCTAACTTCACTCCTTCCACCTTTGAATTCCATGCCGTCACAGTAACCCATCCTATACAGTTAACCATTGTTGTTCTCTACCGCCCACCAGGCGCCTTGGGGGACTTCTTGGAGGAATTAGATCATCTCCTCTCACACATCCCTGAAACTGGCCCTCCCGCTGTACTTCTCGGAGACTTCAACCTCCAGACAGGGAAGATAGACAAACTAACATCTCTGTTAACCGCCTTTGCTTTCTCACTGTCTCCGTCCCCACCGACTCATAAAGCTGGCAATGTCCTTGATCTCATATTCTCAAGGAACTGCACTACTTCTAACCTCTCTGTAAACCCGCTCCACACATCCGATCACTTCTTCATTTCATTCTCTCTACCCCTTTCCAAACATAACAAACTAATCTCTTCCCATCCTGCACCTGTCCGCCGTAACCTTCGTTCCCTCTCCCCCTCTAGCTTTGCCTCATCGGTGCTCTCAGCCCTCCCTTCCTCTGACTCGTTCCAACTCCTACCTCCAAACTCTGCTGCAGAAACTCTCCTCTCTACTCTCTCATCCTCTCTGGACTCTCTCTGTCCTCTCACATCTCGGCAGGCTCGTCAGTCCCCTTCTGCTCCCTGGCTAAATGATGCACTGCGTGCTAATAGAACCGGCAGCAGAGCGGAAATGGTGGAAATCCAAACACCGTGACGACCTCCTAACCTATCAGGCTCTCCTCTCCTCTTTCTCTGCTTCGATCTCTCAGGCAAAAAGCACTTTCTTTCAAGATAAGATCCAATCTTCCTATTCCAATCCCAAAAAACTATTTTCCATCTTCTCCTCCCTCCTGGACCCCCCCAAAGCCCCTCCCCCCTCCTCACTTCTGTCAAGCGACTTTGTTACCCACTTTGAAAAAAAGGTTGATGATATTCGCTCTTCTTTTCCTGACTCACCTTTACTCACCGCTGGGTCACCAGACCCTCCTTCCACCAACACACTGACCTCCTTTTCCCCTCTCTCTCCAAGTGAGGTTCTTACCCTCATTACCTCTGCCCGCCCCTACCACCTGTCCTCTGGAACCTATCCCTTCAAACCTCCTTCAGACTATCGCTCCTGATATTCTACCGTTTCTCACCCATTTCATCAACACTTCTCTAACTTCTGGTCACTTTCCAAACAGTCTCAAGGAGGCAAGAGTAAACCCTCTCCTAAAGAAACCCACTCTCAACCCGTCAGATGTTATAAACTACAGGCCTGTCTCTCTCCTCCCGTTCCTGTCTAAATCACTTGAACGCGCTGTCTTTAGACAACTCTCCTGCTATCTCCATCAGAACAACCTTCTGGATCCGCACCAGTTTCAAGGCAGGTCACTCCACAGAAACTGCCCTCCTTGCTGTCACTGAGGAACTGCACACTGCTAAAGCAGCCTTCCTCTCCTCTGTCATCATCCTTTTGGACCTGTCTGCTGCATTCGACACGGTGAATCATCAGATCCTCCTTCGCACTCTCCAAGCACTTAGAGTTTCAGGCTCTGCACTTTCCCTCCTCACCTCATACCTGAAAGACCGTACCTACAGGGTGACTTGGAGAGGGTCTGAGTCCGACCCTTGTCAATTAACTACGGGGGTCCCTCAGGGCTCTGTTCTTGGTCCCCTCCTCTTCTCCCTGTACACAAACTCGCTCGGATCAGTCATTAGCCCGCATGGTTTTTCTTACCACTGCTACGCTGACGACACCCAATTAATTCTGTCCTTTCCCCGCTCAGAGACCCAGGTCGTCGCACGCATCTCTGCTTGTCTAGCTGACATCTCTCAGTGGATGTCTGCTCATCACCTCAAGCTCAACCTTGACAAGACTGAGCTGCTCTTCCTTCCGGGAAAAGATTGTCCCACTCTTGACCTAACAATCAACATTGGCACCTCTATTGTTTCCCCGACTCAGACTGCAAGGAATCTGGGTGTGACCCTAGATAACAACCTGTCCTTCACTGCAAACATCGCTGCTACAACCCGCTGCTGCAGATACACGCTTTACAACATCAGGAAGATACGTCCCCAGCTGACACAGAAAGCGACTCAGGTTCTGGTCCAGGCTCTCGTCATCTCACGCCTAGACTACTGCAACTCCCTCCTGGCTGGTCTACCTGCATGTGCCATCCGACCTCTGCAGCTCATCCAGAATGCAGCGGCTCGTCTGGTCTTCAACCTTCCTAAATTCTCCCACACCACTCCGCTCCTCCGCTCCCTTCACTGGCTTCCGGTAACTGCTAGAATCCACTTCAAGACACTGGTACTTGCTTACCATGCTGCGAATGGATCTGGCCCTTCTTACATCCAGGACATGGTTAAACCGTACACCCCAGCACGTGCACTCCGCTCTGCATCAACCAAACGGCTCGCTGCACCCTCGCTGCGAAGGGGACTCAAGTTCCCATCAGCAAAAACACGTGGGTTTGCTATCCTGTCTCCAAAATGGTGGAATGAGCTCCCCATTGACATCAGGACAGCAGATAGCTTACACACCTTCCGGCGCAGACTGAAAACTCATCTCTTTCGACTCCACTTCGAGCGATAGAATTATTAACATAGCACTTATATACTAATAAAGGGCTGGCTTATCTAAAGCCAGTTGAGTAGCACTTGAAATGTTTTTGCTCTATGAAACCTGATGTACTTATATGATTCTGTTTTCTTCAAGGTTGTATTTTGTTGGTCGAACGCACTTATTGTAAGTCGCTTTGGATAAAAGCGTCAGCTAAATGTAGTGTGTGTGTGTGTGTGTGTGTGTGTGTGTGTGTGTGTGTGTGTGTGTGTGTGTGTGTGTGTGTGTGTGTGTGAGAAAGCTACCTTTTTCACAGTGGACTTGTTTGACAGAAGTGCAGTTAGAAGCTGTAACAGAGGTCCGATTTTGTGAGGGAACATCCCGACTGCACTGTCCAGAATCATTCCCAGTCCCATGTTCGGTTTCTGGATAAAACATTGAACAAACAGGAAACATTATCATCACAAAACATTTTATCCGATTTTAACTCAAAAAGAATCCCCTTTTTCCATATTCTCACCATTTCCCAAAACACTTCTGCCAGATTTGGAGCAGAGAGCACTTCACAGGCAGCATCGATGAGGTGGGAGCACTGAGCCGCCTGACCACCAGTCTGTCACATGCATTAAGAAAAAGCAAGTTAACAATATGATTGAGTAAAGAACGTTTATCATTGCTTATATAGCACTATATAAATAACATGTATAATTATTATTATATGTAAAATCAGAATGCATACCTGTAGGCTTTCCTCCTCAAAAGAAGTGACCACAAACGAGAGGAGACCGTAGATACACATCTTTGCTGTGATTGCTGTGACCTAAAGAGAAACAGTTCACAGATTACATTTTAATTGTATATCTACATATGAGAATAAATGTTGGTGTGTGTGTTTGGGCTGCTTGACATATATTGTAAATGTTTTGTTTGTTGTTGTCTTGTTTGTGTTTGAGCACTGTCCTCATAATGTATAGCTGTATTTGTAATTATGTCTGTCTTGGTAAATCTATAACAAAAACTAAAAGGGAAGAAATAAAACATATAATGCCTTGGCTTAGTGTATTACGTTTTCCAAAATATATGGCAGTTATTACACACTTGATACCATGTGTACAAATCAAGAAAAGAAAGCCTAAAACAAAGATCCTTTATTCTAAAGTCGAATTTTGATTTAATAATAATAATTTAAATGGAATCAGGATTAAGGATAATTGTTACACTCCTTATAGAGAGACTGTTTCACTATCATTCAAAGCAGAGGTGGAAGAAGTACTCAGATCGTGTAGAAGAAGAAGTACCAGAGTGTAGGAATACTTTGTTAAAAGTTAAATTCCTGCATTCAAAATGTTACTCAAGTAAAAGTAGAAAAGTATTAGCATCAAAATATAATTTAAGTACCAAAAGTAAAAGGACTCATTATATATATATATATATATATATATATATATATATATATATATATATATATATATATATATATATATATATATATATATATATATGTATGTTCTGATTATAATTATTGATGCATTAAAGTGTTATCAAAGCTGGTAAAGGTAACTACATTTAATTGTTGATTATATGTCCCATAATTAATCAAAATCTGAGAAGTAACTAAAGGTATTAGTGGAGTAAAAGTACACCATTTACCTCTGAATTGCAGAGGGGTAGAAGTACAAAGTCGCAAAAAAATGGAAATACTTAAGTAAAGTAATAGTTCCTCAACATTTTTCTTCATCCCTTGCACATTTTGTTAGTTTGCCCACTTACCCAAGAAATGAACAGTCTATAATTTTAATGGTAGGTTTATTTTAACAGTGAGAGAGAGAATATCAAAAAGAGAATCCAGAAATGGATATTATATAAAAGATAAAAAATGGATTTGCATTTAACTGAGGGAAATAAGTATTTGATCCCTTGCAGAACATGTGTTAGATCTTGGTGGAGAAACCCTTGTTGGACACACAGAGGTCAGACGCTTCTTGTAGCTGGTCTCCAGGTCTGTGCACATCTCAGGAAGGATGTTGGTCCACTCCTCTCTGAAGATCCTCTCCACATCCTTCAGGTGTTGAGGCTGATGCTTGGCCTCTGGAAGCTTCAGCTCCCCAAAGCAGAATGTTTCCACCTCCATGCTGACGGGGGGATGGTGTTCTGGGGTTATAGTCAGCATCTCTCTTCCTCCAAACACGGCGTGTCCAGTTGACGCCAAAGATCTCGATGTTGGTCTCATCTGACCACATCCTCTCCTCCCAAGCCTTCTCTGAATCCTTCAGAGGTTCGTTGTCAAACTTCAGACGGCCTTTCATGTTCCTCTTGAGCAGGGGGGGGGGGGGGGGGGGGGAGGGGGGCTTCAGCCGCTGCAGGGTTTGATCCATTATGGTGTAGTGTGATACCAACAGTTTTCTTGGTGCCTGTGCTCCCAGCTGCCTTGAGATCATTCACAAGTTCCTCCTGTGTAGTTCTGGCTGACCCCTCACCTTTCTCCTGATCATCAATACCCCACTGGGCCAGATCTTGTGTGGAGCCCCCGACCGAGGGCGGCTGATGCTCATTTTGTCTTTCTTCCATTCCTGAATAATGGCACCAACAGTTGTCTCCTCCTCACCGAGCTGCTCTCTGATGGTCTTGTAGCCAGTCCCAGCCTGGTGGAGGTCTACAGTCTGGTCCCTGAGGTCCTTAGACAGCTCTTTAGTCTGGCCCATGGTGGAGAGGTTGGAATCTGATTGATTGATTCTGTGGACAGGTGTCTTTTATACAGGTAACAAGTTGATGTTAGGAATACTTTCCTAAAGGAAATGGACGTATGTAACCGGTCTGAGGGAGCCAGAATTATTGTTGGTTGCAAGGGGATCAAATACTTACTTCCCTCAGTTAAATGCAAATAAATGTGTATCTTTTATATAATGTCAATTTCTGGATTTTCTTTTTGATATTCTTACTCTGTGTTAAAATAAACCTACCATTACAATTATAGACTGTTCCTTTCTTTGTAAGTGGGTGGGTAAACTTACAAAATCGGCAAGTGATCAAATACTTATTTCCTCCACTGCATGTGAATCTACTTGGTTCCTTTACAACACTGATTCAAAGTTAGTTCTTTCTTCTCCTTCTAGAGAACTTTTAAATTGATTTGTGTACTTGGTGTGTCCTCTTACATTATTTCCTGACACGCCGAGGCCCTTCAGCATGGTTGAGATGTACTTGAACACCTCGAGCTGCAGGGCAGTGTTTCCGATCCTCCTGATGACGGGGCTGGACTCCTCCGGTCGCAGTGTGTGTCTCAGCAGAACCCAGGCCAGCAGCACCGGCCCGTGGTGAGGGATGTCTCCGAACGTCAACAGCAGCTGATCCATCCCCTGGAGGAAACACAGGAAATATGGAGGTTCAGACATTGAGTATTACAGCTCTACTGTTATACTACGAAAAGTTTATGTCTTTTTTTATTTGGATGCCTAAGTCCAACCTTGATGACGTCTGCAGCGCTGGAGAACTGATGCTGCTCTGTGCACTCCTCCAGGGCACACTTGTGCAGAAAGTCTATGTCCATTCCTTCCACCAGGATTAGGGAGCTAAAATATCTGCAAGTCAGAGAAACATAGATGATATTAAAGAAAACACAACAAATGTACTCATATCGGTTGATACATTCTTAAGCAGATGTATGGATCTGTGTTAAGGAAAGCTAAGGCAGAAAATAAAAGAAATGTCTGAATCAAAACATTTGGGTATATTTAGAAACAAGGCTGATTGATTTGTCACCCAGATTATGAAATAACCACAGGCCTGCTTTTCATAAAACTTGGTGAAAAATTGAAGCATGTTCCAAGGAAGAACCAATACCATTTTGGAAACTAATCACAGGGTGGACGTACAAAATATTTTTCATTTTCATTAGCACTGCGAGATTGGCCATTTGTCTTTGGGGCTCAGCCCTCTCCTATTTTTTTCAGTATATTTTAATATCTTAGCTTCATTTTGTAACCCAACATTAATCCCATTTGTCCTTGGGCACAGGATAAATGAAACACATAAACTTCACAGAGACTTTGAGGTGCTCTTACCCAATGCGCTCGACCAGGGCGTCCATGCTTTTATCTACAAGATGTCTGTTGGTCTGCCTCAAACCGAAGCCTTGCTCTTTGAACATTTTGGTGAAGCTCAGCAAGTCGGACGGGCTCATCTCAAAGTATGCGTAGTACAGGAAGATGATCTCCAGCAGAAGAGACTGTTCCCTCAGACACTGCAGGAACCAGTGGGACACCTGCCTCTCCGTCTAAACATTTAATACAATTAAAAAACATGTTGCATCCTCTGATGGACAAATGTTAACATCTCTTCCAGGTCGTGCTTCAGTTATATCTGAGTAATATGTGATATTTATTTAAATGATATCTAGCTTATAGTATAATGGTATTCATCAGATATGAAACAAATGATCACCATGAGGTTTCCGTGAGTTTCCCATGTTGGTGCTTCTGCTTTGAAGAGGTTTTCAAACTGTGACTTATACTTGCTCACCAGGTCCTTCTCCAATTTATTCACACAGTTACTGTACTCAGCCTGAACAAATCAAAACAAACCCAGAGTTATTTGACAGAAGCAAAGATAAACAACCACATCTTTAGGGAGAAATGCACAATGTGACCCAGCTGACACTCACTCTGTAGGGATGTCGCTCATCCTGAAAGTATGTCAGCAATAGTAGGACACATCTGAGCAGACACATGCGCTCCTCGTAATAATAGTCAGCCACCTGTAGATACACACAGTCATAATTATTGCACTAAATATGGAAGTAGTTCAGTTATGTGTAAATGTCTGCAGATCTGTGTACTAACCTTAAGCAGCAGTGACTGGCTTTGTCGCTCATCTTTGAAAACAACCTGTATACAAAAATATGTTAGCCACCATCTGAATATCTTTTATATTAAAGGTCCCATGTCATGGCCATTTCTACTGATCATAATTCCATTGTTGAGGAGGTCTACTAGAATAGATTGACAATTTTGACTTGAGCCGTCCCTTATAGATACTGTCTTTTTACGTTAGTGAGCCGGATCATTTTGCTCGGCTCTCTGAAAGCGCCGGCTGTTTCGGCTCCCAAACGGCTCTTCATGTTACCACAGTTTACCACGGAGCCTCAGTTTCGCCGCTGCGAGGCTCTGGTGCTCGCACCTCACGCGCGTGCTCCACTAAACCCCCCCCCCCCCGCTCATCGAGTCCAAATCGCGCACATTCCGTGTTGTCCTGTAGCAGGCACCTTCGATGTCAGGGAAATTATCTGCAATACTCCGAAAAGAATCCCACCAGACTCCTTTGCCCCTCCAACAGAGGGATGTCCTTGTCCTTTTCGTCATTTCAAGCGATAAAAACTCTCTATCTTCTCTCGAATTATTCATATTTTTGGACGCCCTTGGCTCGAGTTCAGGACGTCCCGAGCTGAATAAGGACGTCAAATGACGGCAAGACGCCCCCCTGGCGGAAACGCTGCCCGGATGGAAAACATTTTAAAAGAAAAATGTCCAACGAGGCGTTCTGGGGCAGCACAGACGGGTCTTCTCTGTGTTAGACTTTTACTCGCTACAGGGTGTACTTTGAGGGTTTGTGACTCTGCAGACCGTTTACATGCAGAAAAACCTTCATAACACAAGGGGACGGGTAATAACCAGAAAAGCATGACATGGGACCTTTAATATCGTTACAAAGTAAAAATGTTGCAATTGTTGTTTCTCATAAAATATGGAGACTGTAGTTATTCTTTGCATAAGTGATGCAGCAGTAAATCCCAGATCTAAAAAAACACTATCACTGACAACATTAGTGGGCTATACATTGATTACAGAGTAACTTTGACACAAAATGTGCTTCAATGTAATCATATTGGACAGTTATATATTGCCAATGTACGTCCACAAACGATTAAAACAATTGCTGCCCTTAATCTCAGACCCAACAACATTGGAAAACATCAAAGATCCCCTTTAACAACTGGGTAATACATGTAATTAAAATATCATTTTCTGTAAAAACTGCATATGACAGGATGTTTTGGTAGGATGTCACACAAGATTTCGGGATTCATTCCCAATAAAAAAAAAAGGACCTTTAACGAATCACGAGTTCCTCTGTAGTCCTCCTGTAGGTAGCACTGTAAAAGCTGCACACTCTGGTGCTCATCAAGACACTGCAAAAATGATGTGCAAATAACAAATGGCAAATAAATGCACCACCAAATGAAGACAGTGAATCACATCATTTACGTAACAGAATTGTTTCGGCTCTTACCAATAGTTTACTGATCCTCAGACCAAAATCCTTCAATGGTTGTGCAACATCTTTGTCCTCCTTCACTTTCCCAGCAGAGGACGAGCTAGAACAAGAGATGATGATAACTATCCTTTCTGTTGTTACGAAGTGTTGATTTTATGTAAGGATCAAAAAGAATTACAACATACCTGGGTGGCTTGTAATAACATAGACCTTGATGCAGTCTCTCCCAGTGTCTGTCGAGCTCTGCCTCTATCTGAGCCTGTCAAACATTTCATGATAAGCATAAAATCACGTCTCATTTTATGTACCGTCGCTTATTACAAATGCAAAAATCGAAGTGCTGACAGGAGCATTTGAAACCTCCTCAAGACAATACTTTAATTGTTTTAACTGTTTGGTAGAAGAACACCCTTGAATATATACCGTCAGGCTTGGATCTTCGTCATTTTAGGGGCAAGGCCATTTGGCCTTTGGTGTCACACATTTTTTCAGCGCGCAAAGGCCACATGCCAGGGCACAAAGGCCATTGAGGGAAAAATTAGGATTTGGAGCTTACAAATAAATAACTTCACTTTCTAATGACAAAAAACCAAATCACTTTTTTAATATCAATAATCGTATCATCATATAGGCCTATGCCTCCTAGTATTACCGTATATAAAATGAAACACTTTACTTTGAATAATTAGTGTTTGGTATGTTTTCCATCTACTACTACTCCCATTCACAAATCCAAAATGAAATCTAAAAATCAAAAATTCTATTAATATGTAACAAATATATTCCATTTCAGAGCAGAAGAAACAGCCTTCAAGGGTCAAACTCTGCACATACATCATTCAGCACAGTGAAGCTCCAACAGCCAACTGTATGAACAAGCAATACTTTGAAATGCAAAAGTGTGTGCGTGTGTGTGTGTGTGTGCGTGCGTGTGTGTGCGTGCGTGTGTCTCTTTAATCAACTCCTCACAGCTCCTCATATCTGTTCAGAAACTGGACAAAAGTTAAAGATGTACAAACCACAGACTGTCTGTGTCATGACGAATACAGTCGCTGCTTTAATTCTGTCTTTAGGGTTGTTGTGAGTTTGGACGGAGCAGCGACAACGTTAGTTTAGCCTGATCGATCCAATCTCCATTCACAAAACACGCATTTTAAAAGGTTTTTCGCATGCCGTCTTGTCTGCACACTTGTCAAAGCATTAAAGCATGGTTTTTACTAACCGTTATCAGTATTTAGTTACTTCGGCATCATTTTGAAACGTGTATTACAATGAAATCACGGTAAAATAGGTTAATTTGGTCATAGTTGGTTTCCACCACAGTATTTACATGGAGATACGCCCCGCCCCCTCTCCAGCGCGTCCTGTTTGAATGACAGGAGTAAACACAGCTGACAGCCGCGGTGAAACTCCAGCGGTTAGAGCAATGCGAGTATTCGCATCGCGTCCGTTGTGAACGCAGCATAATGCAGTTCAGAAACCACTGTTCTGACGCTTTTAAAGCAACTTTTAACAGTGTGAGGGGCCCAAAGGCCATGGTGGTCGTAGGACGTACAATTATTTGTGGGGCATAACGGCCAGACCGAGGGGCTACGACGGCCATGGCCGTCATGGCCGCCGTGACAATCCCACCCTGTATACCGTACAGTGGAAGGTTTGGCAAAAAATACATACCGGCTCTCGCAATGCAGATCTTCCCAGCAATATGGTATGTAATTCTCGACTGCTCCTAAGAGAAAAATGATTATATATTTTAGTAAATACATTAATGTATATTACAAAAAGGCAAGGCAAGCTTATGTATATAGCACCTTTCAAGACAAGGCAATTCAAAATGCTTTACAAAAAGAAAATAATGAAAAAGGTGTGTTCCGCCTTAATAAGGGTAACAACACATGTGTCTGTATGTATTCATCAACATGCCCATACATTTGTAAGCTGTCGTAGGTGGGTTGAAAAGGACTTGAAAGGTAGGTGTTTCAAAACAAATGGTGAGATTATATTTGTTTTAATACTGCACAGCTGTTCCACTTCTATTCATATATACTGTATATTTGTTCACAGTAATTTGTTGATATACTTTTCATATTTCCTTTAATGTATAGTTATATTTCACAACTTCAGATTTGTACTTTATATTTGACTAACTATGTTAATGTATGAACCAGTATACAGCAAAGCTGAAAACCTACTTGACAATAAACCATAATCTGATGTCATAAAACTGGTGTTAATATAGTTTATTGTTAGAATCACCAAATATGTCATCAAGGGAGATAGATTTATATATATAGATACTTTATTCATCTTAAATTGGGAAATGTTTGGGAAATTATCACAGCAGCAGCGTTGTCAAGCATTACACACCAGTTAAAATCTTTAGTAAGATACAAATATAATAAAATAAAAAAGTAACATTAGCAAATGTATACATATTCACAGTAGGAACATAAATGTATCACTAGATTACTAAATAATACCCAATATATACATCAGTATTTGATCTGTCAAGTATTCAAATTGAGTACTTGACAGATCAAAGTATTTTATCCGATATCAGAAATTGTAAAAAATAGCTTCAACAGTATAAATAGTGTAGAAATCTAACAGTTGACACAGGTATACATTGAATATTGTCCTATTTTACTATCACATTAGTCATTGTCCTGTCTATGCACAAACACTAACGTTGTTAGCCTCTTTCCTTTTGTCATAACTATTCCTTTTAACCGTAACATAGAAACTTGAGTCTGCTGCTCAAATTAAACTTTATTTATTAGAGTTTATGGTTTAAGAGTGAACTTCCCAGACATGCTGTTGTTGTCATGCGGCTGACACACGTTGAAAAGCCATTCAAATGTTCAACTGCTAGCACATGCTAAGCTAAGTTAGCATGGCGCTAACAACTCAAAAGGAACACACCGAAACATATAAATTCCACCAACAATATGGTTTGTTAAACGGACATATTCTGTAGAATTGTTTTCTCGCTGGTACGTTTTTATAAACTATTTAAACAACAACGCAGACGTTAGCTAAAGTTGGCTGCTAACTGCCTACCTGACGCTCATCTCGGATTCCGCCATCTTCACTCCTGACCTGTGATTGGTTGTTGTGCTGTGTCGTCATTACGGTCGTCACCTACTCCTTCTTCGATAATATTTTCTGGAGTTACCAGAATACACACACTGCCATCTTCTGGAGATAAATAATATTGAAGTACGACGATTTCCAAACGCATCAATACATTCTCTTAAATTAACACATTTAACACAAATTATAAGACATCGTTTCTCCTAAATTAAGAAAAATGTAGGTTAATACTTAGAGGCTCCTCTAAAACATTTATTAGAACATGGGAACACTTTCAGGACGTGCATGACTCCTTATCGGATCCAATCGTTCTTATTATACATCCATGGATCCATGGATGAATGAAGAATACAGTGGGATTCCTGGGTGCGATAGTACAGCAGCCAGTGAGTGCTTCATTTGTTGCTTAAGAGTGTAATAACGTGTTCGTGCATGTGAACTAGAAATAATGCAAATAATAATAATTATCATATTAATAAAATCGTACAAAAAACACCATATACAGGGAAAGTAGGTAGGTGAGTGTTGTACCATCAAGTAAAGACAAGGGGAATACGTAACAAAAGTGAGCATTTAAACTAATTCAAATGTGCGATAAAACCAAGAAATCAAAAACAAGGTTATATTATATTTTGAATATAGAAATGAATACTCGAAGGCACAAGAAAGATCATGGTAAATAATAATAATAATAATAATAATATAATAATAATAATAATAATAATAATAACAATAGGTAATCATATTTTTTAAATACAGAAATAAAACAATAAAAAGCACAAGAAACCTGTAAAACCTGTACAATTCAGGTATAAAACAAATGTTATTAAAAACTATATATTTTTGATGGATACAATTCACTGTATGCGCTTTCTAAAAATCACAATATTCAAACAATTGATTTAATAAAAATAAACACACATTAATAACAAAGAAAACCAGGCCTTTAAGAGATATTTTTACGGCTGCATCACGTGACCCAGCTGTCAAATATGGCCCCTTCCTTCTGCGTGTGAGAGCAGACAGCTGACAAAGGAAATACATCTGGTAAAAGGACGGCGCCGGCTCTTGTAACCCCGCTCCTTCGTCCAGATATCCCTCCACCTATGAGGTACGTATGCTCGTCTTCGTGAACGTTGGTTTGATTTCCCGCCCTGCAGCGGTGGTTGTAAACGCCTCTGTGTCGTTCTGATAACTCACTCGGCTATTTTTCTCTGAGCGAGGTTGCAGCATCCTTGGCTCGCCGAGTGGACGAGTTTCTCCCTTTGCTGAGGGCTAGCGGGTCTTTATTAGCATGGATGTTACGAATGACTGGAGGATATTTCAGTGTGTCCGTCTTATGTGCTGTTTACAAGACCTTCATAGATGATTTAGCCCAGGTGGAAGACCATTCAACGTATGGACGGGTGTTTGACCTGGTTTGTGGGCCCCTGGGCCAGAGCCCTGCTTAAATGTAATGTTATTGCCTGGTATGGGCACAAGTCAGAATGAGACGCAAAACTACGAACATTATCATAACAAGACAACCAGAAAAAGACAGTATACAACCAGAAATAAACGCAAAACGACAACAAAGAGACATACAATAACCAAATGAGCAAGTTTGCAACCATTACAACAAATACAGCTTAGAAAGACCATGCATTTCTCCTGGGGCCTCATTCATACCATGTGTGTGCATTTCACACTGCCTGGTTGAATGTTCAGTGTGGCCATAGTTCATGGCAGAAAGCAGAAAAAGCAGGAGCAAGGTTCACTTTAAGGATAGGATGACTCATGGAGAAACAGATCATAAAAGGATAGTTGGTGAAGACTGTCAATTTGTAGTTTCACATTCAGATGAAACCAATAGCTCCTGTCCTGTTTATTACACATATTATAATAAATATTATAATATTTATTATTATTACTGGCTCCTATATCTTAGACAACTCAACTACTGTAATAAATCTGTAAATAACTGTGCGATATATATACTTCCACTTTTACTACTGTTACCTGGCTGCTATCACACTACTTTATACCTTCTACAAAAAAATACAGTTACTGGTACTTTGTGTGGCCCATCCATGGATGTGTATTTTTGGAAATTGTATTTTGTGTTATTTCTATTTGTATCTTTAATATTTTATGCATGCCTCTTTAATTATACTTTTTTTTATAACACTTTACTTTCCCTGTAACAATGTAAGCCCCCCCCCCCCCTCTGAGAAAAATAAAGGTATTCTGGTTCTGATTATTATTATATGAATAAGAAAATAAATCAGACATGAATTGTTTACGTCACCAGATGTATCGTACATCCTGTCCTGTTGGAACCTCACTGATTTATATTTCCCCCCTTTTCTATCCTTAGCAAATGAAAAATAGCTGCCATATGATGTGTCAGCGTGAGGAAGTGACCGAAGAAAGCCTTCAATGTTGCAGACCATCTGTTCCAGACCCTCCCTCCCTCCCTCTCTCCTCTCCTCCCCCCCCTGCAGCCATGCAGATCAACCCGGCGTACGTGGAGTCTGCCGTGGTTCTGGCCATGGTGCTGTGCGTCCACACGGCCGTGTGGAACCAGCACTCCTGGTGCATCGTGGCCCTCTTCATCCAGGCGTTCTACGTGCAGCACAAATGGGACCGTCTTCTCCGAGCGGGAGGCGCCGTGTTCCAGTTTCGCCCCTCGGCAAACAGCGGCATCGTGCCGGCCTCCATGGTGATGCCTCTGCTGGGCCTGGTGCTGAAGGAAAAGTGCTCTGCCTCGGGGAACGTCTACTTTGAACGCTTCTCCATGGTGGTTACCATTACTGGGATGATGCTCGCTCTGTTTCTGTCCCTGATCGCACTGGGAATCACCAGACCAGTACCCACAAACACGTGCGTGATCGCGGGTATGGCAGGAAGTGCCATCCTCTACACCACCAAACAGACGCTGACCGTTTCAGAGGTCATCGAAGTCTTGGAGGTGCTTCTGATCTTCGTTTATCTCAGCCTGATAGTGCTTTACCTCCTGCCTCGCAGCTTCACCCCCGGCGAGGCGCTCCTTATCGTCGGGGGAATCAGTTTGATCGTCAACCAGCTCATCAAGCGCTCCCTGAACCTTGCAGAGGTCAAAGGTGATCCTGTGAACTACTTCCTGCCAGTTATTGTCGTAGGCTCGCTGCTGCTGGGGGTTTTCTTCGCCCTGCTCTTCTGCTTCATGGAGTCGGAAACCTGGGTGTCGTCACTTTTCTTCCACATGATGACCGCCGTCCTAGGTCTGGGGATCCTCATGCCGTGGCTCTCCTTGTTCATCGGCAGGCATCCGCTCATGTGGCTGCTGGACTTTTTGACTTTGAACGACAGAAGGCTGTGTCTGCTCGGGTACTGGCTCTTTCTGGTTGCCGTGGCCACTTGCGTTGTGCTGCACCAGAACTACCAGCGCCAATCCGGGTCCAAGAAACACCAGGCCTCGACGATTGTGCGGAAGTACTTCCATCTCATCGTGGTGGCTACGTATGTTCCTGGGCTGATCTACGACAGGCAGCTGCTCCATGTGGCGTCTGTGGGCTGCTTGGCGGTTTTCTTGTTCCTGGAGTACGTGCGTTATTTCCGGATCATGCCGTTCGGTCAGCTCCTCAGGCAGCTCCTCACTTTGTTCCTCGATGAGCGGGACTCGGGGCCTCTTATCCTGACCCATGTTTACCTGCTGATAGGCATGTCTCTACCCTTATGGTTGTTCCCGGGACCCTGTGCTCCACATGGGGTCCTCCCCGGGGCAGGAGGCCTGGTGCCTTACGCCGGGGTTTTGGCTGTCGGGGTGGGGGACACGGTGGCGTCTATTTTCGGGAGCACCATGGGAGAGATCCGTTGGCCCGGCACTAAGAAAACCATGGAGGGAACTGCGACGTCTATTTTTGCCCAGATTATCGCCGTGGCCATGTTCCTTATCTTCGACGGGAGCATCAATCTGAACTCCACCTACTCCTGGATCGTGGGCTCCATCTCTCTGGTGGCCATGCTGGAAGCCTACACCTCTCAAATAGACAACCTCCTCCTCCCCCTCTACCTCTTCATCCTGCTGCAGCTTTGATGGGAGAGATGAGAAACAAAAACAGACTCTTCCTGCTCTCCTCAGCTCTTTCCAGGGGGAGAAAGGAAGATAATTTGGAAACATATAAATATAGTAACAGAAATCCCTTTATCAGTTGACTGATCAGCACAAGACAAGAAAGGTGACAGACTGACAGCCGGATAAATGTAATGTCAACAAACAAAGGGGGCACAAAATAATTCAATAGTAAAGAGCTGATAGGAAAATGAGAAACGTTTTGGCGATCCATTTTTAATCAGTTGCTCCTGTCTTAATGATTTAAGGACCAGTACAAATCTTTCTGAAGTTCTAAAAAAACAATATTTATCAGTGGAACAGCTGGAAAAAAAGGTTCTGTGGCGAAACATTTCCACAGATAAGGAACAAGAACCGTCGATATTTTGGTACCCGTCCTTTTTTGTATCTGTTCCATGGGAGAAAAGCATTTGGATCAGACGAAGAGAATGAATAACGAGATACATTGTGTTCTCACTTTCCTATCAGGTCTCCCGTGACATTAGAATCTGCGGCCCTCAGATCACAAGTCATTTCCATACCAGTTACTTTAAGGAATAAGACGAGCATCGCAGAATACATGACACCAAACCTCCTGAATTATGCAACAGGGGATTAGCAAAGTGGAAAAAATGTCCTTAAACACTTCTGGACGGTACAGATGCTGCTAGCGGCACATTATGAATCACCAATGATCAATATCTTGTTCCCCTTTTGCTAATGGATACCTTTGTATTGCCTTTGAAGAACATTATTTAAAGTTAGCGTAGTCTTTTTCTTAATGTTATTTTGTCTCTCCGACGGCAATATGAAGGAATACTGCTGAGAGTATTTGCCTTAAGAAGTATATTTTCTATCACACATTATGTAGATGAACGCATGGCAGCCCCTCTCTTTATAAGGGCTGATTTATACTTCATCTACTTTGCTCTAGCATGACACTAATGTGATATCAGTAACATGTACACAGGTATTCTGCAGTATGGTTTTCTTTGAGGTTTGATGGGACCCATTTAAAGGTACACTTAATATAAATATTTCCTCTGAGGATACTGAGCCTTCAAACCTTGCATATTGTTGGAGTTTGTAGATGTGCTTTGGTCAAAAATGATGTACAAAGGCCTTTTTCTTTTTAGTAACTTTCATTATGCTTTACATACATATCCCCGTCAGGTTTAATCTCATCGTTTTGGATGAGGATGCTTCAGATTATAACCTGAAACATGTTTTCAGCATGAATTCATTAACAGCCTTATGGTATTTGATCATCTGTAAAAGTTATTTGGTGTTTTTTTATTTATTAGCATGATACTACTGTTGTTTTTACCACCATCCTTACATTTGTGTATGTATTATTGCATGTTGAGTGCATCAAAAAGGTACATACAATTGTTATGCCTCCTATTTTAGTACATTTGAGAAAAGAGTTTGTGACTGACGGTGAGAGCGCACGCACACACACACACACACACACGCCTTTTGGTTTCACAGTTTAATTTAAAAATGGACAAAAAAGGTTTGAATGTTGTGATTAATAATCCAGTCAAAAATACATTTATTTTTTTCATTTCATCTTAACATGAACATACTTGAAAATAGTAATGCTTACTGTTGTCTGCAAAATAAAATAAAAATGAATCTACCGTCTTGTTTTGACACACATTTGACTGTTTGATTTGCTGAAATAAAGTAGACCTAAATGTCAGCTGTTATCTCAAATTCATTTGTACAAAAACGTCCTATTTAAAAAGATGTTGTGAGTCACAATTGATTCAGTTGTGACTTTGCCTGAAAGCAGCCTTCATGTACTGTAGCTTCAGAGAAATGGCTCTTATCTGTGGTTCAGAGAGTTCATACGTGTTGGTGCCTCCTTCAGGTCTGTCCATGAACTGCAGCCCAACATGTCATCATTTAGTGTAGAGCTGCGGGAACGGGAGCTCTTCAGTGGGCTGCAGCCTTTGAAGACACAAACAGATGGAAGCATGACAACTGGAGACATTTCAGACTTAGTGAGAAGAACACAACCTTCCTCCTCTTATCATTCAAACGTTTCATTTAGAAGCATTTGCAAGGGCACTCTGAAATGTTGATTGAAATTATATGAATTAAACTGTAAAAGTACTTTTGTATCTGCTATACGATTTGGTTCCACTTCAACTGTCCGTAATCCTTTTAACAAACATAACACCGACAAAATGAGCTCCTTTGCAAACACACCCTTAACACAGGCAGCCGTGTCTTTTCTTGGGCTAGCCAAACGGTAGTGAAAATAATGTACAGAAATGCATCTTTTAACCATTTTCTTTGACATTATTATTATTATTATTATTTTGAAATGTATTATTATGAATTGAAAACGTCAAAAGGTATAAAAAGATGTGAAGGAGAATTGATAAGACAAGAAAATCCCACTGCATTTACAAAATGGATGTTTAAAAGTATATATTTTTGGCAAAGTTACAATTCTGATTCAAACACATCCCACCTCCTAAAAATCAGAATCAGGTTTATTGTTATTGTTATTAGAAGTATACACATAGGAGGAATCTGCCTTGGTGTATACGATGCATACATAAACAGTTAAAGAACATTGATTGTTAGAAAAGAACCATCAAATAAAACTAGGATAAAAAAACGATTTAAAGAAAACTATAATAACATTAAAATATAACACTATTTATATGGAATATGGATAAAATATAGATATACCCGTAAACAAATCTAAAATATGAGCACTAATAACGTGCAATGTGCAAAATCCGGAGGGTTGTGTTTTCAATGTTTCAGCTTATGAACTCATATTTTAAAATGTCAAACTGTGACTCTAGTCTAGAGGACCAACGTGTGCTACAGAAGGACGCAGCGGGCTCTCACCAGTTCTCGGGGCTCCAGCGGGTGTCCTGGCTCTCCATGATGTGGAAGGTGTAGACGTGGCGGGAATCCTCCGAGGTGTTCTCAGAGCTGCGGTGCACCACCTCCCCGTCGATCAGGACCACACTTCCTGGAGCCGGAGAGAAGAGGAGGCGCACGGCTCACAATGAAATCAAGCACATCCTGACAGTTCAACAGCCTTCATCACATGCATATTGCATATTTAAATAGTTACATATTCATTTTAAGATGAAGTTGATTCATTACATTTTTCAAATACGATGACAATGTATAGAAAGAGACTACAGTGGGGCAAAAAAGTATTTAGTCAGCCACCAATTGTGCAAGTTCTCCCACTTAAAAAGATGAGAGACGTCTGTAATTTTCATCCTAGGTACACTTCAACTATGAGAGACAGAATGGGGGGAAAGAATCCAGGAAATCACATTGTAGGATCTTTAATGAATTAATTGGTAAATTCCTCTGTAAAATAAGTATTTGGTCACCTACAAACAAACAAGATTTCTGGCTCTCACAGACCTGTAACTTCTTCTTTAAGAGCCTCCTCTGTCCTCCACTCGTTAACTGTATGAATGGCACCTGTTTGAACTCGTTATCAGTATAAAAGACACCTGTCCACAACCTCAAACAGTCACACTCCAAACTCCACTATGGCAAGACCAAAGAGCTGTCAAAGGACACCAGAAACTAAATTGTAGACCTGCACCAGGCTGGGAAGACTGAGTCTGCAATAGGTAAGTAGCTTGGTGTGAAGAAATCAACTGTGGGAGCAATTATTAGAAAATGGAAGACATACAAGACCACTGATAATCTCCCTCGATCTGGGGCTCCACGCGAGATCTCACCCCGTGGGGTCAAAATGATCACAAGAACGGTGAGCAAAAATCCCAGAACCACACGGGGGGGACCTAGTCAATGACCTGCAGAGAGCTGGGACCAAAGTAACAAAGGCTACCATCAGTAACACACTACGCCGCCAGGGACTCAAATCCTGCAGTGCCAGACGTGTCCCCCTGCTTAAGCCAGTACATGTCCAGGCCCGTCTGAAGTTTGCTAGAGAGCATTTAGATGATCCAGAAGAGGATTGGGAGAATGTCATATGGTCAGATGAAACCAAAATAGAACTTTTTGGTAAAAACTCAACTAGACGTGTTTGGAGGAGAAAGAATGCTGAGTTGCATCCAAAGAACACCACACCAACTGTTGTGGAAATATTTCCCAAGGCCCATAACTTTGACCCATCAGTTCAAACTGTCCTGACTGAGCACACGCACCTCGTAACCTTGGCTGCTGTGCTCTCAGTGTTCTGTCTCCCTGTTCCTGCCTGTTGACGTCAGCTGATAGAGGTGTTATGATTTTATCTTGTTATGCAGCATGTTGATGATGCTCTCAGAACTAGCTAAATACATGAGTCTGAGGTAGAGTTCTTTAGAATTGACGTGGCAACTCTACCGTGAAGTCAGAACCCAATAACTAGGACAGCTCTGAACGCCAAGGGTCAGAGAGAGAGGGTCACACTCTCCGGCTGCAGAGGGCACCCCCAGCCACGGGCAAGGAGGCACGAGGTCGTTCGAGATGAGAGGATTCTAATCTTCAACTTTCTGAGGAGATGGGATGCTTCCTCACCATTCTGCTCGGTGGGCTCAGGCAGACAACCCTGCGGGACGAGCGAGGACTACAGAGGCTTCATACAAGGTTCCTTGTTTCTTGGAGGAGCAGATGTCTTCCTAACCTCTCCCATCACGGGGGGAGACCTGGATGCGCCACTTGGAATACGCAGTTGCACTGCTCTCAAGCAGATAGCAGAAGGAATGCAGGCAGATGAGCCTCCATTTCACTGGGGGATCAACTACAGTGCTCACTGAATGAGCCACACAAAAGCAGAGCAATTGGGGGGGTTGAAATATGGCGCTCTGATGACGAAGAGTTTGAGCCAATCAGCACCTCAGTGCTAATCTACAGTATCAGGATGCCTTTACACACCAGACATTCTGTGTCATAAAGAGAGGAGGAGAACGAGTCAGAAAGACTGAAGGACATGTTCTTCCAGCTCTCGTACAAAGATGAACTTTGCATTGATTTTATATCTTGGATGTTTACAGATGTACAATTAATGACTGTCTTTATATTTCCAATGACCAGACATGTGTTGAATAGTGGTGATTAATATAGTTTTGCCGGATCAGATTACACTTTCGCACTAAACAAAATTAATTAATTAATATTTTCAGATTGAATAATAAGATATTTCTACTATTATCACAGATAATGTTAATATCCTTAATCGTCCAGCAATCAGGCTTAACAACACTACTCTTTAATGTATTATCCATGCACAGAAAGACCTACAATGATGTTTCAAGTACTGGATTCATTTCAGTTTTGGCCCAAAACAAATATTTTTGCTATTGTGCACCTGTGTTTTAATTATTATGCTTTTGACAAAAGATGATCCAAACACTGATGAGAGATGATTTTTCTATTATGATTGGCTGTATCAATGTTTAAATCTTAATGTGATTGTTATTGATGTAATTGATGTTGTGTAAGTCCACACTCAAATCTGAAGATTCCCATTGATTTAATTATTGAACAAAATATTATTAGACTAAGGTTTTTAGATTATCAAAATTGATAAAAAGAGAGAAACTGTTGTGGAAATATTTTCCAAGGCCCATAACTTTGACCCATCAGTTCAAACTGTCCTGACTGAGCACACGCACCTCGTAACCTTGGCTGCTGTGCTCTCAGTGTTCTGTCTCCCTGTTCCTGCCTGTTGGCGTCAGCTGATAGAGGTGTTATGATTTTATCTTGTTATGCAGCATGTTGATGATGCTCTCAGAACTAGCTAAATACATGGGTCTAAGGTAGAGTTCTTTAGAATTGACGTGGCAACTCTACCGTGAAGTCAGAACCTCTGGCTCTTGGATTTGTGATGTGAATCCTCCGGCCGTAACTCCAAATAAACCTCCAGTGTTTGACATCAAAGCTCCTGCTCTACCGTGTCTCCTTCCTGAGTCGGTGACTCCCACTGCATAGCTACACAGAAGTTTCCCTTACACCTACTGTGAAACATGGGGGTGGAAACATCATGCTCTGGGGCTGTTTTTCTGCAAAGGGACCAGGACGACTGATCCGTAAAGGAAAGAATGAATGGGGCCATGTATCGTGAGATTTTGAGTGACAACCTCCTTCCATCAGCAAGGGCATTGAAGATGAAACGTGGCTGGGTCTTTCAGCATGACAATGATCCCAAACACACCGCCCGGGCAACGAAGGAGTGGCTTTGTAAGAAGCATTTCAAGGTCCTGGAGTGGCCTAGCCAGTCTCCAGATCTCAACCCCATAGAAAATCTTTGGAGGGAGTTGAAAGTCCGTGTTGCCCAGCGACAGCCCCAAAACATCACTGCTCTAGAGGAGATCTGCATGGAGGAATGGGCCAAAATACCAGCAACAGTGTGTGAAAACCTTGTGAAGACTTACAGAAAACGTTTGACCTCTGTCATTGCCAACAAAGGGTATAAAACAAAGTATTGAGATGAACTTTTGTTATTGACCAAATACTTATTTTCCACCATAATTTGCAAATTAATTCTTTAAAAATCAGACAATGTGATTTTCTGGATTTTTTTTCTTCTCATTCTGTCTCTCATAGTTGAGGTATACCTAGGATGAAAATTACAGGCCTCTCTCGTCTTTTTAAGTGGGAGAACTTGCACAATTGGTGGCTGACTAAATACTTTTTTGCCCCACTGTATATGGTGTTTTTTGGCAACCTTTTCACAGCTGGGAACCCTGTTTACAGAACAATACAGCCGCAAGGTGTTCAGCCATTAACAGTAAGTAATGCACAAAGAAAGTAATAAAATAAATAATACATTTTGTTTCAGCACTAAACAATGCACATTGTGCATATAATGCATGCAAATACATAAACATTATATGCAGATACTTTGTCATGTTAGGCAAAACTGTATCCATAATACAGCCTCAGTCAGAAAGTGCTTGAAGATTATAATTCTTTAATGATTTCTGTCATTTCCAAACTTAGTTTTAACCCTTGTATGGTATTCGGGTCTGTGGGACCCGTTTTCATTATTTAGCTAAAGAAAAATGATATGATCAAATATTGTTTCAAACCCACACTCAATGGACCCGGGGCTGGAAATTGTAGGTCCTGTGCATCTATCTGGGCCTTCTCTCTGTGTGTGTGTGTGTGTGTGTGTGTGTGTGTGTGTGTGTGTGTGTGTGTGTGTGTGTGTGTGTGTGTGTGTGGTGTGTGTGTGTGTGTGTGTGTGTGTGTGTGTGTGTGTGTGTGTGTGTGTGTGTGTGTGTGTGTGTGTGTGGGTGTGTGTGTGTGTGTGTGTGTGTGTGTGTGTGTGTGTGTGTGTGTGTGTGTGTGTGTGTGTGTGTGTGTGTTGTGTGTGTGTGTGTTTGTGTGTGTGTGTTGTGTGTGTGTGTGTGTGTGTGTGTGTGTGTGTGTGTGTGTGTGTGTGTGTGTGTGTGTGTGTGTTTATATACTGTTTAATCTGCAGCATTGCATCATACTCCTGAGATCATCATATCTAGTGTTTACCTACACATAGCTTTGGAAAAATATCTTGTTTTTCCCAGTCACTTCAGTTGATCAGAAGCATTCTAAATCTTCTGGAGATACATGATTCTTTACTGGAGAGGGATAACATTTGTTATCTGACTAAAGCTTTCACATAACTGTAGTGCAGTAGAAAAGTACAATTTAAGATGTGTTGGAGTAGAAGTGATATAAAACTGAATTAAGTAAAACAATCTCAAATGTGTCAAACATGAAATACCTAATCCCAGTTTTTGTCTTTAGCACTGCATGCCTATGAGCCGTTGTACAAAAAGGTGACACATTCCCCCAAAGTCCAGGTGAGTGAGCCGTTGAATATCAGAGAATAATGCTGAGACCCTGAATAACTCACATTGAATACATAATGCATTTGATCTCAGGGCTTAGCGAAGAAGCTGGGCCTCATCAGTCCTGTGATACTGCAGAGCATGTTCATCTTTAAGGTAACACTTTACATCAATATGAATGAAATGTCTTGTTGTGTTTACATCATGCTGTGTGTGTAGTTAAAGATATGTTCCTTCTCTCTCCCGCAGCAACCAGGGATTGGTGGAGAAGGTAAGCTGATTGAGTTTTCTAAATGTTAAAATAGTTTTTCTTTACCACTGTTTCCCATAGATATTTAAAGATATTGTAATATTGTATCTCTTGCAGAATCTGCTGTAATATCAATACATTGTGTGTTAACAATTTAAACTGAGATGTGCTTTATAAATAAACGTACCTGTGTGTGTGTGTGTGTGTGTGTGTGTGTGTGTGTGTGTGTGTGTGTGTGTGTGTGTGTGTGTGTGTGTGTGTGTGTGTGTGTGTGTGTGTGGTGTGTGTGTGTGTGTGTGTGTGTGTGTGTGTGGTGTGTGTGTGTGTGTGTGTGTGTGTGTGTGTGTGTGTGTGTGTGTGTGTGTGTGTGTGTGTGAGAGAGAGACCTTTGTGTTTCTGCCCCTGCCAAGGTTGCAACATTGTTGGTAAATTGAAGCACGGACACCTGTCTGCTCTCACATTCCCGCATTATGTTTTGCGGGAACCAATCTTTATTTTGTTCACACTCTATCCCAGCTGCACATTTGGGACAAGACACAATAAATAAAGCTTCTTCAGTTTGCGTCCTTATCACAACTGATCAAGATGGCCAAAAGATTCTCTGCTCAGAGGGCCTTGCAGCAAATGATTCTGGAAGAGAGAGAACCATTTGATGATGATGTAGAGGAAGAGGAAGAGGAAGAGGCTTCAGAATGTGAGGATCACATTTCTGAGAATTCTGAGTCTGACAGTGACTTTGAAGAAGAGGATGAGATTGAGCATCAGCTAGTTACAAAGAAAAGACGAGCCACAGGACCAGCCGGTCAGCGGGCAGAAAAACAAGTAGCACTTGAATTCATTAATGTGATCTAACAAATGTAAAAGGGCAAATATTCACCATCTATGCTGTTTATACTGCTTGTAATTGGGATGAAGTAAACATCTGTTGAGTATTTGAACATCAAATAGTTTGATTGTGTTGAATTGAAGACCAAAAAGGCAGCGCACAAGACCCACAAACACTGGCTGAGTAACACAAAGATGAACACCACACAAGGGTTAAAAACAAAAGTGGCTTACCTTTCTTAACAGGAGCAACGAGAAACTTCTGTTCATTGTAGGTCTGCTCTCGCCCGGTGAAGTCAGTCATGGGATACGTGCCTTTAGGGGTACGCACCATACGCCGAGATATACCACCTGCAAAAGCAATTAGAAACAATTACGTATACAACATCAATAGAGTCAGCTATCAGGGGATATGTGTATCCTTTGGAAACTCCATTTTAGATAGATATTGAGAAGAGAAATGAGTGCCTCAAACAACATCACTAACAATCCAGAATGAAGTCATCGTGGCAGCACCTTGAATCTCTTTCACATCCTGCTGAACCCATTTGTTCACACATTCAATTATTGTCATATGGATTGCCTATGTTGTTATTTGACTCAATGTTTATGATGTACACATAACCTCTATTCCGGCTCTGTTTAGCCCGGGAGTGGGATCCCTCCTCTGCTTTTGTTTCCATTGTATCCCCAGTTAATGGTTCATTTTGTCACAATGTAAATGAAAGGTAGTCTTACTGTTGTGAGAGCGCGGGATGAACCACAGGCAGCCGTTGTTCTCGGTGGCGTCTTCCAGAGCGATCCACAGACCCATCACTCTGCCCAGAGGCTCCGTGTACAGAAAGGTAGCATCTTGATGTGGCGTCACTTAAAAAAAACACAGTCCAAATCAAATCTGATCTAAAAGATCTATTGTAGTGGTTCCCAACCTTTTGTGTCTCATGTACCCCTCAAGCTGGTCTCCATTCTAAAAGAACCCCCTCACTCCTCTCTGATCATTCACCTACATGTTTAAACCCTTTGTAACCCTATTCAACCCAACTGCTCCTAAATGAAAATACAAAAAAAAGTGTTACTTCACAGTTTTACGACCCATTTTTTTGACTTGCAAAATTATCTTTTAAATTGACAAACATCATATGTGTAATTCGTGGCACAATTCAAACAGGATCAAAAGATAATCTTTCTCTCTCCATTGACTTCAATTAGGGCTGGGCAATTTTCGATTTAAACCTCGATTTTTTTCTGTTTTTTTCTAAACAAACCAGACCAAGGCAAAATGTAAATACATATTTTCTTTGCAAAAAATGCGTAAAAATTAGGGTTTCTGCCCCATTACTTCTCTTCTTACTTCTATAAGAATAAAACACGGTGAGGTGTAAAATGTGTTTTAATATCATAAATGTTACGCATACCGTCAGTTTAAATGCTGTTTTATACTGAAAAACTAGAAGTTCTTGTGCACAACCAGTTTTATTCTGAAAATCCTTCATCTCCGGACGGTTAGCATTTAGCATGTGACTAATATACCATTTACTATAGAGGTGAATTTAGTAGCGATATGACACGGAGTGTTGCACACCGAAACATACTGATTTCAACACTACAACTATAGACGTGGAGATATTATTATTGCTGAATATTAAATGAAGGTACAGTTTATTTGAATACGTTTGTTTACAGACGTGGGTAGTAGTATGAGACAACATCCGGAACTACCGTAAATGAAACCAGCCGTGAAGTATTTCCTGTATTTTTGGAGTATTGATTACAGCGTTTAAAATGTATTAAATGAAAAGTCATGAAAGAGACAAGGAGGAGAACAGGCGTGTTTAGTTATATATTTAATGTACAATGTCGGAGTCCTCTGTTATGCTCAACAACGAACATTGGAGACGTGGAGGGCCGGCTCCCAGCGCCAACCGGCCCACAGCGAGCCAGCGGAGGAGATATATCAGCTGGAGAGGTGGAGCTCGCTCTCTTCCCTTCGCTCACGAGAGCTTTTTTAATTAAAGCACCATTTGAACCTTCTCAGAGACTCCATTTAGTCTCCTTTTAAAGCTTCTCTCCTGGACGCGAGAATAACGAACACAGCATAACAACAGCAGATCGGGCAGAGCTGCAGATCGGGTAGTCACAGGCAATGTGGCTGAGTTTTGGGCGCGTTCTGGAAAGTGAGAGAGTAAGCTACTACGGAGTCCCTTAAAGCAAAAACAAATCTGCGGAGTCTAGAAATGTTTTTAAATCGCGATTTTTCGGTTCAGCCATTTCACAAACCGTAGGAAAGTAAAAATGCAAATTAATCGTGAAAACCGAAAAAATCGCCCAGCCCTAACTTCAATACATACTTTTTCCAAAATAAGGTCCCATGGAGCTCCCCCGGAAAGGGAGGGACTTCGCCTCTCTATTAACTCATTTCGTATTTTATTTTGAAGACAAGGCAAGGTACGTTTATTTATAAAGCACATCTCAGTTTAAATTGTTAACACACAATGTATTGATATTACAGCAGATTCTGCAAGAGATACAATATTACAATATCTTTAAATATCTATGGAAAACAGTGGTAAAGAAAAACTATTTTAACATTTAGAAAACTCAATCAGCTTACCTTCTCCACCAATCCCTGGTTGCTGCGGGAGAGAGAAGGAACATATCTTTAACTACACACACAGCATGATGTAAACACAACAAGACATTTCATTCATATTGATGTAAAGTGTTACCTTAAAGATGAACATGCTCTGCAGTATCACAGGACTGATGAGGCCCAGCTTCTTCGCTAAGCCCTGAGATCAAATGCATTATGTATTCAATGTGAGTTATTCAGGGTCTCAGCATTATTCTCTGATATTCAACGGCTCACTCACCTGGACTTTGGGGGAATGTGTCACCTTTTTGTACAACGGCTCATAGGCATGCAGTGCTAAAGACAACAACTGGGATTAGGTATTTCATGTTTGACACATTTGAGATTGTTTTACTTAATTCAGTTTTATATCACTTCTACTCCAACACATCTTAAATTGTACTTTTCTACTGCACTACAGTTATGTGAAAGCTTTAGTCAGATAACAAATGTTATCCCTCTCCAGTAAAGAATCATGTATCTCCAGAAGATTTAGAATGCTTCTGATCAACTGAAGTGACTGGGAAAAACAAGATATTTTTCCAAAGCTATGTGTAGGTAAACGCTAGATATGATGATCTCAGGAGTATGATGCAATGCTGCAGATTAAACAGCATATAAACATACACATTAACACAGCTGTAGGATTACCACCATATTTTACAGTAAAACACTGACAGGGGACCCCCCCCCCCCACACACACACACACACACACACACACACACACACACACACACACACACACACACACACACACACACACACACACACACACACACACACACACACACACACACACACACACACACACACACACACACACACACACACACACACAGTCCAGAGTTTCCCGTTAGCCGGTAATTACCGGACTACGACCGGTAAAATATGCTGAAGACCGGCAAATCTAAATCTCTCCGGTCAAAGTGTCCGGTCAAAATAATTTCCGTTTAGCGCAATACCGCATCAGTTGCGCAACTTGCGCCATTTATGTGACAGACAAAAGAGTATGTGACAGACAAGAATAGTCCATTCTAGTGTCTAACACTTAATGTGGAGAAAGAGATGTCCTGTATGGGTTGATTGTGCGTTGATCTGTTGGTAATGCCTCGGGGTTCCGGTGGGCATGTAAACAAATGCATAATGCTGCGCTATATTTTGTGGCCTCACCCAGTTGCATAGCGACGCTTATTGTTTAGGTGTCTTTTAATAAGCAGGTAGTCATATCATTAGCTAGAACTATCTGGATCTGATCGATATGGACATAAACGCGAGTGAAGTCTAATCTGGCGGGAGAGAGAGATCAGCTGCTGCTGACGAGTCGACAAGCAGCTCTGCATAATCACATGCAGCGGTGAGCGGACAACACACACTTCAGGTTAGAATATCACACGTAGCCTAGCTATTTTAATGACCTCTCAAACTACCTAAACTAGTTATAGCCTAGATATGTTTAGTTTTACTGTCGGGTCACTCATTACTGATCCGCGAGCTGCATGCTACTGACGGGCTGTCAGGAGAGGGAGAGCGCTCCGTTTATTATTCCCATGTTATTATAAGTTACTGAACACTTTTGAATAATGTAGTTAATCTACTATAATTAGTTTGTTTAATATCGAATCATATCAATTTGTTTTAAAGCACAATAAATAACAAAGAAGACCTTTGACCGGCACTTTTCTCATTTTGTCCGAAAGATTTAAACTTTAACGGACATGTTGACCGGCGAAAAAATATTCTAACGGGAACTCTCACACACACACACACACACACACACACACACACACACACACACACACACACACACACACACACACACACACACACACACACACACACACACACACACACACACACACACACACACACACACACACACACACACACACACACACACACACACACACACACACACACACACACACACACACACACACACACACACACACACACACACCAGTTCAGGTGACATTACATTGACTTACATGCAATTTCCTGGAGACTTATCCTAACCTTAACCATAACCAACACATGCCTAACCCTAACCCTAACCCTAACCCTTAACCTTAACCTTACCCTAAACCCAACCAAGTCTTCACCCTAAAATTAATGATTCCCCTCATTGGGACCTCCAATTTGTCCCCATAAGGGAGGCGAGTTGACTTAAATAAGTCAATGATTGGAGGACTGTCACTGGAGTTGTTAAAAGCTCTGCATGATGTTTGGACATCTATTTTTAGTAATCTCACCATGTCCGACTTTATTTAGGGACCTCTGTTTTGGTACGATGAAATCCCCTGCAAGACAAGACAAAAGCTTCACCCATCTAATGTGGCGTTTGGTGATACAGAGAACATTCAGTAGAGGCAGGAGAGAACTCCAAATAGAGCTCACCTTTGTCGTCAAAAACTCCTTTCTCAAAGAAAAAGCGGATCTTGTCTCCACTGGTGATGAAATAGTCTGCGTTTCCCTGCAGGTCAAAGGTTAACGTCAGTCATCTGATACAGGGAGGGGGAGGGTTCAGACATTGACACTGAAAACACTGGACCGTGTGTTTGCTACTAGCCTGAGAGCAGCTCATTTCATTACCTGCATCTGTTAGTGCAATATGATGGGAAGCATGTAGAAGAAACATAGTGGGATAAATATGTGATATCTTGGACACAGTTTATGACTTATCTATGGCTCTGAGCAGATGGTTCTGAATATATAAATATATATAAATGTATTACAATGTCATATATTCTAATGTCTTATAATAAACATCCAGGGGCTATTTATGTTTATTCATTTACATTTTATCCCCATCCCTGCTCCCACTTTAAGATTATACAAATACAATAATAAAAATAAATAATAATAAAAGCATGCCTTTAAACATATATAAACAAGTGTAATAAAATAAGTAAAATAAAATACCATAAATAAATGATATAACATAAAATAAATAAACATTAATGAAACAAATATCTAAAATAAAAACCCAATCATTTGAAATAACCAACCCTTCCTTGAAGGTGAGTCACCTGAGTTTTGAGCTGCTCGTCGTGGTTGGTGGAGAAGGTGGTGCGGCAGTGCTGGGGGACGTCCATCTCCTCCACCATGTCCCCCATCCTCTGCCTCAGCTCATCACACTCCTGGGGGGTCAGCAGCCCGTCCAGAACCACGTACCCCTCCTCCAGGTACTGCAGTCAATCTCAGTTTATTTATATAGCCCAATATCACACATGTAACATTTGTCTCAGGGGGCTTTACAGTGTGTGCTGTACAGAATATGAGACTATAACAATATATGAATACAATAAAACAAATCCATGGATCATGCACAAAGAGCTTTTAACAAGTCCAATGAAAGTCCTGGATTCAATAACTTATTAAAGTAAAAGTATTATCAGCTCAGTGTATGAAATATAAAAGTAGTCAATGTGCGGTAAAGTGTCCCCTGTCAGTGTTTACTGTAATATATGGTGTTAATTCTACAGCTGCGTTAATGTGTATGTTTATATGTTTGCTAGTTTCATCTGCATCATATTCCATGATATCATTATATACTTGTAGCGTTTACCTAAACAAATATGCAATAGATGAACTACAACACTACAGACAGGTCATAGCAGTCATCCAGTGCATGCACTATGGGCTGTGGTCACATGAGGATATCACTAATGGAGACGTGTCCTTTGGCTTCTCAGATGCAGCCCCTGTGCCTCTCTAGAAGCATGTTTGGCTTTATCATTTTTACAGTATTTTGACTGTGGAATACATTTTGGAGAGGATGTGACTTGTTTGTTTTTTTCTAATTTTGAAATGTCAACATATGAATGACACTTTATAAAGAACAATCAGTGCATAGTTTTCTGAAGATCAACTATTTAGTTGTTTTTCACACGAAGGTGCAATGCATGTATAGAAGACATATTTTTAAATCGTGTTTAGAATAACATACACATATATTCTCAAATCCTTTAGATAATATGTTATGTCTGTTGTTTGAAGCACTTTGTGACACATCGACTCTTACATAAACTTGCTAACCTGGCAAAGGAAAGAGATTGATTTGATCTTGGTGTTATGTCCTGGTGGTGTCATTACTCGTTGTATTTAAAGTGCTGTATAATGCTACAATGATAAATGGCAGATTTACTGTAAAATGCAGATCTGTTGCTTCACACAGCAGGACAGGTCACCTGTGGCTGCAGCAGGTTATGTAATGAGCCTCAAATGTGCCGTCACGTGAACTACATGAATATAACCACACAATCCTGCAGGAGCATCACAGCACACTGAAACGTGTCGATATACTTGGTGTAAATACACGTTTGTTTGCATACAATCAAGTTACAGTTGTTTGTGAGCATGAATAAGTACACTGTAAGGACAAAGTACTTGATGGATGTCACTGTACCTTGTGTACTTTTTATCTGAATGTAACGCTCACCTTTTGCACATCCCGATCTGTCATAAAATCCATGTTCTCTGCTCGGAGAAATCTCCCTCCTGTGAATCTTCCGGACAAACTCCAGCCTGCAGTCGCTGATTTCCGACCACGTGACCTGTCCAAATCAATTAAACTGTAACCAACAGAAGCCGTAATGGGATTTGGACTTTAACTCTTACATTGCGGCATACAAACACTGGAGGTGCAGTAACACAATGTGGCCACTAGATGTCGCCCTTGTCATTGGTTTAACACGGAAATAAATAAATAGTTACAGTTCCATCTAGTGGCAACTCAGGGTTAATAGCTAGGATTAAATTAAATCTATTGTACCAATAAGTATACATTTAATCACTAACAGAGTACTGGAGTACACATTTAAGGTGCTTCTACTTTAATCGTTAGTATAATGAGTATTTCCAACAAATGTATTATATTTAATGTCCTCCTATTGTATTTTGCATGTTAAAATGTATTCATGCATGCATTTACCTTCACCATTTTGTCTTTTGCATTATTTTATTGTTTATTTCTTCCATGTCTTAAATACACTTAATTATCTGTTCTCTACAAACTCGCTGTGCATACTGCCACTTGAAAACGACAACCCTTCCTCTTTCATTCAGACACAATTAACATATTCACTCACACTAAATGTATTTTTATTACATTTCCTTTTTTGGTAAAGGTTTTTCTCACAAATGTTAAATCGTTTTTTATAACTACTATTTTATTTTTTCTTCAGCTCTTATTTTCCATTTGGATTCCTCTGTGCCGATGTTTGCTCCAATACACCAAGGCAATCCTTCCTCTATCATTTAACATTCTTTGTAACAGCATTTAGTGTTAAGTGTTCATTTCATTGTCATGTGTCAGAATGGTAGAAAAGGTAGGGTTAAGAAATGAAGTTCAGGTGTTCATTGTGACAGACTTCCTGTTCAAAAAAACTGTCTTCAGTCCGCTTGGCTACAATTCATGACTAAAGGCTTTTTCCCCACGTGTGACGGAGCTGATTAAAATAATCCACTTTACAGTTTATCTTCAAAAATAGTCGCTGTTAGATGGCCATAATAAACACAGTTCAGCTTTAACAAACTAATGCTGCAAGACGACGAAAAATAAGTGAACCCATGAATTCAAGCACCCAGGGGCGGACTGGCCATTGGGAATACCGGGAGTTTTCCCGGTGGGCCGGTCAGACAATTCACTAGCATCCCCCGTTGACAATTGACCAGCGGTACCGAGATTCCCGGGCTGATTTTTAGTCCCAGTCCGCCCCTGCATACACCCCCGATCTACAGGCACCAGAACAGAGAGATGAATCCATCGTACAAAGTCAATACAATCAAGTATTTCAAACATGTTTTATACATAGGTGGAGATTAGATCAATGCAATCATGGCAGATTAAATGATGTGATGAATTGTCCATACATGCACACACTTCAGAAATATGACAGATATTAACAGTGTGTGAGTTCACTATGTTAGATTGTCAGGGTTTTTTTGTTGAGAAATTCTGTCTTTTTTTTAGCAGAAAGGAAAACCCTCTGTGGATCCAAATGATTTAATCCTATAAAACAATCAATGACACATACATTAAAACAAAACTACACTTCTTAAGGCGTACATAACATAAATACAGACTCTTTTTTATATTTTAAATAACTTCAGGATAGGCAACACAAAAGTTGTTGGTGCTTTTGCACAGAAAACAAAGCTTTGAAACATATTAATTATAGTCATTTAAGGGAACAAATTGGCTGTTTTTAACGTGGTCATAATTAAACACAAGCGTCTTAAACTAACCTATTAATCAGTCACTTATACTTCCTTCTTTTTGGGGCCTCCTGATTTCCTGACGCTGACTTGCAGGAAAAGTGAGTCTGGCTGCAGTTTTGAATGTGACTCAGAGGGGAAGTGACTCCGTTAAGCTGTGGATGTTGGATCAAAAAGGACACTTGTGGATGTCAATCCAAAAGTAAGCAGACCAAAGGTGAAAAATGTTTGTCTGACTGCAGAAGTTTCTTGCTGACGTAGACTGACCCTGATAGAGCTGAACATGGAGAAAGGACAGATTTATGAAAGTCATTTTAGCGAATCCAAGGTTTGAATAACTTCCCAGAGATGGCTTTAGATAGGTTTCTATGACCCACTCAAGCTTAAAGAGAAACATGTCATAAAACTGCTGTACCGAGGATACATTTAAGGTTAAACTCGGGTCAGAAAAAGTCTTTGTAGCTGCGACTATCCAACCTCTGATGACATTTGATACAGAAAGTCACGGCATTGTCTGACTGTCCTAATGTGACACCGTGCTGCAGGAGCAGATGTTTGCTCAGCAGCTCTGGCAGCTGCACTGCACCACTGAGCCATGTTACCATATCAAATGAACATTTGAATGATGCACAAGACATCCTGATACATGTCTTTAATGTGATAGAAATTAACATTACTTTTTGATGTGCGATTATTGTTTGGCATCCAACGGCTCAAAAAACACATTTTGGCACCACACAAATGAACAAGTGCAATGAAATAAAGGTGGAAATGCCTTTTGAAATGATGTTATTGTTTACAAAGTGTATGCATGATAGAAAAGCTGAGGTTCCTTTGAGTTATGGTGTTTCTCTGGTGGTTTTGTTTTGTCTGTGACCTTTGCTTGCAACCTTCAAACTAGATGCTGGTCAACAACACTCGGAGCGAGGCTCTTCTTTCGAAAACAGATTTTGACTAATGACCCCTAAGGGCATTTGGATTTAGTGAAACAGAATGTACTGTGAAGAAAGGTGCAATAGTATTATTACAGAACGTTCCCTTAAATATTCGAAGAAGAAAGAAGGTGGAATCAAAGAGAAGCAGCTGGTAACAATAAGACCACATGCCATTCCACTCATATGCAAGACATTACACATTTCTGCTATGCATGTTACAACATGATGTTTGTGATCAGTAACGGGGCGTACAGCTTGTAAAAGATAAGGCCATATTAGCAGCGAGATGCCTGGCTGGAGTGAACATAGCAGGGTAACTCCAGATGATGCTATTAAACCCAAGATCTTAAGAGGAAAAGTGTTTCAAGCACACAGAGCATGCTGCACTCATGTGGACGGCATACTCTGGGAATAAATGTTTCTCTGGCGTAGGTCGGTCAGAACCTGTTTCCTGTGTATCCTCGTTTCGCTGTGTAATGGATAAACAAATAGCTGACAAATGTCCAGGTTACCCCGAGCAAACTGACATGATAAATAACAAGGCGAAGGAAACAAACAGAGGAGAGCTTGAGTCACTAAAAACTAAACGTTCCTTTTCCTCGAACACACTGGCATCAAAGTCTCTGTTTGACTTCAGCAGGATGTTACAATTCAAAATCATACTGAACATAGAAGTACCGTGACTCTTTCTTATTGCTCAAAATGATATTCTGGTTGTTTTATGAACAAGCTTGCATACGTGTTCAACTGGTTTGAATAATGCATCTGTAGCGCCAAAGAACAACATTACAAAGGAATATTGTTTTCAGGAAATCCACTCCCTACATAAGAAGGGAGGTTACATTGCAGACATACTAGGACTGCTCATTTGGAATGAAACGTAAGAGCAATTTGCCTTCTCCATCTTTCAGATCTGCGTGGATTTCACGTAAGCATCATTTGGTGATTTTAGCAGCTTCTTGGAGATTTGAAAGGAAATTCTAAATGATCATTGTCTTAACAAATCATAAAATCCTTCTTACCATTACACATTTTTGAAATACTAATTAATTTGACAAATGAATGCCTTATGTTTTGGTTCAATGAAAGGCTTTTCAAGGATATCTCTACTCAAGATACACTTCAAAACCTGTTGTTAGCAAATTCATGCAGGAACTTCGGAACAGCTACAAGAGGACGCCTAACACGCACACATCTCGTGAGCTGCATTATATTGATCTCAGGCAAATCACACCAAAAGAATGATGATTGATAAATAGCTGTACAGGTAAGAGGTGAAATATGTATCTCTGGTTTTGGGATGAACTGTCCTTTGAACAAAGACACATACATCAAGAATAGAAGGGAGTTCAGGGTGCTTGACCCTGTCCCTTTAACACAGGGACTTCCTGTCAGCAGGGGTCACCTCGTGTTTTGACAATCGAGACAGTGAAGCAACATTTATCAGCCTTCACTTGAACAAAGGTCACTTAAGATCTTTGACTGCAGCTATATGTTCCACAAGGAGTCTGAAACAACAAATCAATGGCTGTGTTTTTCTTACATTTTGGATGAACACCAATATGTTGTAGCATTTAAAAAGTACCATATTAGGTGTTGTGAAGTTTCAACATACTTTACACTAGTATTGTGTGCGATGTCATGCAAATTAAATATTTCTAAATAAGACATGATTTGATAGAGAAGCAAAATGAAAAGTCGAAGAAGAAAGAGGCATTCCTCCACCACTGCGTTATATATTAACAACTGCAGGGTTTGGACGTTGTACTGTAGACATGTTCCCGTTTCCCTTTATGTCCTTTAATCAGTCCCTCAAGTTAAGGCCTTGGCTGTGTGATCAGCTGATGATCTCCGTCACTTTGATCGCGTTAAAAAAAGGGCGCAGTTGGACGTAGGTTTTAGAGTCTGAAGAAAAACCTTCATGTCTCACAGATTGGCTGTCGGTCGCACGATCATTCATTTACTGCCATCTGCCAGAGTTCTGCAACTGCTAATGTCGTTGTAAAAATGTTCATGTTTTGAGTCTCAAGGCCAGAGGAAGGCAAACACTGCTGTGAGCACCTTTGATTTGTGCATGTATCCCATGATCAGCAAAAAAAGTGATACTAGTGAGCAAGGCTGAATCTTGCAGTTTTTTGGTTCTCTTTCATAAACAGGTTTTCTTTAGCGAGGTCTTTCAGTAGCATGCATGTTCACCATCATCTGCTTTCATCCTTGCAGCTTCATGTTCAGGATGGCGTTACAGAAAACACATTAATATACCGTCCGTCATTGGCAATACTTCTCCTTAAGATTCAAAAAGACATCCTCGGAGGAAATGCTACATCCCAAGCACCATCGGCAAACATGGCTGAAATGATAGCATGTTCCAGGTTTCCCTGCCTTTACACAAACAGGATGTCTTAGGCAACGTCCTTGAGTTGCAGGCATCTCTATATTCAGTATATTATTAGAAAAGCCACCTCACTGAACCATCTTTCCTTGGCAACTTCCAATAAGACATCCTCGGAGGATATTTGACATCCCGAGCATCATCAAGAAAACATGGCTGCAAACTTCTTAAGGATTTACAAACCAAAGTCACTGCTTGATGACTTCCTAAAGTCACACTTCTCTCAGGCCTGCTCCTTGTCGGCCCTCCATAGCTGCTCCTTGACCTCCGGAGGCAGCGTGTTGAACAGATCTTCCTCCACCACCAGGCTGCTCCTCTTCAGCAGCCGGCACTCGCCCAGCTCCACGGGCAGACACTCCAGGCGTGTGTTCCCCCTCAGCTCCAGCTGCGTCAGCCCCGTCAGCTCGCCGAAGCGCGACGGCAGCGTCTGCAGACAGTTGTTCCCCAGGTTTAAAGTACGAAGCTTCTTGCACTTGAAAAGCTCCGGGGGCAACGTCTCAATCTGAAGAGGAGAGGAGACAGAATAATGAGGAGGGGCCGAGGGGAGTTAACATTTAGTATTTGAATTGAAAGAAATGCAACTACAGTGCACATCTTGATGAAGAATATACAGTAAGTTCCTACTGGTAATGGGATGGTCCTTTTTCTATTTTACATTCAAGTATTTTATACATTTGGCACAACATAAAGTTCAGCACATTTAAAACCAATGCACCAGACTAACTACTTTGGCGTATTGAAGCCAATATACCTGCATGTTTTTGTTGTTGTTCTAAGGTTTTGATCTTAATAATAATAAAGCTTTATTTATATATCACTTTCATAAATCACATGCAGCTCAAAGTGCTTTACAAAATGGCACACATCACAACAATTAATAGTTTATTGTAATTATTTTGAGTCCCTTTGGATAAAAGCATCAGCTAAATGAGATGTAATTAATATATATAACCGTAGAATAAAAGGAATATGCATCATTTAAATATGTATTCGCTGTTCTTCAAACCATGCCGCTGTCAGCAGAGGCCATCTCTATTTATATTGCATAAGACAGCTTTTGGGCTTTGCTGAAAAATGATTAGAATAAAGTGCATGTCGGTTTTAGGGTTAAAGATGTCCGTGGGCCGTTTCCACGCTGAACATATTTGTAGTTAACTTTATTTTCAATACATATTGAAAAAGGTTTTTCTCAGTGGGAATTCTGGTTTAAAGATGGCTGTTGGGGTTCAGGGCCTGGTTGGTGATTATACCTTAAATGTGTTTTTTAAATGAGTCTCATGGCCTCGTGCCCTTACGCGTCCTATTTATAAATCTCCTTGTTTGTCCTGATAACAAGTTTCATCTCTATTCATTCAATGTCCAAAATAAATCATTAAACACCTGCATGGACCCATATTCACAACACATTGATAATGTGGCAAGTGTCCAGAGGAGAGGCAGGAGAAGCACTACAGACCTCAGAGACAGGGGGGTCCCGTTTAATGGAGACTTTGTGTTCTGGCTGCACACAAAGCGGCTGGAACCCATTTCCAAGGTTCAACCACACAAACAGGAAACAGCAGTAATAGTAGTCTTTACTGAAAACACATGATGAGGGAAAAACAGCGCTTTCAGAAGAAATCCCGACATCACAAATAAAATAAACCCGTTTTTGAGACGAGGTCTAAATTCAATCTTGATAAAAAACATTTCATCAAATAGCACCAGCTTAGAATGTTGTTAAAGCTAATCAAAATGATGCACTTTGGAGACCCCAAACTCATCTTTGGAGGAAAGGATGATAAAGGACAGACTGAGAGTTTTACAATAGGGCTGAACGATTAATCGATTTTAAATGATGCAATTATCAAATCGCAAAGCCTGCGTCAGTCATCCACATCAATCAGAAGTGCTGTGCTCCACATGTACCAGCCAGTGTTAACCAATCAGAAGTGGCCCATGAAAGAAGGTGACAGATTGATCCGATCACCTGCCAAGTATTTTTGAAAGTGCCTGCCCTTTCCAAATGGCTTCCAATGGAGCTTTCCTAGATGCTTTGGTGAAACACAGCATCTGAGTCAGGTTAGTAATGCTCCATCACATGTGTTACAGGGTGAATCTGAAACTGAAGCTTGACTATAAAGCAACGGAAGCTTCATGTAAGTTTAGTTCTTTCATTCGTAACTCGGGCTGCGGGGGTGGTAGAGACGGGAGCACGTTGATGCGACCTTCCTAGCCGGAGATATGGCCGCATTTTACAATAAACTTCCGTTGGGTCACAATATCTGTCAGAAAAATGGCAATTTGATTATTTCCCCAAATGCATGGAAGGACAGCCAGCAGACTGAAGTCTCAGATTGGGAAAAAGCTTGTGTTGTTGCCCATACCAAGTCTATTCATACGCCACTGAAACTCATACAGTATATATGGTTGATGTGAACATATGTGACCCTGGTTGATTTAACAAACAAACTCAAATATACCAGATATATGCACATAATGCACAGACTCAAGAGGAGCCTTGTTTCACTGTATTTGGCAGTGCAGAAAGATCAAGGTGTTCTGGGAGAATGTACGAGGTACATAGAGAAAATCATTTCAAAGCAGATTTGACTGGACCCAACGTTCTTTCTGCTGGGTTTATATCTAGAAGAGCATAAATATAGTAAACACCAGCGAACATCTATAGACCTCAGCGTGCTCTACACCAAAACCTGTATAGCATTGTTTTGGAAAAAGGCTCACAGCCCAAGCATCACTCATTGGCTGTGACTAGGGTTGCCAGAAACTGACCATGATCAAAACCGATTATTCGGCAGCCCTGGCGAATAATAATCGATTATTCGACCGACCCCCCCGCGGGAGAGAGAGAAAAAAAATATATATATATATATACTCTTTTCTTCTTTTACTGTACATCACTTTGGGAAGCCTCGGCTGTTATTGAAATGAGCATTAAATAAACCTTCACTCAGACTTATTGACACTTAAAGCTAGAAAGTATACAGCTAAGTGCTGATGAAAACACAACTGCAACACTCCCAAAGCTTTGGTCATGTGACTATCTATGAAGCCATGATTCCCAACCTGCAAGTGTTGGCCTTTAAAAAAAAAAGTGATCTGGCCTTTTATCTGGAGTTATTCTTATTACACATGAAAGTAAAACAAGCACACGAAGGTGCAACCACTCGCTATACAACACACTGTTCACCTGTGCATCTGTTTATTCCACATCCTCACATTTATATATAATTACAGCATTTATTTCATTCAACACCGTTTTAACTTATTTGATTTTCTATGTATATATTTTTGTTATTCCTGAAAATAACTTGCAGCATTATTTTATTGCACTTTATATGTCTTGAGCTTATTGTATGTTGCATTGTTGGAGGAGCCTGGGACTTTCATAGCCAAAACTGCACAGTAGCTATTTTGCACATGACAAACCAAGTTGGGGTAAACCAAAAACATAGAAAATGAGAACAATGTTTTACTAAAATGATACACGGACAAATCATAAGGAAGTGATTTCCCTCTCACCCTGTTTGCTGTGACAGCGAAGTACTGCAGGTTCAGCAGGAAGCCCACGTCAGCGTGGATGCTGGTCAGATTGTTGTGACTCAGGTCCAGGAAGCGCAGCTTGCGGCAGAAAAACAGCTGGCTGGGGATTTTCTCGATCTTGTTCCTGTTCAGATACAGCCGCTCCATGTTGGTGAGCGTGCCGATCTGGATGGGGATGTAAGCGATCTGGTTGTACCACAGCTTCAGGCACACTAGGCGGTGCAGGTGCTGGAAGCTGATGATCTCCTCGATGGTCTTCAGGTTGTTGTCCTTCAAGTCGATCTCCTGCAGGTTGTGTAGACTGAAGATGGAGTGTGGGATGCGTTCCAGGTCGCAGCGGACCAGCTCCAGCTCCGTCAGGTTCACCATTTTCTTCAGGCTGTTGAGCACCATCAGCTTGGTGCCCTCATTGTTGACGGAGAGCTTCTGCAGGTGCACGCCCACATCCGTCACCACCTGCGGCAGCTTGGTCAGGTTGCTTTTCAGACGCAGCACTTTGAGCCTTTTGAGCTCCCGTAGCCCATCGATGACGATGTAGCGATTGTTATCCGCGCTAAGGTTCCCGGTGAGGTGCAGCTCGTTCAGGTTCTTCAGGCTGTAGATCCACAGGGGGATCTCCTTGATGTCTGTGAACTTAATGTGAAGGGACTTGAGGTTCTCTCGCAGGAAAGCAAGAGCTGGAGCCTCAATCTTAGCCGGCGTGTGATAGAGCCACATCTCCCTGAGGTTGGAGAGCTGGGCTATGATTGGTGGGATGGTGACATCAGGGATGAGCTCCAGCTTTAACACTTCCAGCTCGATCAGATCAAAAACAGTGTCTGGGATCCCGCTGAGCATGAAGAGGTGCAGCTCCAGCTTCTCCTGCGAGTTCTTGGTGATGCGCTGCCTCAGTTTCTCCAGTGTCCACTCATTGTTTAGGTTCAGCTGCCTCAGTTTGTTCTCGCTCACCTCGGACAGGAACACGGCGAAGCGCTTGGAGTAGAGAGGGTCGTACTGATCTATCATGTGCAGCATGAAGGCAAAGTCGTTCTTCAGGTCGGGGATGTCTCTGTAGCTGCTCTCCTCGCGGATTGATTCAAAGGAGTATCGCTTGAGGGAGCGGCTGAGCATCCAGCAGAGAGTGTACATGCAGATCAGACCGTAAACCACCACCAGGCTGATGTAGAAACACGCCAAAATCTTGAAAAGAGTGGCTAACGGGTGAGCACAGTAGAAGGTGCTGTAGCCTGTTAGCTTCTGGATGTTCACAGTGCACACCACACTGAACCTGATGTAGCGCACATAGTAAGCCGTGTAGCTAATTATCAGTATAAACTTGATTACTTTGATGATGGTCTGCCGTATGTAAAGGCGGTACACGATATCCCCCTCCTCTACATGGATCCTGAACTTCTTGACCTTCTCAAAAAGAGCCTTCGCCTGCTCCCCTTCTTTTTTATCCAAAACCCCAGTTTCAGAGCGATCCACAATCCCCTGTTCAATCCTGGACTTTGTTCGTTGGAGCATGGGAACGCTGGCCTCAACATCCTCGCTTACGCAGGAGGCCTTCTTATCATTGGAGCCGTTCATTTTCCCATGAGGCTTTGAGTCACTCTCCTCAACAACAGTCTCGGACAAAGCCCTTGTAGTCCACGGCGAGTCGAAGCACTTGAGGAGGATGGAGACAAAGTGCTCTAGTTTGGAGCTTGTGCGGGGGAACTTGAACCAGAAGTTGCTGCAGGCGAGGAAGATGAGGGTGTGGAGGAGCACCAGGTAGGGGAAATATTTGGCAAACCAGTGCAGTTTGTTCTCGTAGCAGACGGCGTCAACGTAGTTGTACTGATGCCGGTCCAGGTCATACTGAATGCCCTTCGGTTCCGGTGGGTAGGCGGTGCTCACGTTGGGGACCGGCATGGTCTCGCAGGACTTGTTGACCACCCACTTGCAGGGCAGGCAGATCATCTTGTCCTGCGTGACCTGCAGCGTGCCGCCGAACACCGCGATCATCAGCATGACCACCGAGAGGTAGTCGGTGAAGACGTCCCACCATGGCTTCAGGATACGGTACGCAGGCTGCGTGTCAGCAAAATACCGGAGCTCTGTGATAGGAATCATGATGGCTTATCTGAAAAGAAAAAGAGAAAACAAGGGAATAGGTTTGTGACGTGTCAATTTAAAACCTTTAAATGTGTTGGGGTAAACCTCAGCAAATAAAGCTGCTCGAGCTAAAGCTAAAACAATATGTTGAATAATCGATAAGTCGACAAGAAATCATTCAGTAACTTTCCTCATAATTAAAGTTTAAGATCTTTATCTGTTTTTTTATGAGAAGGGCACATTTAATGCGGGACAAAAGAGCCAAAGACAGTGTTGAACATTTTAACGTTTTTTGTTTTGTAAAAAGTCATAGCACACACATAAGATATGAAATACTATCGTTGGTGGGGTCAGCACAACGCTGCTTAAAATTGTATTGTCACTATAAACTCTTCTTTTGGAGGGGCGCCACAGGGGGGTTAAGCTTGTTGTTACAGGGGCACTGGCCACCAGTGCCGCCCCCCTAGAACCGCTCATGCTGTATAGCCTTTAGCAAAACATCATGTATGCAATTTAAACGTTTTTACAGAATCACAAACAGATCTTCCTATGTTCTGGTTTAAGGCAAATCATTAAATCCTTCATCAAAAATGTGGAGGTTACCACACTGATGGTAGAAAGCTGTGACATCATTATATTTGAAGTGCACAGTGTTTCGTGGATATGCTTATTATCCTGCATGTGAGTACACACACTGCGGCTCAGAGACTGCAGAGCTAGCTGAAGGACTACAGACCCTGACACAGCACACGTGTTTATACAAGTCTTGTTTCATCATGGAGCTCCTCATCTGCAGCTGTGCACAAACATCTTCACGGCTCAATTAAGTTGTTACAGTGTCTTCTTGTTGGGTAATAATTATACATCCTTCCAAGGTTAACAAATAAGCATATTAATGCGGTAAAGAATAATGTAAATACTGGAGAAACGGAAATGTTGACTTTAATTCAATGTATTGGGTAAACAGATTGCACATAACTGAATGAGTTAGTTGAAAGCAATAATGTTAAGTTTAATTAGAAAATATTAGGCTAAACTTAATATTATTGTTTTCAACCAACCTAATACAGTTATGTGGCATTTGTTGAAATAATACATTTTATCAATGTATACGTTTTTGTCAGTGAAGGCTAGCACTAGCTGAGCAACTCATTTGGATATTTTGATATACTTTCTGTTCCGCCACCAAACTCCTCTGATAAAAACAGTTATTTGATCCCGCAGAACACAAAAGTTGGGTTTTCGGCTTCCTTGATATTATTTCATTTGTGTGACTTTCGGATACTAACAAAGACGTCGTCCAAAGCTCTTTCAAAGCAGCATGGTGACAAATGGTGAAAGATCATTTTTTATTCGTTTTTTAAAATTTGTTTTATGTGATCTAAATGCCATTTTTGTAGGGCTGCAGTGAAACACTGACTATGGAGATGATATTTGCACGCTCATCATGCAAAAACTGAGGTCAGATCACAGAGGAAAAACTTATTTTAGAAGGGCTTGGGAGATCAGCAGTTTTACAATGAAACATACGTACTTAAACCAATAATTGTATGTTTTAGATTTGAATACATAAGAAACACTACTGGGAAGCTACAGAATGATATAAAAACGCTTTAAATAAAAGCCCTTTAAAACCACACAGAATACAACTTCAAGTGGAAAACTCTCAGTCAAATGGAAGTGATTAGACTACAGAAAACAAAGAAACTCTAAAACCATAAGACTCTAGGGTTCAGCAGATTACACTCCAGTACACTGAAACCACAACCAGGCTACTTGAGAAATACAGCCACCTAAGCAATTTTCCTTCTTCATTATATCATCACTTCTGCTTCCTATTTGAAAACACAGTTGGGAGGAGTGGATAGAAGAAAAGAACTCTGCGATAGTTTCTCCCTATCCGCTGTCCCTTGATTACAGGAAAAGGATGAAAGAGGATATCTGGTCAAGTGGTCACAAAACAGCCTTGTTTGATCCAGTTCTAACCAGATTGGCAGTACAGTCACTGTGGGCCTCCTCTGTTAGAATACGCTTTACTTCAAGTCAGAAAATACAGCACACACAGTCAAAATCTGCAACAACACTTCCACATTCTGATCACTCGCATGGTATGAAAAACCCCATCTGTGAAATCCAAAACCAGAACCAGGGAATTAAGTTAAACATGTTAAGGCTGGAACAAAAACAAGCATACTATCATTTCTTCCTGCCAAAAACAGGTAAGAGAAACTTAAAGCAGTTACCTGATATCAGCTAAAGATAATGTCCTGTCAGATGATGGCACTGATAAGACAAAGTCAACTCTAACAACATGATTCATGCCTTAAAATAAAGGTTTTTGCGGAGCTTCTTGCAAGCATCCAGTTCCAGTAAATGTCTTTTTTATAAAGATCCAAGATGTGTTTCGTAATATCCTGGCAGCGGAAAATAAAGAGCAGCTTATCTCGACTTTGCATCACCTCACTGCACGTCTGCCCAAAACACTCCAGGATTCCTCCTTTGAGGGACTGAAGCTATCTCATCATTCCCTCCAAAACAACAGGAATGCTGTCCAAAACTCACAATTAAAACTGGATTAAAAACCGAAAAAGGTCAAGACTGGATTAAGGTGAGTCAGCTCTTGGCTTCCTGTTGGTACATTTCTCCTGAGTTTGTCCCTAAACAGAGCTCCTTTTGTTCAGCAGTTGTTGCCGATGAGGCTCTGAGGCTGATGGAGGTGCAGGTGAACCTGGCTGCTGTGAAGCCAATTTATTACAGCCTGCTATAATTTCCCTCAAGGACACAAGAGTCTCCAGCTAGAGGCAAACAGAACAATATCGAGAAAGAAAATCCTGACTGTCTCAAAAAATGATTATTATTATTATATGTCTTCATTGAACAAGGACAATGAAAAAAAGAGGATATGCTATTAAAAGAGCAATTGGTCTTTGGTTATCAAATCAAATCAGGTTTTATTTATATAGCACATTTTAAGCCAAAGTGCTGTACATGAAAATAATAAATAACACATTACTACAATCGCAAACAGAAGACAATAAATTACAACAGCACATATAAAATCAAACACAGGGAAATGTCATGAGTCGTGCTCCGCTCTGACTAGAAGGCCAGGGAGAAGAAGTGTGTTTTTAGTGAGGATTTAAAAACCCCTAGGGTCTGGGCCGACCTCACATGGAGGGGCAGAGTGTTCCGGGGCAGAGTGTTCCAGAGCCTGGGGCCAGCCGCTGCGAAGGCTCGGAGACCTCGGGTTTGTAGCCTGGTCTTGGGCACTACCAGCAGCAGCTGGTCAGCAGACCTTAAATCTCTGGCTGGGGTGTAGCGGTGGAGGAGTTCGGCTATATAGGCCGGAGCCAACTCATTTAGGGCTTTGAAAACAAATAAAAGGAGTTTAAAATCAATTCGGAACCTAATTGGAAGCCAGTGCAATGAGGCCAGCATTAGGGTGATGTGGTGATGCTTTTTGTGGCCAGTTAGAAGACGCACAGCTGCGTTCTGAACTAGCTGCAGGCGTCTAATTGAGGCCTGATCCATACCCACATACAGAGCGTTGCAGTAATCCAGTCTTGTGGTTACAACGGCGTTAATAACCCTTTCTAGGTCTTTAAAAGATAAAAAATACTTGGTCTTGGCCAATAGTCGTATTTTAAAAAGGCAGGTCTTGACTACGGTGCTGAACTGCTTATCAAATGTAAAAGCGCTACTGAAGGTCACTCCAAGGTTCATGACAGAGGGGAGGATGTTTTTATTGAGGGAGCCCAGAATATCAACCGGAGAGGCTGGAGGTTGGGGTCCAAAAAAGATGATCTCGGTCTTGCTCTCGTTGAGGTTGAGGACATTTTGGCTCAGCCAGGATTTGATCTCTGTCAAGCAGTCCATCAACTGCTGTAGTGAGTTTAGGGGTGCAACAACTAATCGACTTAATCGATTACCAAATTAGTTGCCAACTAATTCAGTCGTCGATTCGTTGGTGACGTCATCACGTGTGTTTTAACGCGCCGTTAAGCTCCAACATTATCGGTATTTTTAAGGGTACCGGAGACATTTAAAAAATATGTCATATGTATTATTGCTACAAAAACATTATATCACAGTCTTAGTGTCGCCAACTCGTTTCTAAAATGCAAAAAGACAAAAATATGCGTCTATGATGTATTTTTGATCTTTCCAATCCAGACGAGATCTCTCTCTCCCCCGTCTGTGTGCGAGGGGGCGGGGCAGTTTGCACACACGCGGCTGCTACATGCAGCAACCATAGGCAGCAACACACGGAGGAGATGGCGGAGAGAACGCGCTCCAAGGTGTGGTTAAATGTTACCCGTCTTGATGTGGACAATGCTCGTTGCCAAAAGTGCAATAAGAGTTTAGCATGTAAGGGCGGTAACACAAGCAATGTGTCTAAACATTTTGCAAAAGTGCTCCACATTCAGACGGAGGAATGCACCGGGTTCGACTGTCTTTCTAGTAGCTCTGTAGCCCCATCCACGAGTAACGTTTCCACGTCAGGTGCAGGGCCGCCTTAATGCACGGGCTGACCTGGGCTAAAGCCCAGGGGCCTACGGAGATCAGGGGCCCATCATGAGCCAATAAAAAAAATTGTATTTTTTATTTTGGATGTTTTTAAAAAACATTTAAATAAACAAAGTCTTGGCTTTCAGAATATGAAACTTTTATTTCCAAAATCACACGATAAATACATTTTTGAAGCTTGTAAAGGGAAGATGACAGCTCTCACTCGCCACTCACTCCCCCTCCCTCCGGCTGACATTATGAATGTAAGGCATAGTAATCATAGATAACACGGCAGGGTCCGTTACAGTTTGTTTTCATCTGGTTTCAAATAAACAAAGTTTTGGCTTTCAGAATATTAAACTTGTTTCAGCAAATTCAGATGATAAATACAACTTTGAAGCTTCCGCATAATTACAAGCGGAGAACGGAGTAACTTGACGTCACAGCAGGCATAACAACAGCCTGTGTTTCTCGTGAGTGTTTTCCCCGGGAAACAAACACAATACACACAAATGCAAA